CCATTCTGAGCATTAGTCTCAGCATTATCCAGATTCTGAATAGGTAACCGCTTCAGATCATCATCAGTCAAATTACTATCTTTTATGGGTGTAGTCTTCTCCACTTTGTCAATATCTTAAATGATTTGGTCTTCTATGAATTGCACATCACAGCTTCTAAAAAGTTTCTTCTCAACAGGATCATATAACCTGTAGCCTAATTTATACTTACCATAACCAATAAAGATACATTGTCTTGTTTTCGCATCCAACTTGGATCTTTCATCCCTTGGAACATGAACAAATGTTTTGCAACCGAAGACACGCAAATGATCATACTTCACATTCTTGTCAAACCAAATCTTGTCTGGCACTTCATTGTCAAGAATAACAGTAGGAGTGAGATTAATAACATGCACCACCGTGTATAGTGCTTCACCCCAATAATATTTGGGCAATTTAGCATCTGAGAGCATACACCTCACTCTCTCAAGTAATGTCCTGTTCATCCTCTCTGTTAAACCATTTAACTGAGGAGTTTCAGGAAGAGTTTTCTCATGTGCAATATCATGCTCCTTGCAATAAACATCAAAAGGTCCACAATACTCACCACCGTTATCAGTACGAATGCGTTTCAACTTCTTGTCTGACTGTCGCTCAACCAAAGCATGAAATTCTTTGAACTTTTCAAGCACTTGGTCCTTCCTTTGCAGTGCATAGACCCATAGCTTCCTAGAACAGTCATCAATAAAAGTAACAAAGTAAAGAACACCACTAAAGGTTTTAACCCTCAATGGACCACAAACATCAGAATGTATTAATTCAAACAACTCTGACTTCCTTGAGGGAGGATGCTTCTTGAAGGATCCTCTAGTTTATTTACCAACCATGCAATGAGAACATTTCTCCAATTCTACACTCTTTAATCCCTGAAGAACATCCTTTTTAACTAAGCAATTCAGCCCCTTTTCACTAATATGACTAAGCTTTCGGTGCCATAAAAATGTCTCCATATCTACAACATTCACACTGTCTTTAGCAACCAAAGTTTTTGTCCAATAGAGTTTAGATGATCTTTGTCCTCTCGCTACAACCATGTTACCTTTGGTAAGTTTCCACTTTCCAGAACCAAAATGGTTATCATAGCCACCATCATCAAGCATCTGCACAGAGATTAAGTTAAAACGGACATCAGGAGCATGTTTGACTCCTTTAAGCAACAACTGCATTCCCATGTTGGTTTGCAGGCAAACATCACCAACACCAATTACCTTAGACACATCATCATTACCCATCTTCAACACTCCAGAATTACCAGAAGTGTAAGATGTGAAGAACTCTTTCCTTAGTGTAACATGCAGTGTAGCACCATTATCAACTATCCACATGCTCTCATCTGATACAAGATGAATTGACTCGTGGTCACTGAGAACAACAAGATCACCACAAGTAGCAGTAGCAACACGATCATCATTATGCTCATTCTCCTTTTGCTTACTCTTCTTATCTTTATTCTCCTTTTTCAACCGAAAACAATTCTTCTGTATGTGTCCCATTTTGTGACAATAGTGACACTCTATATTCTTGTATCTGGACTTGGACTTATTGCTGCTCTTCTCTCTACCACCCTTTGGATCTTTTTTTTGACTTCTCCCCCTATTTTCTGTGAAAAGTACTTCAAACTTAGATGAAGAACCTTATGCTCTCCTTCTCATCTCTTCATTGAGAGCACCACTCTTTGTCATTTGCAAAGAAACAACACCATTAGGGACTGAGTTCGTAATTGAAACCCGAAATGTCTCTATTATTCAAGTAAAGTATTCAGCAGCCATAGTCTCAAAACTTCATCATCAAATTTAATACCCATTCCAGACAATTGATCTAGGAGTCCTTGAAACTCATTCAAGTGATCATAAATGGAAGAACTCTCCCTGTATCTCAAATTCATCATACAGTTCAACAAATACAATTTATTGTTCCCTGACTTAGAAACATACAAGGACTCAATCTTCTCCCACAAAATTCACGCATGTGTCTCATTGATAATGTGATTATAAACATTGTTTTCTACAAATTAACGAATAAAACCACATACCTGTTGATGTTCAAAGTCCCACTCTTCTTCAGACATGAAATCCAGCTTTTGTGCAGCAAAGACGAGAAGATGCATTTTCTTCACAAATAATAAGTCTTTCATCTTGCCCTTCCACAAGTGATAATTAGTACCATTCAAAGCAACCATTTTTGTATTTGCCTTCATCATTCAAACAAGTAATATATATAGCTCCAACCAAGGAGCTCTGATACCACTGTGAAGGAAAAAACAATAGTACACAACTAAACCTCTTGAGTACGCAGTGGATATAATTTTCCTAAACTTATAAGAATCTGTGAGGAGCAATAACAAATGGCAGCAATAAATAATAATCACCACAAGAGACACAATAATTATTTATGTGGGAAAAACCCTCTCAATTTGAGAAGTAAAAATCCATGGGCACAAGCCAGTAATCAAAACTCCACTATGATCAAAATCAGGGTACAAAGTGTCTCAAAATTCTGCACAAATAGCCAGCCAATACAATAAATCAACAAAGCTATCAATGAAGATCAAGAAGTTGAAAACTCACAATTTTGTGCTACTATTCTAGCACGATTACTCCTAGTATAAACCTCAGAACAAAATTTCCAATGGTCAAAACCTAGAACCACATCTCAGAAACTCGATACTAAAATTTGAGCCCGATCCAACGGTTAACAAATCGGCGATGATCATTTTACCGAAACTGGTCAAGATTCCAGCGAATTGGAACAAAGCCACGGTTAGAGCTCGATTTCTCCACCTAAAGTAGTCGAAATGAAAACTGAACGGTGAGATATGAGATGAGGCTGTCGTGAATATACTCTCCAAATTTCAGGCAAATCCAATGGTGGAATTGACAGCGATCTGGATTGAAAGTTCGGAGGTTCTGGGAAGAATTTTCTCTCTTTTTTTTCTCTCTCTATTTTTGGCTGTTATTTTTTCCCGACTAAAAATGAAAGACCCCCTTGTGTTTCCACCACACACTGCAACCCTAATTTTCTAACCGCCTCATGACAAAGTTTGGACTTGAAGTTTTGGACTTTACACATAGTTGGAAAGTTTGAGTATTGTTATGAGATCGTCGGATTGGCGGTCATCTCCACATAGTTGTGAAGGAGGAGAAATGTTGGGTTGGGCTCCCAACTATGTGCAAAGTCCAAAACTTCAAGCCCAAACTTTGTCATGAGGGGGTCAGAAAATTAGGGTTGCAATGTGTGGTGGAAACACAAGGGGGTCTTTCATTTTTAGCCGGGGAAAAATAATAGCCAAAAATAGAGAGAGAAAAAGAAGAGAGAAAATTATTCCCAGAACCTCCGAACTTCCAAACCAGATCGCCATCAATTTCACCGTTGGATTTGCCTGAAATTTGGAGAATGTGTTCATGACATCCTCATCTCATATCTTAGCGTTCAGTTTTCATTTCGACTACTTTAGGTGGAGAAATCGAGCTTTAGCTATGACTCTGTTCCAATTCGCTAGAATCCTAACTAGTTTCGGTAAAACAATCATCGCCGATTCGTTAACCGTTGAATCGGGCTCAAATTTTAGTATCAAGTTTCTGATATGTGGTTCTATGTTTTGACCGTTGGAAACTTTGTTCTGAGGTTTATACTGGGAGTAATCGTGCTAGAACAGTAACACGAAATTGTAAGTTTTCAGTTTTTTGTTTTTCATTGATAGCTTTGTTGATTTGTTGTATTGGTTGGCTATTTACACGAATTTGTGCATAATTTTGAAACACTTTGTACCTTGATTTTGATCATAATGGAGTTTTGATTACTGACTTGTGCTCGTAGATTTTTACTTCTTAAATTAAGAGGATTTTTCTCACGTAAATAATTGTTGTGTCTCTTTGTGGTGATTATTATTTATTGCTAACATTTGTTATTATTATTGTTCCTCACATATTCTTGTCAAGTTTGGGAAAATTATATCCGCTGCGTACTTTAGAAGTTTAGCTGTGTACTGTTGTTTTTCCCTTTACGTATTATGCAGCAAGTCCTCTAATGGAGCCTTCATTTCATGAAATGTACATGCTCGGGGATATTTTTAGTGTATAAAAAATAGATAATCTTTTGCCACAATGTCCTGCTGTGGTTTGGTTGTGTATTTCTAGTGTATCCATCTCTCAAATAATATATATATATCATGTAATTGATTTTGAGTTATTGAATGCACTTTGACAATTCTATATAATACTAATGTATCATGCTCTAGGCTCAATATAGAATTCAGGCCCAAATGGTAAGTAGGCAGACTATACAGAGTTCTTGTTGACTTAAACACTCAAGTAGTTATAATTTTAGTGCTTATTAAAATTCTTAGCATTATATTAAATTTGAAATTATGGAGCAAATTATAACAGAACACAAGCAATCAATTAAAAAACATTTTAGCTGTTGGTTTCACTAATCGTAAAATCTTGGTGAGGAGCAAAGTGCTTGAAAGAGAAAAATGTTAAATCTATCCATTTTCCATTAAGAATGTAGGGCCAAAGCATAATGTTATGTAATGCAACAATTAACATAGAGGGGAAAAATATCCTGAAACAACTCTATATTTTATGAGATAGCATGCATTAGTGCAGTAGACAAGGCTAATTACAAATTATAGATGCTATTACAAGTCGGCAGGATAAATAGAATGGTGACAAAACCTAGAACATTATAGTTTGTATTTTAGGGTACTTCATTTAAAGATTTCTTTCATTAAAAGATTCAATTCAAGAAAAGAAGTTAGTCAGTAAATTAAAATTTTGTATGGACAAGTCCATTTGAATGGCATTAGGCACCCCCACCAATCACACCTCAAATTTCTCAATTCACCTTGAATAATTTGACCTACTCCAACAAGAAGCCAATCAAGCAAATAACCTTGGGATTCCAATGAGATTCAAGTAGGAGACCAAGGGATTTACATTTTGGCCATTAGGCTATTGTTAGAGGGCGAGAAAGCCATCCAAATGGTATTGTTGTTCAATGGCAGACGGGTTTAAAAGCGGCTCAATGATGTGGTTCTGATTAGGTTGAGTCTTTCTTATTAGAGTTCCTTTCTTGAGGGATCTGTACTGTTTTGATGTTGGAGAGATGGAAATTACAGGAAGTAATTCAGAAAAAAATTGTATAGCAATCATCCACTCAACACAATCAAGGTATATTCCAGCAAATACAACAATGAGTGGACTGTCAAAATTCCAGCAAAAACATTCCAAAGGATATACCTGCTCTGCAATTTGATGGCGGTGGAACCCAGGAACTAATTTACGGTTATTGCCAATCTCTGAAGTTCCTTTTATACTCTCTTCCTCCATATTTGGCAAGAAAGAAATTTTCTCCTCCTTTTTCAGTGCATTTGCCAACTATCTCTTTGTCTCTTGTATATCAGAAAAGAAAACACTAAATGAATCCTGTGGGCTAAGGTTTTCTTTGGTTTTAGCAGTAGGAAATTATATTACTAAATATTGTATAAATCACAATGGACTATAAAGTAAATGAAGGGATGAATGAGATTGGCAGAGGGATGAAAAGCTGTTCTTGAAGGAACCCAAGCAAGAAACCAAGTCTTTTGACCTGCAATGAATGCCAGAAGCAGAATGTTCCATGTAATCAAGACTGCACCTTAGTTGCCAGCGTATAGTTTAGTCCAATGTTCTTCTTATCATAATAATACCTCTCTAATTAACTGCCTCATTAGACAAGTCCTTATATTTGTCAGCGTATTCAACCTGTTTTTGTTAGTTTGAAAGAAATTAAACCGTCATTTTTTATATTTAGACTCTTCCAGTACCCAAATGGTTCCTTCATGCATAGGAAGTCATTCAATCCAATGCTTTAAACAACCCACTTTTCCTCATCCATTTCAGGGATTACAACATCTTCCCTCATCATACATGCATAATTCTGTCCAACTGGTGCCCCAGCCTGAGCAAATAGTTCAACCACTGCAGGCAGCATACCATAGTACCTTTTCAACTCATTTACTAAAGGTTTCCTAGGTTGCTGATCCCGAATGTGATAGACATATACTGGAGGTACCAGATCATTAATTGTTGCCTCCTGCCATGCATGTTGCCCATCCCTCATCTGGTGTTTGAAAGCTTGACAATTTCGTACTCTATGACCTTTTGGTCCCACTTGTACCTCCGGACAATATCCACAAGTTTGAACAGCATACTTCTCCATAAGTTTTGAAGCTCCTGTGCGCATTTTTTCCCAGGCTTTCATGCCTTGAACAGCAATAGCTGCACAGAAGTATGCTCATAATCAGTAAAGTTGACAAAAGTAATGTCTGAGAAGAAAAAAGTATTTCTTATCATAAACCTTGGATATCATCAGAATGCATCACCATAGAATTTGTGTCTTCATTGAAACGTTTTTTCTTATACCAAAATCCATGTGCTTCTATATCTTCCCCAACAGAAATTTCTTTCGGAAATCTTTTCTCAAAATCAATAATCCTACCAGCAACACAGTAAACAGGGAAGGTCCTTCTCCTGGTAGGGTACTCAGGTATGTCAAAACCTGCCTGAACACACAATTCCACAACTGCTGGAATTCGGTCCACTTCAAGCATTTCATTATGCGAAACAGCCCTCCCTATTCTATCATACAGATGAAAAGACTCTACAAGTGGCAGAACATGTTCAACACCACCTTTGATCCAACTATGTTCTTTGCTTGACGGACTTCCTCTAACATCACATGTTCTAACTTTATGTGCAGGATGACCAACATGAACTTCTCCACATAAGCTGCAAAGCATCTAACAGCTTAAAGTAACAATAATGCATATTTTAAAAATCCAAGTGATGAGTCATTTCAACATTATTCATATTATAGATTCTGTTCATATGAAGAACTCTAAAACCCAGAATGTATTGAAAAATCGTCCGTGTTGACTAATTAAAAATACAAGATAAAAATACTTTTGATGGAACTCTATGATACTTGAATGGAAGTTCTGTAAGCAAAACACTAACAGCTTAAACAACCATAACGAAAAATACCAGAGTCATGGTGTTACCTGCATGTATAAATAGCAGTGTAGTTGATGAGTTTTGAAATACTAGACAATAGTTCACATCTGGCAGCAATAACTTCATGAGCAATAGGAATCAGATGCTTAACCAACAAGCCATTTTCAGGAGGTTGTAATACAATCTCATGCACCTTTTGTTTCTCCTTTTTCTTCAGTCTAGCTTCGCGCTTAAGCTCATTAAAACTTGTCACTGGTGGTTTTCTCTCAGACTTGTTGAGCTTTCTTGGCAGCTCATTGGAAGTCGACACAGTAGAGTATGAAAGACAGAAATGCGTATGTATACCTCTGAGTGTTGTAACATGAACTTGTCTAACTCTCTCAAGGAGATTACCAAGACTTTGAACATGTCTCGGCAGCATCACTGCTCATTAGACGAGGATACCGACACTGGTAGATATTCATGAACAATTTATATGTACTGTATGCAACCTGAAAATTTTTGCTATTTATTTGTTTCATGTTCTTATAAGTATTATCCAATTCTATAAGTTGAAAAAAAAAACTGCATTATGATATAATGTTTTCATGCTTGCTTTCCAACAAAACAGAAGGTTGTTAAATCCAATCTGTTAAAGCTGAAGTTACACATGAAACAGAATCATGACAGCCTCTAGGAAACAAACATCACACAACTATGAGCTTCAGCATGTGACTTTATACATATAATCTACTTAGATCAGCTCCAGAAGTACCCTCAAATACATAAAGGAAACATGCTAGTAACTTAGACAAGGTATTCCCATATGTTAGAGTAACAAGGATCACCAATCTTCCAATCGCTGCCACACATTTTGTACCACATCATACCAATCTGAGACTTCATACCAAACCACACTTTCTCAAATAAAAGAAATCAGCAAGCACCAAATTAGTACAAGACACTCACAAAAAAGTAGTCCCCAAAAATGATTTATCAATTCTTTAATAAGCAAACCAACTCAAAAAAAAAAAAAAAAAAAAAAAAATTCTTGTGTGACATGGGAATAATTGACTCTATTAAAAGCATAGCCCTGCTTTCCAAAAAGATTCAAGTTAACAGAATTTAGATCTGGCGTCCTTTGTTATATATCTCTAACGATGTATAAATTCCTGTAAGTTCACAATTCTGGACAGCTTTCACAGGTTCAAAAATTCTCAGGTGGAATATGAAAATTATTAAACACAACCGTTGTTTAGTAAATTTTGTTGCTGATAAATCAAAACCGAGCATTTATGTTCCTATAAGCAAGAAATGACTACGCCGTATGACATGGAGCTTCTTCAACAAACAAAAAAAGTCAAATATGTGAATGAAAAGTAAAAGTATATCTTAAGATGGGTCATATTAACAAAAAGAAGAAGAAAGACTCACAGCTATGTTGATCTTGCTGTTGTAGGCAGAAGCCACTAGTTGAATAAGGTTGTATTAGTGGGTGGAGAAGACACGTCACAAATTGAAAACCAAAATTCCCTTCTCTGTGAATCCAATGCAGGCGTCAACAAAATCCTCCTCGATAAAACAAGTGGAGAGAACCTGAAGCCTATCTGTGATGCCTTTAGCGAAGCAACGAGCCAGGGGTTCCCTGAAAACAACTAGGGGTTTCGGTTTGAGACCACGGAAGCAGCGAAATCGTGGAGGACAGACATTTTTCACGACCGTGGCGAGCTCTCAACGATTCCAACTCCACTCGGTTGTTCAACGGAATACTCCGTTCAACGGCAAGGTGAGAGAAAAAGTGCTTTGGAGTTGCGCTTTGGACTGGCCTGGAAGTGAAGGGTTCGCGGACGGAAGGGTTGGTGAAGGAGAACGAGAAGACGGTGGAGGTTATGGAGGCGCTGGAGTGAAGACTTTGGTTGGAGGCGTTGGAGAGTGAAAGCTATGGAGGCGCCAGAGAATGAATTCTATTAGGACGAAGGCAAAGCTTCGTCAATGCTTTTTGCTTTTTTGGAATTTTCGTTTGAATTGATATAGTTAAAATTTGATTAATTAATTCTCCCACGTAACAAAAATATAAATTTTTTTATCAATTTAATAATAATAAAAAAAATAGATAAAAAAATTAAAACTATATTTAATTTCTATATTCATTGTATTAAGCTCAAAATTTATTATTAAATATAAATTTAAATATAGAAGAAAAAAGATATATATATATATATATATATATATATATATATATAAATTAAAAGACTAATAAATCAAATTTTAAGATAAAGATTGAAATTAAGATTAATAAAAATATAAGACAAATAAATATATATTTAATCCATTTTAATTATGTTTCCTTTATCTAATTTTGTTGTAGATTTTTCTAATCAGTACATCGAATCAGGTTTTTTTATAATTTAAGAATTAGTATAATTCTTACCAACGAAATATATTATAATTCAAAGAGTAAAATTAGATAAATGAAAAGGCTATATTAAGTTTTTTTTTTCTTACTTTCTTTAATTTTCAATAAACAAAATTATTTTTTTAAATTTAATTTATTGATCTGCTTAAGGAAGTGGTTAATAGAGTCATGTGTCATACATTGAACCATAAAGTCACATACCACACATTACACTATTCCAAGATAGACACATTTATAAAAATAAATAATAAATAAATAAAATAAAAACTAAACAAATTATAACAACATATACAATTTATTATTTAAAGAACTATGCATATGACGTAGAAAACACATTAATTCATTATAATTCCAAATCCTCGTCAAAATCAAACATTGAGCATTAATTCAACTTTAGAATCAAATCATTACATTGACCCATGCAAAAGTGACTTTCTAATTTACCCTTTAACAAATCACATTGCATTAATTACAATTGAAACACCATGAGATTTAATCAAATCAGTATCTAATTCTTACATTATAATTTTTCATCAAAATCTTTCAATAATAATAATATTATGAAGAAATCTCAATTTTCAATCATCAGGACCAAATGATCACAAAACACAAACAAGACAACAACTATAATTGGCATCTTTCAATTACTGAGTGTTAAATTATGATGAATTCAATGTTCAATATGTCTATAGTAGATGAGTCAAACCTATGGTCAAGTCTATACTTCATTCAATTGCTAATTACTTTAAAGTATTAATTTGGTCTATATTGAAGAAAATCCATTATCAACTATATAAAGATAATTGGTTTCTATTTTCAGTTTTAGTAAAAATTTGAATAATTTTTAAGAAAATTATTCTTTTATAATAACTATTAAAACATTAGATTGTATGCAAAAGGAGGGGAATTGGAAAATAAAAAATTGTTAAGTTCAACTTAAAAGAAAAAAAGTATTTATTGGAATCTAACATATTAAAAATATTTTTTTATAATTATCTTTTGATATATGTCATTTTTCTATAGTTGATTGTAATATAAAAAAACATATATTACCCTTAAATTTTAAAGTATTTTATTGAAAAGAAAAAAAAGTTACACTAATAAAATAATTATTTTACACTTGAAATGAAAGCAAGAAAAGGAAAAACTCAAAAGCAAGCATGCATTGTTAATTATTGCATGCATGCATGCGATCTGGTGTTTCTCTTCATTCCACCAAGTTAGGTTATGGGCACGTTCTGATTAGAATTATCCATTTTTTCTGAATTCAAACAACGACGTCAACAATCACGATCTCACGCCATTTTCATGACCGAGTCACCACTCAGTTCTCCATCATTCCAGACGTTCGATCCACGCGGCGACGGCATTCTAGAATTTGGAAATCCGAAATTCGAAATCCTCAACCTAGAGGATCGTTTTCCGTTGGAGATAGATCTTGGAGTTTGAATAGAACAGAAATTAGGGTTTCTCTTTGGCTTGGAAATAGATCTCGGAGTTTGAAAACAAAACGTTATGGTTTCCTCGCGATGGAAACGTCGGTGATGGCATCGTCGCGGCGAGAGTGGAATCTCGCGCGTTCGTGAAAAGCTTTCAACTCCGATGGGCAACAACTGTGTGGGACCGAACGCCGGCAACGGCTTTATCCAGTCTGTCACGGCGGCTGTGTGGAAGACGCGGCCGCCGGAGCCCCACCTTACCCTGCCTTCTGGAGAGACCAAAACCTCGTCTCCGGCACCGAACGCCGAGAAAGCCTCGGAACGCGCGCCTCCCCGACCCGCGGATCCTCCGATGCCGGTGCAGAGCACACCGCCAGAGCCAGTGAAAATGCCCACCGTGCCGGTCGCGAAGCCGCTCCCGCTGGACCACGAGAAGCCGGCATCGAGCCACACAGAGCCAGTTCCAGCGGAGAAGCCGAAGAAACCCACGCACGTGAAACGCGTGTCCAGTATGGGACTTCAAGTGGACTCGGTGCTGGGTCGAAAAACAGAGAACATGAAGGAGTTCTTCAGCTTGGGAAGGAAGCTGGGGCAGGGGCAATTCGGGACGACGTTTCTGTGCGTACAAAAGGGGACGAACAAGGATTTTGCGTGCAAGTCTATAGCGAAGCGCAAGTTGACGACTCAGGAAGATGTGGAGGATGTGAGGAGGGAGATTCAGATCATGCACCACTTGGCGGGGCACCCCAACGTGATTCAGATCGTTGGGGCTTTCGAGGACGCCGTTGCAGTGCACGTCGTGATGGAACTCTGCGCTGGCGGGGAGCTCTTCGACAGAATCATACAGAGGGGGCATTACACGGAGAGGAAGGCCGCGGAACTTGCTAGGTTGATTGTTAGTGTGGTGGAGGCTTGTCACTCTCTCGGTGTCATGCATAGAGATTTGAAGCCCGAGAATTTTTTGTTCATTAATCATGAGGAAGACTCTCCCCTTAAGACCATTGATTTTGGACTCTCCGTGTTCTTTAGACCAGGTATTCCCCCCCTTTTTTTTAGTGGATCCTTCGTGTTAAGAATCACAGTTTTTAGGACGAAATTTACATCTAGGTAGTGTGTTCATTTTATCAAAATTAGAGTTTGATTTGGCATAATGAAGGTTTACTTTAAATGTTAACGAAGATGAGAAAAATATGATTAGGAGAAACCTGTCATAGATGGTCAGTTAAATTTTCTAGTGGTGATTAGTTATTGATATATCTAGTGGATCCTTCACATCAATATCATCATGGTTTACAAACGTTTACGAAGGTTATTGAAACTCCATTTTTATTAGAGAACAATACTAAAAAAAAATATGTAAGTTCATATAAGTTTTGTCCTTGAGTAAACCGTTAAACTAAATTCCATAAGAACTTAACATATAATGACATAGATTTAGTTTGGAAAAATTTCTCAATAACTAGTTATAAAAGAAGAAAATAAGAAATAAAAGACATTAAACTTTTTGTTTAAGTTAAGATCAAATATGAACCTTGGCTTTTGAAGAAGTTCAACAACTCTTAAAGCATTTAAAAAAGTTAAAGTATGTAAGTTGATTGTTTCTGGGTAACTACATTATTGATAAGAAGTATCTATTAGCTTACTGATGACTAATCTCTATCGGAGAACACGCGTGAGATCTCCCCTCCCAACCATGTTTTTACAATCTACAATATTCGAACTCGAAACTTTGACGAGGAGACTGAGTTCCGTATCACTCAGACCAACGATTTGTTGGTATGAAAATTCATTTTAATTTAAGAAGTCTTGATTTTTATCTTTTTATTTTTATTTTTTGTAAATACTTATGGAGAAATTTATTTAAGCTAGACCTTTTTCACAAGCTTAGTAATATGAAGCTTATGGTTTCCGGTTCTGTCTGCTATTGAATTTGGAAATCGATTTTTTTCTGTTTACACAGGTAATTATGTTAATTTGGAATTGTGAAGACGTTTGTCTTTCTCATCTTCTTTGTCTACTACGAATATAGAGTAAAGACATGTCTCTTTTTTTTTCTCCTCTTCCTTGGGAATTTGTTTTCACAAACATTTTTCTCTTGATGCAGTTCAAGCCAGAACTTTAATATTTTGACTCCCATGTTTTTTCTACACTACATCTATTGCTACTTTGACTTATATTTCCAAAATTAATACTTTCGATAAATTAATTATACGCGTACTACTAAGTCTATTAGTAATTTTTATTTATCTAATGTCAGGGCATTATTATGACTACTTTATGTTAATTAAAGTGAAGACGATCTGTTTGTCTTCCCTTAAATGGACTGAGACTCGTGAAGGAAAGTCAGTTTCATCTTTTTCTAATTCAGATATGCAGAAGGAAGCTGCTCTTCTGATGCATAGATATGTATTTTATCAAATTAACTGAACAGGTTTTTTACTAAGAATTTAAAGAATCATACATGCGAGCAACAACAATAATAAATTATACAAGAAAAAGTGAAAGAATTTATTTATAGAATTCTATTGGGAAGAGAGATGGTGGATGAATTGCTGACCATGTGAGCTACATATTGAATATGTGTGCGAGTGTATGGGTTGTATGGTTTTGATGTTCAAGTCATGTTATGCATGTAAGACATCCTGTTATAGTGCTAACTCGTCAAAGATATGTTCTCTGAACTTACTAGGGGCCTCCGTTTCGTTTAAATATGTTACTCTTCTGCTTTTTATTTGGGATTTGGCTTTTTTTTTCAAATTCAGATTGAGAAAATGTTCATAACTTCAGGTGAAACATTTACTGATGTGGTTGGGAGCCCATACTATGTGGCCCCTGAAGTTTTACGGAAGCACTATGGTCCAGAATGTGATGTTTGGAGTGCTGGGGTGATCATTTATATTTTGCTCAGTGGAGTTCCCCCATTTTGGGATGGTGAGAATACAATACCATATGATTTCATCATGCTATACTTGTTCATCAGTGCCTGATATGATTGGTGTATGGATCAGAAACGGAACAGGGAATATTTGAGCAAGTTTTGAAAGGAGAGCTTGACTTTGTTTCTGAACCCTGGCCAAGCATATCTGACAGCGCAAAGGATCTTGTTCGAAGGATGCTTACGAGGGACCCTAAGAAGCGGCTGACAGCACATGAAGTTCTTTGTAAGTATGCATTCTCGTTGATGCTACTTGGCTTGATTCCTATTTTGGAAGTTTTCTCACTCTTTTTGGAAGTTATTTAGGATTTTCCTTTTAACAATTTGTATTCATGTTGACAGATCGTCTGGTTATTTGCTTGCTACTTACCATAAACTAATAGCTACTTTTATGGTTATAAACTGAGTGTCCTTTCCTATAATGAAACAAAAAATCTTGACCTGTCTGCTTTTACCACACCTTCCTTTTCAGAATGAGAAATATTCCGGCCATGACATTACCAATACACCATTACCACAATATTCAGAAGTTAAACCAAAATTTTGAACTTTGCCTTGTCAGTGGGCATTATCATTTTGATTTTTCAGATGAAATAGTACCCTATTTCACTTTTGGTGTTTTCTTTTGGAATGCCCCGTTTTTATTTTTCACATTAATACATGGAAACTCTGCACTGCAGTATCCAAATGAATAAATATAATTTTGAAACTAGAAATGTATTAAAAATATATTCATGGTTGAATCACTACATTTTTAATTCTAGCTTATTGAGAAACTCATTTTATATACTTTTTCTTTCATAAATGTTTGTGAAGAATTGTTTTGTTCTGAAAGAAACTCTAGATCAAGTTTCTTAGCAAAGACAAAAGGTTTCAAGAACATTTAATTTTATGCTGAAGTGACTGATAAAGGTTTCTCAAAAGTGACATAAAGAGAAGTATCATCATCTATTTATTCATCTGTGCTCTTTGAATGCTATAATCATTTATCTGACTATTTTTCTATAAGAACCATAATTCATGTTCTGTTTCAAAATTGAAACATATTTATTTACATTTTTAAAATATAAAAATATATAAGCTAAGGTTCATGATGTGCAGGTCACCCATGGGTTCAAGTCGGAGGTGTTGCTCCTGATAAACCACTGGATTCTGCTGTCTTGTCTCGTTTGAAACAGTTCTCTGCAATGAACAAGCTCAAAAAAATAGCTATTCGAGTGAGTATCCACTATTTATTTGAGAATATAAATACATTGCATGTACTCGAGAACTATCTTATTTTATTGCTGATATATAATTTCCCATATAAGGTTATCTGGGACATTCACTATATATATATTGACAAAAATAGTCTAGCTGATTAAGCCTCGGACATTCGAAGGAAAAATTGGAAAAGTGCAGCTATTGTCGATAATATTGAAAATTTTGCCAGTTGAAGATAATTGCTCTATTCAGGCAGTGGTTTGACTTACTGTATTATCCCTTGGCAGGTAATTGCTGAAAGTCTGTCTGAGGAAGAAATAGGAGGACTGAAAGAAATGTTCAGGATGATAGACACAGATAATAGTGGACAGATCACTCTTGAGGAATTGAAAAATGGTTTGGAGAGAGTGGGTTCTGTTCTTAAGGATTCTGAAATTTCTTGGTTGATGCAAGCGGTAAGTGCTTGCCTGCAATTACTTAAGGATTCTGAAATTACTTGACTGTTCTATCTACTATTGTTTCTTTTACTAAAGGATCTGTGACTGGTTGTAGTTTGATTTGTTGGAATATTGGAAAGACATTGATATATATTTTGCTTATGGCTACCATTGTACGTTACATTGAATGACCGCTTTGTAACTCATTCCAGAGAAACAAGAATGCCCTAAACCAGAACCGGCCTCTAATATTTTTGAACTAATGCGTTCAATATGTTTTGATTTCATTATGTAATTCATCAAATCAATATTTTTTCTTTCTTGTTTATAATTCAGGCAGACGTTGATAACAGTGGTACCATAGACTATGGTGAATTCATAGCAGCTATGCTACACCTAAACAAGATCCAGAAGGAGGATCATCTATATGCAGCATTCACATACTTTGACAAAGATGGGAGTGGATACATTACACCGGATGAGCTCCAACAAGCCTGCGAACAGTTTGGCCTACACGATTATCACCTGGATGAGATTATACGTGAAATTGACCAGGATAATGTAATATACTGCATTCCAGAGCTTTACTTTTTTTAGTTTCTTTATTTGACTCGTATTCTGCACTGTTTTCAGGATGGACGCATTGATTACAGTGAGTTTGCAGCAATGATGCAAGACACTGGTTTTGGAAAAAAGGGAATTTAGACAGCATGAGTAAAAAATGGACGCCTTCAAGCATTAGAAAATTCTTGATCTTGTCAAACGAGGACTTGATCTCACCTCTCACAGCTAGCATATTACGCCAGATTATGTAAGTACATGCATGCACTTAGAAAAATTGTTTGAGCTTCGGGGAGAAGAAGCTTGAACGGCCTGCTAAAGATAGTGTTTATGTATTTACAAATCATTCTTTTGTCGAATATATAACCTAGTGCAACAGATCACAGTTTTTTCCGTTGAATCTGTAACCCTTTTGGGGGGGGTAAATGGATGGTAGAACGATTTTTCAGCATGTGATCTAACGGTGTTATAAAGTGCTGGTGCGCACTCTACATCAAATTGGTGACAAATTTCAGAAAGCATCGTTGAAGGGCATGCATTTATGAGAGATATGAATGTTCATCCAGCTGTGAAGTTCTTGTGTCTTTAAAGCCATGCCATGCCATGCCATCTTTCAGTCAGTCTCAAACCATGTGTTCGTGCTGAATATCATGTTGTATCAACTCATGTACCCTGTTTGCATTCGTGTATAGAGCTAAGTTATCTGTACCTTTTGATGTTTCACTTTAAGTGTATACACAATCAGTAACTTTTTTTTATCTTTTGTAACTTCTAAATTTTGCCAATGATACGAGTCGATGATATTGATGAGAATCAAGGGATGAATATGGAGCACAAGAAAGTTGTAGCAGACCCTTACCAACCTTTTGGTTTAGCTTTTAACTTTCTTCAAGTAAGCAGGATCATCGAATCAACTCACTTGGCTCATCTTTAAGTAGCTTTTTTACTTACTCATTTGGTATTTTAGTTTAACAAGCTTTAATATTTTGGTTCTATATTTTAGTTTTTTCTCATTTAGTCCTCATATATGTTATGTTTAATTTCTTCTTGTTCTCGTATGAAAATAATAATCTTTCAAAATAAAAAGTAAAAACATGTTCTTTAATCCCTTGTTATTAAGAGTGTTAAAAGAAATTCAACAACACGTCGACGATGTTAAATAACTTTTATCTCTAAAATTTAAATTAAGTTTAAAGTAGTCTTCAAATAATTTTTTAAAATTTATCAAAATTAAAATTACTTTTCAGTCCCTTAAATTTAAAAAGTAATTTTTAATCCGTCAAATTTAAAAGAAAAATCAATCCCCAACAATAGAAATAAATTTTTAGTACCCTTAATTTGAAAATAGTTTACTTATAAAAAATATGTTGAGTTGATAAATAATATATATTTTTATAGTTTTAAAAGTATTCTAAAACTTAGATTAATGAGTAATATTTTTAAAAAGATTGTGTTGGTTTTAAATCTAACAAATCCAGTAATGCAAAAGAAGAGACAAAACTCATATTTTTCCATCTTCTCTTTCTCCCTATCTTCATCTCTTCCATTCATCCTCATTTGCTTCCCCTTTGCCCTCTCTTGCTCATATAAGTTAGGTAAGATTTTATCTTATGCTTTATTTTAGGTTTAAGATTGTAAAACCATTATATTTGATTGCTTTGATGAATTTTGGGATTAGAACTTGGCACAAAAATCATTTTAGAACATTTTTCATTGATACAAATTTGAAGGTTTAATGTGATCATAAATTTATCTTGAGACTAGTTAAAAAATTGCATTGTTAGTTATGTCTATAAAATTTTAATAAAATGATGTCTCATGATAGAACTAAAATGAATTTATTTAAAAAAATTGAAAATGATTTTCTTAACAATTTAAAGACTAAGAATTGTTTTTTTTTTTTTAACTTGAAAGACTAAAAAGTTATTTTCAAATTTAGGAGAAAAAAATTTGATTGAAATTTTAGGATAAGAAGGTATTTAATAATACCAATGTATCATATTAAATATCATATGACCATTACTAAATGAGACTCTCAATTGTGACATCAAAGGTTCATTACCAACATTAGTATTTCTTAGAGACTAGAAACGTATTTTTAAAATTTAGAAGACTTTTTTTTCAGGAACAGAATCAAATTTATCTCATTATTAGGCAAAAATTATTTTTGATCCCAAATAAATTATGAGTAATATAATCCGTAAGTCTATAGTTTGTTTGGTACAGGGAAGAGAGGATGAAAGTAATCACATAATTAATTATGATGTATATAATTGATTATAACAATAATGATTATATAGTAATAAATATGAAAAAAAAATTCACTTATTTTTCTTCTTTTAAAATTAATATAAAAGAAATCTTATTTTATACTTTCATTTTTTTCTTTTTAGTTTTACTATATTTTCTATTATCCCAACCAAACAAAATATAAAACTATATTAATTTTCTCAAAGTAAAAAAATGGATGTTTTATTCTATATTATAAATCCTGTATCTTAATATTATCTATGCAAATAAATTACCACCTAAAGACGCAGCATTATAAATATAATAATGTACATGTATTTACCAATATATATATTAGAAAAATCATTTTATTATTTATGGAAACTGTCCAACAATTCCAAATTGTATTCACAGACATTTCTATAGGCCCATCAAACTTGGTCAAACATTTTTTCAAACACAGTTGGGTCAACACTTCAAAAGAATGGACATGGTAAACAAAGGGCAGCTACAACGCAAGACCTTAGTCAAAGTTCTGTTCCTCTTATGTATGAAGTAAAACATGACATGTATTTATCTGAACTGAGGATTTTAATGAATGAATTTACATCACCATACATGGCACGAATTGAATGAATGTAAAGGAACTAGAAATAAGAAAATGCACGACGATCCCTTCCTCAGTGAAGATTTGAATGTGTAACACTCTAACTTTGAAAGCTGCAGTGAGTAAAAGAGAGATTTTGGATAGACATTGAGTAGCAGCAATATGTTATGTACAAGATTGTTGTCCAAAGATGTACCTCGCACTGAATGAACCCCAACAAAACCATACGAATGAGACGTATGTCACATCATATATTCAAGTTTCACCAATCAACCAACAAATTACACTCAATCTCACGTAAAAGCAATAAAACAACACTACTGCACAATACACCAATTTTCACGATCCATGTGAGAAAAAACAAAATCTCATCGCAGTAGTAGTAGTGTTACTGAAATTCAGTTCATGCTCCCACCTTTGACAAGAGAATTGACAGGTTAATCCCCCACTTGTGTACTTGAAACGCATCTCCATGGCCTTGTTCGTTTTCCCTTGTCCAGAAGCATCAGCAAGCCAACACTTTCAGGTGGTAGACCAAACATATACCTACAGTACGCATTTTAGACGATGAACAATTTCTTCCCAAGGATTCAATGATAATAGTAACAAACATTTCTCTTCCCATACAGGGTTAAAACAAAGCACACAACCTATGAAACCACCTTAGAATGGCAGAATGTTTAATTGACAGCATTACAGTGACATTTGGTAACTTTTTTCTATATACTGACATCCTTAGGAGACTTTTGGTGGACAGGAAATTTTTAGCTTCCCAGAAATCTAAGTGGAAAACAACTTTCATGATTAGTTCGCGTTTTAAAAAATAGCATTCCCAGTTGTTTTCTGGGAATGGTTTCTGGCCAAGTTTCCCATGAAAACATTTTCATGTGGGGAGATGGGAAACTAACTTTTCCGAGTTGAAATAAAAAATTAAGTTAAATATGTTTTTGGGAATTATATTTTTGAGGAAATTTATTTTTGTCCTTATATTTTAAATGTTTAGTCCTCAAATATTACAAAAATATAAATTTAGTCTTTTAATCAACTTTACAATAATAATAAAAAGTTACTAAATACCAAATTTAGGTATAAAAATTATTAAATTTAAAATTATTTATTTTATCAACTATATTAATGTAAAAAAAGTCATAATTAAGTATTAAATTTAGGTATAGAAAATGACTAAAATCACATATTTTCAAAAGTTGGAGAATCAAATTGATTAATTTGAAAATACAAAGATCAAAGAAAAATTCCTGATAAAGTTCAAGAATCAAAAACATACTTCTTCAAATATTACTGAGAAAAATGCAATGCTACTCTAATCAAAGCATTTAATATGACAATAAAAGGATTTGTAAAGACATCATGAATTAATGAACATGGCCTCACTCGACTCAGCAATTTTAGGCTCCTAGTTTCCATAAATGTAGAGGCTCCTTCAATTAGCTTCTATAGAACGGCTTTTAATCATTAAAGAAAAAACTAATTTTAGATTTAAGGGTTTTTCTAACACTATTATTGACTGAAACTTATTGAAAAATTACAAACTTGGGTAGATCTTACGTCTCTAATAATTATCCTCTGCTCTGATTTTCTAGCATTCCATCAATTTTAATCAGTATAGAGTGTGTTAAAAAGGTGTCTTAGAAAATGTGTCTCTAAATACAATTCTCTTTCTAGAATTGTATCTGGTCAAACAATCCCTTCAAAGGAAAAGAAAAAAGACCAAACACCAAATTCAATGCATGTTAAACATGCTCAATATTTTGATAATCCAAGCCTACCACAGTTAAATTCAGAGGCAAATGATGAACATTACAAGATAAAGATAAGACTCAATTATTAATATCTTATTATAGGTGTTATGACTTATGAGCAAAGGCCACTTGAATTAAAAAAAGTGCATTCTCTTTAAAATGATTTCTAAGTACAGAGATTATGAGAATTATGCCAGAAAATAATTGATGAGATCCACTGAGCACTGCAACATAGTGATAACTTACTTGCTTGGATGAGCTCTCTTTCTCCAGAAAACAATTGAAGAGACCCACTGAACACAAAAAGATGAAATGGCATAAGTTTTATTTTCAAAGCTTTCATCAAATATATGCATGTTTTCAACCATGCAATTAGTTAAAAAGAGCTTGAATTCGGCTCTTCGAGCAACTCATACAGTAGCATGGGGCTTCATATTTTAGGGGAGAGGTTTTACAAAGACAATGACTACTACAAAGAGGAAAAATGAAACCACCAAGAGAACAAAGGAAAAATGTCTTTATGAAATATGAATTATTTCTGCTTTTAAATGAAAGACATATTAATTGACTTGACAAGTTAGTTTGTAAGCAATTTTCAAAATCTTGTCTAAGCCAACTTTGTTAGCTGAAAACCACTTCCAATAAATTCACAACTGAGGGGCAACAGTGATAAGTAGAATGATAACAAAAGATTGGTTATCTAAATGCAACCTTGGCACGTACCTAAAAGATGGATAGATTAAATAGGATGTGTCCTTCTACGTCGTATATATGGTAGAAAAAATCCATTGTATATTTGTATCGTTAGTAACCATTATAATCATTAAAGTACCTTAAAAATTGAAAATACTGAAGAGTTGCCAGCAAAACTCGGTTTCCTTGCCATTTTTCTTCGCGGGGACATCTCTTTGCACAGATGTTGAGCAATTTCCTTCAGTAACACCAGTTGTGCTTTATCTGTGCGCATTGAAATGATTGCCTGCCTCATTGATTCCCTATCAGCCTCAAGTGCCTGAAGCCTCATGTAAAGCTTCTTGACGTAGGGATCCTCAAAATCAGTAGCATGATTCCCTGACTCCTTTGGAGTGGTAACACGCTCTTCGAAATCAACAGCTCCAGCTTTGGAATCTCTTAAACCATTATATGGTGACTCACAATGAACAGAATCAATTGTATAAATTCTGTCATTCACATCTTCACCTTCTGATTCATTATCTACCTTGGAGGGATCCTCTGACTTTGAGAAATAATCTCTCTTATGGTTATTATTGAGATTGGGAGAATCAATCATAGATTCGGGCCCTGCTTCTTTAACCATCCCATCAAATGATGTTGAGTCACAGGAAAGTCTACTAGAATGCTTATTCATTCTTGGAGACTGTCCAACAATCACTTTCTCTAGAACATTTTTCCCTGTAAAATCCCCTTCCATCTGGCTATAAGTGGGAGTTTTCTCCATTTGAGAAATCCTATTTTCCAAGTTTTTCAATCGGTCAGTTGGAGATTCACCAAAAGCATATTTCTCTACATCCGTGTCATAATTATCAGCATCCATAGCACCATGCACCACACTACATTTCAAAGGAGGATATTCATAGGGTGGAAGTTCATATTGATCACCCTCGGCCTCTTCCTCAGTAAGACCAAAACTCATCAACCTGTGTTTGTAAGCCTGAACTTCACAAGTAAGTGACTGAATGATCTGTTCCCTCTTATACAACAAATCTTCCAAAGATAGAAGCTCCTCCTGATCGTGTGTCATCTTCTCCTCAGCAAAACGCTTGAATTGGCGTGCCTCCATTTGAACCTCTGCCTTTTCCCTCTGCAGCCTCAACATCATGGACATGGCCTCATTCGCAGCCGTTGATGAAGAATTTCTCTCCTCCTCCAACTCTGCATTCAAATCTTGAATGGTTTGCTGCTGCATACTGACCATCTCACGCAGGGCAACACATTCATTCCCAATTTCAACCCGTGCAAAGGCGGGCATGGCCAGTTGGCCATCCATTTTGAACTCATCATGCTTCCGTTTAACAGATCGAATCCAAGTCCCCGAAGATTGAGCTAACATGGAGCAATCACATCCACAATTGCAACATTTCAACAAATCCCTGGAAGATGGGACTAATTCCGAAGCCATGGATCAAAATGCGCAAAAAACCTTGAAGCACTTAAAATCACCAACACCGTTTCACCAAATTAAAAAAAAAAAAAAAAACAAATCAGCTAACAAAAATGCCCACTATTTGAAACTTTTTGATATTCACTTTTACATCCCCTGTGTCTTCTCCTCCCTCTTGTCAATCACCGTCTCCATCGGATCAACAATTAAGGCAAAAATCCTGTAACAAAATAAACGACCATGCTAAATCTGATAACAATAACAACAACTACCCAATCAACAAAAGAAATTTCAAAACAGAAAAAGAAAAAAACATTCAAAGCCTTAAAAAGGAAAAGCAAAAGCAAAATCCCCAGAATTAAAAATTTCGATTTTTTTAATTCCCCTTTTGCAAAACAGCATCAATTCGTTATCCCCGAGCCTAATTTTCCCAAGCCCGAGAAATCCAAAACCAACAACCCCCCCCTCCCAAAAAACAAAAAGGAAATACATAAAAATTAAGAACCTACCATGAAGGAGTTGCCGTTGACGAATCAACAACAACGACGGCGAAGGTCACAAGATGGAGAAAACAACGCAAAATTTCCCGGAAAATTCACCTTCTCCGGGCAAAATTAGCAACCAAAATAACGAGGAAAACAAAGTGCACCCAACAACCAAACCGGAAACAGTTGAATCCTGGTTTTCTTGGAATGAAACAATGGGGGAGCGGGAACGGTGTTTGGTGGGAAGGAAAAGTCGAACGATAAAAAAACAAAAAACGAAAAACAAAGACGAATTTATTATTATTCAGAAACCCTAGATATTTTAATTGGTTTTTGATGTGTTTTGTCGATTTGTTTTATCTGGGTTATCTGATTTTTTTTTTTTGTGGGGGATGGGAAACTGTAGCTGATTGATCTCTCTCCCCAAAGAGAGAAAAAAAGAGAGAGAGACAGAAAAGAAGAAGGAGAGAGAAAGAGAGATAAAACGAAAGGGTGAAACTTGCGAACGCCAAGATTGAGAGTGTGAGCTGTTTGAGGGAGCTTTGTCGGAATTCACAACTTTTCTTTGTTTAAAAAAAAAAAACATTTATTTGTGACTGTCAATTTCACAAAATATTTAAATCATATCATATATTTTAAATATTACCGAAAATTCAAATCTTTTTAAGGACCACATAATCTGCAACAAAGATTACCAGCTTCTCAAATTCCAAATTACTGTTTAAACCATAATTATTTTATACCACTTTATATTTGTTTAAAATATTAACAATTACTTCTTATCAGAATATTTTATTCTCTTTGAAAAAATCAAAATATTTTATTGCTCAATGTTAATTAAATCATATATTTTACAAAAAAAATGTCTTGTTTAAGGAATTTTTTAAGATATTATTGAGTAACACCTTCTTGATATTTTAAATAATAAACAAGTAGAGACAGAAAAAAAGTCTTTTTGAAATACCAATTAAAATTAGACAATGACAAAAATAATAATTTTCAACTAAACCACGTTTTTAATCATGACCCATTTTAATTAAAATAAGAAATTAAAGAGTAAAACCAAAAATATTTATAAATTTTATTTAAAATTTGCGCTTACCATTTTCGTGTGGATTTAAATGTTCCCTATAAAATATGTAGTCAATGTATGGTTTTTAATTAGTTCAACAAAGTATGTTTGAATGCACTTTTACCATTTACTTTTTTTTATTTTTTTCATTATTAAAATATACCTTTCTGATTCAATAATTTTTTTCTTTTTACTTTTTTCTTTTTTCTTTTTTCTTCCCATTTTGTGTTCTTTGACCTTGAGTTTTATTAAGAAGTTGCCAGAGTTAGAATTTCAAATTACCATAACGACAACTATAAATAATTATTATTTATTTATATGATTCAAATAAATAAATAAATAAATAAACGTGTATTCAACTACTGGTTTATATTGTTTATTTATAAATAAATTGAAAAAAAATTGATTTCTTGATGCAAATAAATTTCATAGTTTTTGTGTTGATACAGCTATAAAATGCAGGCACAGTTATACAAACTAAATTTGTAAATGTGGTTTTTGCATATTAATATCAATCATTTGTTTAATTTCCGCAAATTTGAGACGTTATTATTTAGCAAATATTGTATCTTGAAAAAAATATACATATCAATTTTTTTTTATAACTAGAAAAAAATTATTTAAATAAAGGTGAACTTAAAAAGATAAGTGTCTAAAAAATTACAATAAACATTTTTTATGTTTATGTGGGATATTTACATGTGAAGATCATTTAAAAATCAATTTAGACGAAGTAAGAAGAAAAAAATGAGAGATCCTTTCATAAAATAAAATATGAAATCATTAATTTTCAATGTTTTTTTAATTAAGAAATATATAAATGAAGTTATAATAGAGTTTGAATCATTCTTTACTTATATAATAATAATAACTTACACAATAAAAATAACCCTTCGTACTCATCAACCAATCACAAAGAAAATCAGAAACTCATAATTAACTTACTTTTTTAATATATGATTATACTTGTATCATGAAATGGTCCTCGTTTTTGTTAAAGATTAGTGCTTTAATTTGTGTTATTAGATATATGATAATATTGTTAATATGTGTTTAAAATATATATTAATAAATTAACAAATATATATAATTATTATTGTCTTAATTTCTAAATGATGTGTAAGTTTTAAATATATCATAAGATTTTTATGTATTATGCTTAATCACTAAGTCATTACAAATAACATTAATATATAGAGAGAATTCTCAACTTTAGAAAAAAAAGTTGAGAATTTTTTATTATTTATTTTTAATCTAATAATTAATAAAAATTATTATATTAGATTGTTAGACTAAAAAATACTAATAAAACGAAAATTAGATATCCAGTTCTTATTCAAATTAATGAATATATATAATAAAAGGAAAAATGATGAACGTATATTTAAGAAGCAAAAGAAAATGGGCCCAAAATATAACAAAATTAAAGGACATGGCCCACTAGAAGGTTATTTCTTATTTGTTAAGAAATAAATAAAAACTATTAAAAAAAAACTTCACATTTGTTATACTTTTTTTGGTTGTTAATAGGATACGATATTTAAATCATTACAAATTTTTCTAGTATCTTTAAAATGAATTAGTTTTGAATTTGATTCGTGTAAAGTTTTTTCATTTCTCTAAATAAAAATATATTATGTTTTATTATATTATATGAGACATTTGTTAATTATTTATGATTGAACAAAATATTAAAAGATTGTTTCAAGTTATGGTCACTAGTGTATCTCATAATATTAACATATGTACCATTACAAAATTCAAATCTCATAAATAAACATAATAATATATTTTTTAACAAATACTAAAAATAAAAATGAATATTTAAATATTTAGAAAATACAAACTTCGTATGTTAAGGCAAGACAAGAAAAAATAAAGAACAAAAAAAGTACAAATTTTATAATAAAAAATATTTTTAATGTGTTTTAGATTTTTTTTATCGTTATTTTTAAATTAATTTAATTTTTAGCGTCCTATTTTAAAATAAAGTCTCCCTCCTAGGATTCATGGGTTAGCACAACTATGGTTTTCAAGCACTTAGCCCAATATTTGTTATATATTTACGTGAAGCCCAAAAGATACAATTGCTTTCGGCAGCTCTATATTTACTTTCCGCACCTCTTCATTACATTCAATGCAAATGATAAAAAAGACGTTTTAAAAATTTGTAATGCATATAAAAACATTAAAATTATGTTTTATTTATTCTGAATTAATAATTTTGTAATATCTCATAATAATTTTATTTATTATGAACGAATAAGATTAATTTTTAATATTAACGATTTAGACTTATTTCTCCCACACTAAAAAAAATATTTTCATAAAGAGAATGAAAAAGAAAATATTACTAAATTTTAAAGATTAAAAGTTGGATATTAGTTATCTTTTGCGTTTCAAGACTATAATACTAGCGAGATGTTTTTTTATGATTGTAATATTTTTTTTATTGAATCTTCCTTATAGAAATAATATTTACATTTTTATTATATATTATTATCTTATTGTATTTTTAGTTAATCTAATTTTTTTTAATATAATGATTACTAAATTAATGAAATGTTTTTTTTAAATAGAAAATATTAATTGTTAATAGGTTAGTTTACTCAAACTTATTCCTATCTCTTATTCCCTTCAATTTTTATCACAAAGTCAACATATATATCTCAATTATGACTTGTAATGTGAATAGGTATGTTATGAAGGTTAATTAAAAGGGTTTATATTTAGAATAATGTCATATCACAAAGTCTATTTTTACATTTTCATAAAACTATAATCACGAAAGATAAAAAAAGAAAAAATGAAATTACAATAATACTCCTAGTGTTACAATATCAAGTTGAGATTCGATTTGTGGATTTTGTGGTAATGTTTTCGACATAGTCTCGTGCATGCAGACAAATGTTGTGTTCTTCCCATGGAAGATCATCTTTTGATTGTTTGTTTAGCCATTACATAGAGGAAAAATGATGCCACTGTTTATTTGTTAACCTTAAGGAAAACGACAAAGAAACCAACAAGACACATGACCAGTTTTATTTAGTTTTTAATAATTTTGTTGTACTTTTCATTTTTTATTATAAAACGTGATAAATTTTTGTAACTCTCATATAATTTATGATTTTGATTCTCAAATATAATAAATATTTAATATATTTATTTGTATATTTACAATTTTATCTTCTCAGTCTCTCCTTAATTTTGTGACTCTCATCCAAATTTTGATTTTGTTTCCTCAAACTTAATGATCATTTAATATATTTAAATATATATTTACAATTTTATCTTTTCACCCTTTCATATATATTTTTTTTATATTTATTTATTAATAATATATTATTTGACCCCTATGTTCACTTAAAAATATCAAATACCAAAAGTAACTTTAACTATTTATCTTTATCTTACATTTTGATTTAATTAAAAAAGGATAGTCACTCTTTTAGAACAAATATGTGGAACTCAGTTAATGTTTTTATATTACTGAATATTAATCTTCTTTTCAATTTATCAGTAATATTATAAAGAAACTCTAACATTTAAGTTAATAATAAAATATATATCAATATATATATCAGATAATAGAATTACATTACCTTTTTTTTTTCTTAAATTTACTAAGAAGTGAGGCACAGCAACAGTTACATTTTTAAGACATTAAGCATATTAAAATAATATAAGAGATTAGAAAGGAAATAATTATTTTTTTAAATCACTCTTGAGTATTTTAAAAAAGTTATTTTTCATCTCAAGAATTGTTTTTTAACCTAACAATCGAATATTACGTCTTGAAATTTATTAGATTTTTATAAAACGAAAGATTAAAATTAAAATAACATTTTTTTCAATTATTCTTGAAACAACTTCATTTCTTTCTTCTTCTTTTTTGTCAAAAATCCTTAATTATATAGTACTAAAAGTTTAATTTTGTGTACTATTTTTAAGTCACGTGTCACTCCAAATCACCATTAAAGTGTTCACCTTAATTATTCAAAAACATACGTTGTATTGAACAATGTACATATGTTAAATGAGAGTACGAGGTAGTCCAATCATAGTACAAATAACATGCCTTTCATATTGTAATGAATTAATAGGCTATTATTACGTAAAGGAAAACCACATTCCAATTTTCTAGTCAACCTTTTCAACCCTAAAAACAAATACATTAATTATTTTACAATATCAAATAGACTTGAGATTGAAAAGTTTGGGGACTTATCTGCAAAAATATAAGATGGAAAAACAACCTTTGATGAGTCATCTCCATTTAGAACACCTTTTTTAAAATGACTAGATTATTTCTTGAATAAAGAGTGGTACTTTATCTAACACCACAAACCAATAAAGGAATATTTTCAACAATTTAGTTTTTTTTTTTTTTAATGTCCATTGGATCAATGTACTTGTGATATTTAACATAAAAAAAACTTGATGAGAACCAATGTAGGTCCTCTTAAACGAAAGAAAATGATTGAGAAATTGAATATGAGCATTTGGTTTGCATAACAAATTTTATATTAAGACCCAGAAATCTTGATTTATTCGAATTCATTCATCACTTTAAAAGATTTATGAAGTTTGATTGTTTGAATCGATATTAGTAGGTTAGATATTGTTTAACAAATAATATTCTTTCTAGCTTAAACAATAAAATACAACTTTTTTAATATATAATAATGTGTTATCAACAAATCAATATTTCAAGTATTGTTATAAACAATATACTAAAATTTGTATTTTAAAGTAAATAAGATTTTTTTATCATATTATTTTTTAGTAATTTATACTAACTTTTTAAAAAAATTATTTTAACTGGTACTTTTGTAAACATATATATATATATATATATATATATATATATATATATATATATTTCACTTGATAATAATTAAATATTAATTTAATATATTTTAACTTAAAATGATGGTTAAATTAGAGGATGTTCTAAATTTTTATAATTCTTTTTAAATCTTTATAAAATTAATTTCATTTTAAAAATTTATAAGATAAAAAAATTATTCAAACAAATATTATATATAATTAGCATAGGTTATTTTGTAAATAAATATGTATATTTATAACTTTGATCATTAAATATATATATATATATATATAGATTTATAATTTATTTTTTTATAAATATTAAATTAAATTAATAAATATATTTAACAAATATTTTATATTCTTTATTTATTATTTATTAATAATATATTATTTATCCTAAATTATTAATGAAGATCCGTTAATTAAAAAAATACTACTATTATTTTAGGGATTTCCATAACTCCAATGCAATTAGTTGGAAGATACAAATTCTTTTATTTAATAAACACATTAAACACCTTATACTAGAGATACTTTAGGAAAAATTTCTTTTATAATTAATACAAAAAAGTTAAAAAGATAGCAATTGAAAATATACACTAAAGCATCTTCAACCTGCAAACTACGTCCACTTTATTACCATTTTACCAAACTAGAAAACATGCATGGAAAAACTTTGACTAGATCATACCCAAAAGAACAGTGTAAGACCCTTTGGTGATGTTCTCTTTCTGATATATGCTCTAATCAGAATTCTGAAGCATGAAGCGTTTGATGACTTGCAGGACCTCTTGGGCAACTTGTGAACAAGAATCATGAGTGAGAAAGCCATGTTCCTTCCCCTTAACCTCAACGTATTCAATGTTCTTCCCTTGTTCCTTCAACCTTGTTGCATAGTCTTTTGCTCTGTCCTTGAGCAATTCATTGCCACCAACAATGACTAAGATAGGATCAAGCTTCACATGTGCAAGGTTTGGACTGATAGGACCAAATGGGTTTGCCAATGGGTGATCCCTTGTTCCTCCAATAGGTATTGACAACCTCCAAAATCTGCTTCATCAAAGAGTTAAACCCTAACACCACTTTGATTAATATAAAATAGTGTTAACATTCATCTCATTTTAAAGAGGATTAGAGAGAAAAGAAAGATGTAAGAAAAAAAAGGAGATCAAGATTATATATATATATATATATATATATATATATATATATATATATATATATATATATATATATATATATATATATATATAAAGTGAATGTCTATATTGAGTAGAGTTTACGTATAATTGATTGAGAAATCTAAATCGAAAATTTGAGAATTATTATTTTCACATATATAACTACGAAAATAAAAAGCTCAACAATATAACTATATATAAAAAAATAAAAAATATTTTTTTAACGAGTTATATATAATTGAAATTTTTTATTTTATTAAAGATAATTTTGAACAATTCTCACATGATGTGCTTGGTTGAATGAGGCAACCCTCCAAAAAGGTGGATTTTCACTCGAGAAAAGTTTTTGAATAATTTTGTTGTTTGAGGATATGACAAAGAGAACTGAATTTTAAGTGATTGTCGAGATGCTGAATAATTAATGTTGCTTTTGGTGTTGTGCAAATTCATCTCTTTCTCATCATGTACCCACTTCTATCATAAGTATTAGGTGTTTTCAAAGCATGTTCAGTTGATTGAACTAGATAATTATGCTTAAGATTTTATTTTTTTATTTTTGTCTATGAATATGGTCCTCTTGTATTTTTCATCTTAGGTTAATTTAGTATGTCCGATACACAATTGAACATTGGGTTCAATATATTAACCATTTGTTTCTGACTTATGATTTATTATTAAGGTTAAAATAACTTCTTTTTTTCATGAAAATAAAACAGAATTTTTGTTATTATCTATATAATATATTAGTTTGAGTGTACAGTTTGTATTCACTTTAATTGCTTAAAACGTTGCACTGAATAAATGAAACATAAAAAAGAAGAAGAAAGAGAGTACATAGCAAATTCTCTGATAAACTATCACTCTTATTAAATGAACATGGTGGTAACTTCATTCTAATTTTTTTAATGGATTGTTGTGTTTTAATCTAAAATCCTTTAATTATAATTATATGTTTAACAACAATTATGATTTCTCATTCCTTCACAAAGTCGATTTCTGAGTATTGAATCTCTAATTAGTCCCACAATTAGAGTTTTTTTTTTTAAAGAGAAATGGTTATAAACTTTCTTTTTTTTACACAAAAAAGCCTTATATAATTTCCATACAGAATCATCAATTTACCTATATATCAACTTATAGAAATACATAAAAATTTCACACATGCATTTTCTATGGTTGTCTGAATTATTTTAAAAGTACTTTACTTTTGAAAATGTATTCTACTCGCATTAGGTTGAATGTAAGAAATATATTTCTTTTTTTATGTAACGTGAGAGAAAAATAATCATGCATGTGGAACGATTGTTACGTGCTAAACCTAACACTACTATAAAATGTGAAAAAGTTGCCCCTCTTACAACTGAAATTTTGTATTCACGACTTATAGATGATACTTATAACTTAATCAGAATTATAACTAAAATTTATGTAGAGATTGTTATACGTATCATAAAATTATTGATATTATAATGATTATTTTAAATAACTTTTATGATAGTTAATTTTTAAAAAATTATAACAATTTTTTATGAAAATAGAATATAAAAAAACCTAATGTTTTAGTTTGTTCATCACATAAAAAAAAAAAAAACTAGACCCTTAAAAATTTACATAAAATAACATTGAATAAGAAATATAATGAGAAATAATAGATAAGCATAAAAATTATAAGATTAGGAAAAGTGCTGTTGAATTTTCAACCTTTACCTGTCCAGCATATCAAGTGTCAGCGTTTGTTCCGGTGGGCCCACCTCCGACCTCGTCCGAACCACCCCACCGAAAAACGGACCCATCAGCACGTAACCTCGTACTCGAACCGGCTCCATCTCCCTCGAACCGGACCCGAGCTGAACCGCCAGGTGGTGCGCAATGTTCCCGCCAGACGAGTCGCCAAAAACAAACACGCGATCAAAGTCAACGCTGCGCGCCGCCCACGCGTCCCCGCCGTGTCCCTGCCTCTGCAGCCACCGTATCGCCTCCACGCAGTCGTCCACCGCCGCAGGAAGGCGGTGCTCCGGTGCCAGACGATAGTCTGGCGCCACCACAACCGCACGGAGAGCCACCGCGATACACGCACAACATGCATGAATATGCGGCCACGCGCGCGACCCGAAGCAGAAGCCTCCACCGTGGAGGAACATTAGCACGGGTAACTTTTCGTTATTGTCGTTGTTGCCTTCACCGTCATCAAGTTTGGGTTTGTAGAGACTGAGGTGGAGGTTAAACTTTTTGTGGAAGATGTAGTCTTTGAAGAGTACGAGGTTGTCGTGTTGGGTGGGTGAAGGTTTTTCTTGGAACTGAATATTGGAACGGAAAACGGTGCCGTCGCTGAAGAGTTTGAGGAGACCCATGCAGTCTTCTACTACGTGGGGAGGAAAAGCCATAATGTTGGTGTGTTGTAGTGAGTTGTTCTGGTTTTGGTGATGGATTTAGAGTGATAGGGACGAGGGATTTAAATACATAAACATAGGGCAAGGTTGACACAAAATCTAAACTAGGTGATGAATAAGATCATCAGTAATCTAATCTAATCTAATATTATTATATTTTTAAATGAAATCAATTTTTAAAACTTTTCGCAACTAACCATGATCACCTGTTAGGTTAAAAGGGTTTAATCTATGAATGAAATTGTGCGGATCCATGTATATTATCATAACATAATATTATTCGTTTTGGAATGATCACGATTTTTTCCTTAAAAACATGAAACAATAATGTATTCATATCTCTATTTCTAAAGACTCATCATCGTAGGAAACAACGGTCATTTCATTTTCTTTGAAAATTTATATTTTTGCACAAGTTGAACTCAATATAGATAAACATATAAAAGAGAAATGTAAGATATACCTGAAAAAAATTGAGTGATGAGGTCATGTGATAACATATGTTTACTTTTTTTTAATCAATAAGAAAAACCAAAATCTAAACCTAAATATATTTTTATATTAAAACCTAATTCAAAGTTTAGTACAAGTTCTGTTAGGTTGACCCATTCAAATTGGAATATAATAATTATGAAAGCATGTGCATTTTGAAAGCGGTGAAGAGCAGCATAAATGGTCGTTGGACACGTGAGAAAATGGATAGGAAGAAACCTTGATACAGAGGTGGTGATGATGTGATGGAAAAGAAAAAATAAAATAATAAAAATAAATTAATGTAATAATTGAGGTGTAGAAAGACTAAAATCAAAACAAATGTAATGAAAAAGTCAAAAATATAAACAAAAGTTCATGACAGCAACGTTTCTCTTTCTCCATTGTTGTTGAGCGTGGAACCGGTGGCACTCCAAGATGTGACATAAAGAAGTGCAAGACGAACTACATAGCAAATGTCACAATTGCTTGGGAATTACATGTTTGAATTTTTGGTCTTTCGTACCATGATTAATCTTTTGATTTCCTCACGTTACAGAAACTAAAACATTGTGTAGTTAAATTTCAGATTCTTTCATAGATTAGGCCGAGATATTATGCATGTAAGATATGTTGAATGGCTGTATATATATTGATTATGGATGATTAATAAATTAATCGATATTTTTAATGTAGATTTACGATGTATCTATCTTAAAACATTTTTGAGGTAGCTTTCTGCTTAGGTAATGTGATGGCTTTTGCATCGGTTGTAGATTTTTTTTCTCTCGATAAAAAATAACTATTAATATTAAAGTTAGTTGATCTTTCAATTTTAATAAAAAATTAATATATCACTTTTATAATAATAATAATAATAATAATAAAATTGAATTATGTATATAAAAGATGAGGGATTAAGTACGTGAGTTAGAGATTTAATTTTCATTCTCATATTTATTTTCTTATAATCTAGTGATTAATATTAATTAATATTTTATATAAAAATATTAACAATAAAAGTAAATATTTCACTTTTATTTTTATATATATATATAAAGTAAATTATACTATATTGAAAAATTTTTATTAAAGTGAAGTATTATTATTTATAATTATTCTGATATATTTATAAGTCTTATATCATTTAAAAATTAAGATTAAAAATAATTTATATATATTTTTCTTTTTTAATATATTAAAATGTTTTTTAAAAATAAAATCATGAAAATTTTAAAATAAATTATTTTAACGTAAAAATTGATCTAACGATATTATTATATTTAATAACAAATATGAGATTATAACCTACTTATTTTTACGTGAAACAATAATCATATTTCCACTATCTTTATCTATAATATCTGTTAAGAGAAGATTTGAGTGATCATGTTTTCTGTATCTCTCACCCCATTACCAAAATAATTCATTGGCTTTACTTGAATTAATAATGTATCACACAATCATGGTAACTGAATAAATGAAATGTATGATTGGAAATGAAAAGCATATTCTTAATGAGGATTTCTTAATGAAGAAAGAAAGGAGAGTAATGGTTTGGTGGGGGATGTTGTCCTTTATAGAATAGAGCAAAGAAAGATGAAATCCTTCAAGAATCTAAGCAATTCTTGTTTCCTTATTGGTTTTTTCCATAGCATAGACCTTAGCCTTTAGAACCTAGATTGACACAAACAGAATCCTAGAACATCATAGTCAACATGGTAATGTGTCTTTCCCACAATACAATGATACTTGAACGACCATGCACCACAAGCTTGATCAAAGGTTAGAATTTTGTGCTGTGTGGTATCCCCCAAGATCCTTTTTCTTTCTTTTTCATGGTATTATCTAGGGAAAGTGAAAAGAACATCTGCATGTTGATAATGGACCGACAAGGAAGGAGATAACGATGACGATGGAATCCAGTGAATGTTGGTGAGCATCATATTCTCAGAAAAAGGTCAAATTAGTAAGTAGGTGTATCTGAGTAGGAATGTCCAAATCCCCAAAGAATATTCATTTTCATATGTTTGTGTAGTGACTAAGAAATGGGGTCGCCCTTCTTCAACCACTCATCAAAGAATCATCGTCCACTTCTTACAATAATTGGCATAGTTAAATACCATTTTTTTTCCATGGTTATGATGTAACACTATATTTTAACATTTCATTTTAAACTAATCTAATTTCATTTCAGTCATTAAATACTTGAACAATGCTCAAACATTTTCACCTTAGATTAACACTTTTATCTACTTTTTATTAATTAGCAATTTGTAATTTCAATTCTCTTTAAATTACAAAAATATCAATCTTTTTTCTATAAATTTACTAAATATCGGTCAATTTAATTTTTATTTTTATAGTTTTGAGAATTAAATCAATTATGTGAATAATGAACATTAGAGGAGTATTCTAAGAACATTTAATGATTTTTAATAAAATTTAATTAAAAAAAAAATCAAAGTGAAAGAATATATATATATATATATATATATATATATATATATATATATATATATATATATATATATATATATTACTATTTCTCACGTGGAGTAGTCACCTATCTACCTCTACCAGCTTCTCAGTTTGGGCTCTTGGTGGACTTGTAACATAACTAACTACTGATGCTGCTATTCCCACCTCTCCTTTCATATTCCTACCCCAAGTTTGTGTTTTTCAAATATCCTCGATGGCAAAACAATTTTGTTGAACATTATATTATTCCTAAAACATGTTTATGTGAACAAAACAGATGTTTGAATTGATGTAATATGAACCCTTGGTTTCAACCATTCAATCATTCTTTCTCCCGTGATCAATACTAGTATCATACATAGCACATGAATTTTAAAGAAATGAATAATAATTTAATTTGAGTTAATTATTAATAATTAAAAATATTATATTTATTTTTTATGATATATTAATCTTAAATTAAAAAAAATCACTATTTGAAACAATTTATAAACAATAAATTTATAAACAATTTATTACTTTTTATTAATTTTTCACGTTAATTTATAAATTTATAAAACTCATATTAGTTCAAACCAATATTCTAAAAACGGATCCATTATATGTAAAATTTTAAGATTAAGATTGATTGATATATTAACAAAATTATTTTAAGTAATTAGAAAAAGTATAAAATAATATTAAAAATATAATATCATAATTTGATGATGAAAAAATTAAAATGATACATAAATTTATAAGCTTTTAACTATTATAAAAAATTAATAGAAAAATGGCCTATACAAGAATCATGATTCAAGCCTTTTTAGATTCTTAAATTGAATCTTACATGAATTATTAAAAATGCATCGTTTAACTCAATTTTTTAAAAAATCAGTTTTGAAATAAGATTTGGATCTCTGCATATAATTTAACCATGTCTCTTGTTAATTTTGGATCTCTAATATTGATATATAGCAAGAAGAAACAGAAACCTAAGAAATCTGTGTGAAAGAGAAGCATGTGATCAAATTTTGCTAATCGAGAGGCATTTACACGATTGTGGTCCAGTGGACAGACAAAAACAGTGAATTGGAATTGAATGAAGGCTGCAATATTTTGATTTGGTTGTCGTGAACGGTGGTGTATTCATTGGACTGTGTGGTGTGCATGCATGGTTGTGGAGGTAGTGGAGGCACGTAGCACAACTATGCTTGCATGTCACTTCCAACAGTCTCAGCTAACTCTGTTGAGTTATTTCATGCTCACCCTAGTTAAAGGATACATAGTTCTCCCAAGAAGAAGAAAAAAAAAAAAATCTATGGTGATTTAAAGAACAAAAAGCCAAGGATACACACAGAGATAGAGATACGTGGAATGTTAGAGAATGATTGGAAACAGAAAGGGGTGACGCCATGGTCCATGAAAAGCAACGTTAAGATGATTGCATGGCTACTCTGGCACTCATATTGTATGCTCTAGCTTAATGCTCTCCCCACTGACTTTTTTTGGCGCAGATCACAATCACTGTGGCGTGGCAATCAAACAAAAGTGTGAGAAAAGACAGCATCCATCTTCATTCATGCATTCTCCATCTTCGATTGCGTTGTGTTGCATGCATGGTGCCAAATGGAGGTGGAAAAAACATGAAGCCTTAAAAGGACAAAAGGTTTTCACGCTTGGGTTTTTCGACCATGCCAGCTCAGGGCCAAATCTTCCCATTCTTGGAATCTATGAATGGAAGATATGATATGCATGTCCCTAAAAGAAACAAGATCTTCATGTGAGCTGTCATAGGCTTTGCTGGTTTTCTATCGTGGATTGTTCCAGTGAAAGGCATTGATATACGTGTATTAGTGATAGATATGGTTCATGATTAATTACTTCAAAACCCTTTTATCTTAAGCTGAGAAAGAGAAAAGATTATAAGTTATAAAGTTCAGAGGAGTCATATATAAGTTAAGGATTGGTTATTATACACTTCTAATCTCAAACCTTTAAATGAAGAAATTATAAATTGGATTCTAAAAACATTTGACTCATCAATTATGGATTAGCAGGAATATGAGTGTTTTTTAGGTATATATATCTCGCATTTATTATTAAAATTTGAAATTAGATCATTCAAATCCTAGTATCAATCACTTATTTTATTTTTCTTTTTATTTATTTATATTCATATTATTTTTAACATTTGATTATAGTTGTTAAATTTGAGTTATTCTGTTAAAATTAGAAGAAGAAATCAAATTATACATGCAAAATTTTATATATGATTTTAAAAATTAATTTGAATAAAAATTAAGATATAAATTACATTTGTGTTCACAATTTTGTAAGATAATAAAAATAATCATCACATCATTATAATCAAAATAAAACTGTGTATAAAAAACATGTATGTCCATGTTTTTATATTAATAACAAAGTTAATATAATAAAATCTATTTACATTTTAAATTTTTATCTCGTTTCTTTTAAAATAATATTTTTTTCTTCTCAAACATAATAATAATAAAAAAAATTATTACAATTTTACGGGTAAACAAATATTGTGTCTTAAAGTTGTAATCTAATGAAATATTTTCATGAGGTAAAATAAAGAAACCAATATTACAATAAAACAATAATTACCACGAAAAAGAAAAAAGAAGTCATCAAATGAATAAGAATTGTGAAAATATACATACATAACAAATAATCAAAATTAGTATATATTATTTTTATTATTATCAGCGATATTAAAAGTATTATTTTATTTATGTGTATCTACATATTTTTTTTATAATAATAAAAAAGGTAATTACTAAAATTTAAAATACATATAGCCACAACCTTAAAATAAAATAGTAAAAGAATGGTGTAAAATAAACAGTTATAAAAATTGTACCTTTTTAAATATTATAATATATTAAATATAAATAATGAATATTTGTTATATTAGTGGTTTGTTAAATTAAGAAATGTAAAATTAAAAAGTATTATATTTAGTGTAAAGCTGATGAAAATAATAACTGCTATGTTTTGGAAGACTTGGTAAGGAACATGACAGTCATCATCATCGTCATATATATATATATTTAATAAGAAATATGATATTATAATAAAAAATAGTTGATGATATTATTATGTAAAAAAGTATTTATATTCTTCTTTACACCAAAAAAGTCCTTTTTTTATATTAAAAATTTTTAAAATTACTTAAATAGGAAACACACAATTCCATTAGAATACTATATTTTCTATTTTCATACTCCCGATGACTTGAATCTAGACAATAGCTGTTCCAAAGTGTTTTCCCTCTAATATAATAATAATAATAATAATTATTATTATTATTATTAAAATTATTATATTTCAGTATAGAAACACCAATTACCATACTCCATTGTTAAACTAACACAAACTCCACGTTCCACCGTCGTAACAGAGTCACCTCCTCCGTTCATAACCACTTCATTCACTAAAAAAATAATGTTTCAGTTGCCGTTAAACTCCGTCACGGCATTCGCGGTGAAGCCGTCACCGTTGGTGGCTTTCGTAACGGTAATCGTCATCGGCGTCGTGGGGTTTTATTCTCTGCATTTCTCTTTCCGTTCGGCCGCTCCTCTTGACGCCTTGCACTCTCATCACATATTTCTCTCGTCCTCTTCCAACGTCACTATCTCGAACTACTTGCACGCGCTCACCGTGCACCCTCACCTCGCCGGAACAAAACCGGCGTCTCTAACAGCGCGCTACGTGCTCAACCACTTCACCGGTCTCGGATTCCGAACCAGGACGAGTAGGCACCCCGCACTGTTATCGTACCCAGTGCGGTCCTCGCTCGCGGCGCATTTTAGCGACGGGACGAATGTGGAGTTTCGGTTGAGGGAGGGAGAGGAGGAGGGAGAGGAGGAGGGGGAGGTGGTGGCACCATACCATGCGTACTCACCGTCGGGGAAGGTATGGGCGGCGGCGGTGTTTGTGAACTACGGCCGGGAGGAGGACTTCAGGTTGCTGGCGGCGGCGGGAGTGCAGGTGGCAGGGTGCGTGGCGATGGCTAGGAGTGGCGGTGGGGTGGGGCGGGGGACGGTGGTGGAGGCAGCGGAGAGGCATGGGGCAGCGGCGGTGATGGTGTTCGGGGAGGGGGACACGTGGAGCAAGGGGTTTGAGAGGGGACACGTGATGAGAGGGGGGATAGGGGACCCACTGAGTCCAGGGTGGGGTGGGGTGGATGGCGGCGAGAGTTTGGGTTTGGACGATAGTGAGGTTTTGAAAAGGTTTCCCAAAATTCCATCCATGCCCTTGTCTGCTGAGGCTGCCGAGAGGATCTTGGCCTCGCTTGGTGGACCTCCTCTGCCCTTGGATTGGAGGGGTACCCTAAAGTCCTCCAATGTTAGGAATGTTGGTCCTGGCCCCACAATCCTCAACTTCACTTATCAGGTTGGTTGGTTCCTCGTTCAACTTTGTTTTGTTTGTTGAGATCTTAGTTTTCATATTCTCATTTCAAAGATTGAGTTCTTTTTCTATTGAGATCAATTCATTGTTCTTGTATAAACCTCTTTTAAATGTTTTCTATTTTTAAGGTAACTATAATAGAATACATGGTGTTTTATGATTGGATTGTTCACTATCATTGGATCCTTTTCTTAATGACATGTTTAATAAAAGTCAAATAATTATGATTATATCTCATAGTTTTTTATTGGATGACTGTTTTAGAGAAAAATATTCCATGTATATGAAGATTGAGATTAGTTCATGTTGTGTACCATTATTTTTCTGGACAAAAAGTTTAGAACTTTTGCACTGTCCAAGTATGTTGACTTTTACATCTGTCATAAAAATCAAATAATTTTGAATATATTTATGGTTATTGGCTTTTAAAAAATTACCTAGAGAGCTATATCTATTATAAATTCTGATTGATTAACAGTGTTAAATTCCCATGTATCCATGAATTGAGAGTGAAGAAAATTTTACACAGCCAATTATTTTGAAATTATCTTAGGGACGAACTTTAAAGTAATAATTATTATAATAAATAAAGAAATATACCATGCATATTGGTGTATATACTATTATCTCTGAAAATCTATCATAGTCAATTAACTAAAAATCTCTCTATATCTAATTTGAAGACAACTATGACAAAAATGAACTATCATACAATACCATTTGTAATTAAATGCTTCATAAGGTTATGTATTCTAATTAAATTCTTGCTTGCATCATTAAGAAAAAGACATCTTCTTAGCTATATTGTCAATTTAAATTTCTTGCATTAACATTTAATAAAAAATTACATAATATTTGGTTAAATAGTCAAATTTCACTAATTATTTGTGTAAAAAAAGTTGACTTTGTACAAAAATTAAAGGAAAAAAAAATATATATATATATAGGGCCAGTGAAAGGTTGAATTTTGTGTTTATGTGAACCTAGACAGTGTTCCCTTGATGATTACAAGTTTTTGTAGAAGTTCAGTTTTTTTTACCGTATCTAATGTGTGACTTGGTAAACAATTTAATAAACTGTAGTAACACAAGAGTTTGTGCTTGAATTTAATCGTGTAATCTTTTGAAACAAGTTAAAAAGAATTTATTTTGACAAGTTAATTTATAACATAAATCTTTCTAAACATCCCGGATTTGGTATCCAATTTATTGTTCGTGTTTGTTGCTGGTATGATTTGGTTATAACAGTGAATCGAGTTTTTGATGTAGTACCACGATGTTTGACTATGCTGTATGTTTTCTGTGCTTGTTTTCAGTCTCGTTTATTTGGTTTTTCAGGGAGAAATGAAGGTGGCTACCATTGAAAACGTCTTTGGCATTATCAAGGGACGGGAAGAATCTGATCGATATGTTCTGCTTGGGAACCATAGAGATGCATGGACATATGGTGCTGTTGACCCCAACAGTGGGACAGCTGCCCTACTTGACATTGCTCGTAGATATTCTATTCTATTACGTTTGGGGTGGACTCCACGGAGGACCATCATTCTATGCAGTTGGGATGCAGAGGAATTTGGAATGGTAGGTAGCTTCACTCTTATGTTCATCATGGTCAACCACTTTCATTATGTGGCCACTGGATTTATATTAATGATAAGTCAGTGAATCTTGACTCATGTGGTGAAAGTGAAACTCTACTCTACTACGATTTGTCTTATTTACATAAATTTATTGCCATTATCTTATGTAAGTTTCTTTCACTCGGATTAGAGTTTTTGATAAGCTTTTTGCTTGAAAAGTAAATTTATGCTTAGTTTGTGCTTTTTATCAAGTTAGATCAATTTGCTTTATTTCAATTATGGTGCCATTTCCAGTAATGTGCTCTTTAAATCAAGTTTATCCATTTATGTAGATAGGATCCACTGAGTGGGTTGAACAAAACCTTCTTAATCTTCGTTCCAAAGCTGTAGCATACCTTAATGTAGACTGTGCTGTTCAAGGGCCTGGTTTCTTTGCTGGCTCAACTCCTCAACTAGACGATCTCCTTCTCGATGTCATAAAAAGGGTATTTGGAGTAATTATACGTGCATAAGCAAATCTTCATGTGGATAGTGTTTTGGTATCTGATTAATGCTTTACATCAATTGCCATATATGTTTATTTCAGGTCAAGGATCCTGACTCTGAGGGTACAACGATATATCAGAATTGGGCTGCTGGTGGTGGAAGATCTAATGTAAGACTTTTAGTCTACTGGCCAATGGTCATTTTTAAAATTTATGAAGTTGTCTTTAGCTCTCCATGACTACTTTTTCACTTACAAGTTACAGACCATGTTTTGAACATTTTACTTGTTGCTTTTCTTTTTCAATGAAGCTAATAATAGTCATTAACTTAGCTGTCTAGATGCCTTCTGAGTTTCTATAGGTACATATTTATTGTTTTCCCTTTTTCCTCTCACTGGTGCCAGTTTTCTTTTCTATTTAGGAAACGAATTTGAAAGTGAAAAATAAAATACAATTTATCTTTCAAAATTAATTAATGGTGATGAAAAACCATATATTTGTTGCTTAGCAGTTTTATCTTTGTTGATTGCAGATTCAGAGGCTCGGTAGAGTTGATTCTGATTTTGCTCCATTTGTGCTACATGCAGGGATTCCATCTATTGATGTATACTATGGAAGAGGTACATACCTCATTGATATGAACTAGAAGGGTTTCATATGATTTGAGAATAAGTCGTGCCAAAATGTATCAAGTATATCACATATGATGTATTTTGCTCTAATAATCTTGCCACCCAAATTTAATTTATTAATGTACATATTGGGGGCGCATTTAAGAGACTAGTCCAGAATTTGAAACACACTTATTTTCTGCTGAGGGTGATGAAAGTTTAACATTCATGCTTTATTATTAGATTGGGCCATTAGATGTGAGGTCATAGAACACTGTCATGCTAGTTGGTGCTTATTTATGTAAAATATGCCTCGGCACTGCAATGTTTCTTCCATTTTGGGCTATCATTTTGTCTTATCATAGGATTTGTATCTAGCTAGTAGAATATAGGAGCCTGAACAGTAATGATGATCAGTATATACATTGTTTAAGCATGAAATTTTTTACGCCACAGAAACAAAAAAAAAAAAAATTGTGTCCGAATATTGTCCTATATGCATAATCTGTCACATAACCATGGCCTTCTGTGTTAAATATTGTATGTCTTTTCTGTAGATTATCCTGTCTATCACACAGCTTTCGACTCCTATAACTGGATGACAGAGTATGGAGATCCATTCTTTCAGCGCCATGTGGCTGGTTAGATTTCTTTTTATATTTTATTGGCCAACCCATGTGTCAATCATAAGATGGTATATCTTTTCTGTTCTTTGTTGTATCAGTTACTGGAATTTGGGGGCTTCTAGCCCTTCGCCTTGCTGATGATTCCATTATACCTTTCAATTATCTGTCTTATGTGGATCAGTTACAGGTATGCATTTATCTTCCTAAGTATTTTGATTAACTTCTTGCTAAGTACTATCTTTTGATGTTAGAAGTTGATCATAAAACCAGTAGGGTGTTTTAGTTAGTCGGTGAAATTGTAAAATTATATAGTTTCGGTAAGTAAGAATCCAATTTACCCTATATAAAAGTGTCCACTATAGTTATCTTGGATACAAAAGTTGTTTCTAAATCACGTCAAACGATGATGGTTGCTAGTATTGATATTATTAATGAAGCAAATGACATAAGAACTCAGTAACAAACCCAAAGCAAGTTTAAAGTACTTGGTTGTTTGTAGGGAAGAATAGAATGTTCATGTTTGGCTGAGGCAAAGAGAGTAAACTGTGGGGTGAATTGAATGAAGTTTTATCAATTTTAATACTGCAGTATTATGGCTTCCATTAATTGCAAAACATTCCTATCATTACTGATTACTCAGTACTCTCCTACTTTGGACAGGTGTATAATAACACATTGAGCAACTTGGTAGACAAGCGGGTTTCTCTACATCCACTAACTACATCGATTCAAGAATTTGCTTCTGCTGCCAAAGAAGCCAACAATGAATCAAAGGTAACATCGAAACAGCAAATGGGTTGTTGTGTATTAGCATTATTTATCATTTAAATTTGTCATAATTACTCTTACTTATCATGTCTTCATTTATTGTCTTTATGGACTGCAGAAACTGAGATTGCTAGAAAATTCAGATCATTTTGTTGATATGAAAATGCGAGCATTGAATGATAGACTAATGCTTACGGAAAAAGGGTTCTTGGATGTTGACGGGCTTGTAGGAAGGAAATGGTTCAAGCATCTTGTGAGTTTGATTACCTTGAATGTGTCAGTTAAAACTTTGATTGATAAAGTTGACAGATACTTTCCCTCTTTGAGATAAATGCTCTTATTGTGGCAGTTGTATGTTGAAACACGTAATTCCCAGACAATGTTGTCATGTGATAAATAGCTTATTTGTCTGGTTGCATTAATTTACAGGTTTTTGGGCCTCCTAGGGACCAAGAAAGCAAGTTGGAATTCTTCCCTGGAATTGCTGACTCAATGTCTGGGATGGTTAAAATGAGTGAGAAAGAAAGGGTGGCGGCAATTCAGCATGAGATTTGGAGGGTTTCCAGGGCCATTCAAAGAGCTGCTTCAGCACTAAGAGGAGATTTGACCTAAAATTAGTGTTCATATGAATCTGTTTTTTTTTTTGCAATAGTATAATTAGTCCTTGGCTTCCATTTTTAACCGTAAATCTTCAACTGTACATTAAGGGTAAAGTGTTTGCCTTGTTTGTTTATTACTTCTTAGTGATAATTCACCTTTTTAGTTCGGGTTAAATGAACTTCGTCATTTTGGCTTTTCCTTTTACGATGTACCAAAACAAACCACATTTTCATGAGGAAGAAAGAAGAAAGCTGAAGTATATTTGATTTTTTTTAAAAAAATAGCCACACGCGCCAGGTAGGGATCGAACCTACGACTTTCTGCTTAGGAAACAGACGCTCTATCCACTGAGCTACAGGCGCTATTGATCAGCATTTCCTGATATATAATTAAAACCCTAAATCAAATGATTCTGGTGCTGATATAAAACGTTGAAGCGGTTTTTTTGGAATAAAGCATATGAAGGTCAATTTGTTGCCTTTCACATATTTTCTGGTTTACATTCTATAAGCAACTCAATTACAATACAAATTTAGAGTAGAGGGAAACCAAAAAAAATCGTACTTGAATACATGTGACTAGTGTCTGTCATATTCAAATTTCTACACTCAGTGGTTTATCAAGTTTAAAACCAAATGATTTCATCATCAAATGGACTTAGGTTCTTCATTTATATAATCTTTTTTTTTTTTTATAATTTATGATTATTTTAAAATACCCTTAATCAATTTACTTGTTTTTATTATAAAATTATCACATACAACTTAGGTCAAACAATTTCAACATATAAAAAACAATATTAATGATTTGGAGAGTATCCAATTGTTCATAAAAGTCAAGAAAAAAACATGTAGAGCACCTAAATAAACTATTCGAGAAACAACATAATCATAAATCATGGTCCTCCATATCCTAGTTCAGCATCCAAATCACACACATCAAAACCTTCTTTTGCTTTCACCAAGTCTCTTCTTGTTAATTCTAGATTTACTTCTGCTTCAATAAACTTTGTCCTCAAAATCTCTGTTTCCGTCTCTAAAGTGGCCATATTCTCCTCCAACCTTTTCACCTCAACAGCTCTCTCAACACAACTTTTCATACCCAAGGCAGATTGCACATGAGGTTCCAGCCAGGTCAAATCAAATTTACAGGTCTCAAGTTCCTCCCACAAAATTTTAAGATGATTGTAAGCATCATTGTCCATGTCTCTCACCATTTTAGTCTTGAGAAAATGAAGAACTCTACCCAAAGCTGTGAAAGCCCATTCAGTAAATCTTTGACTTTTCTTCTGCTTACTATCAATAAGTGAGGGATACCTTGAACATACTTCTTCAAGGAGAGGAACGAAATCTTTCTCTACTTTTCCTATACCCATGAAATCCACTAGCTCACCAAATGAGGTTGAGATCATTGCCTTATTGTCAATGCATTCAACAACCTTATTATCAATGTTGCTCGCTGATTGATCAACATGTTCTGACTTGTGAACCAATATATGAACTTCAATTATAAAAGTATCATTCACAATGAAACCACGACTAGAGTCATCAAGTTCACCAAAATGTAAGGATAATTTGAAACCGCAAACTTCATATTTTGCCTTGAAAATATGACATGTTTCTGGCAAATTCAAGCATCAAGAGTCTGTTATGTATCAAAATGATATGATCATCGTTGCATATATAATTTCAAGTCGGACATAACTACTTTTATTTCTACAGAGGGTATATAGAATCTTGTAGCACCTTTATAACAAGCTTGTACAATTTTTTTATCATGTATACCTTTTATGCAAAGATGATTTCCAAATTTTAAAACTCATCTAAAAGGATAGTCTCTACGTGAACTTGCCAGCAGAAACAGTTTCATTCGTTGAGATAATAATAGCCAAATATCAAGTTGAGAGATCAGTATGAAAAATACCTTTAATTATATGCATTTTGTGGTCAAACTGATTAATCAGAATGAGTTTGAAGTCTGCAAATATATTCCAACCATCAGAGAAACTAGCAAGATCCGCACTGACATCAAAATAAATTAACAAGTCGTCCACTTCATTTCCTTTTGGAAAGAGATAAATCCTCCTAAAATCAAAGTTACAAAACTTGATAAGAAAAACAAAATGAAATCATATCAAAGAGCAACATGTACAGTACGCAATAATACACTGAGGCACCATTTATGGCCATCGAGGACAAAATTCTCCGAGTACAATTTCTTGGAGTCTAATGTGGAGAAATTGCTAATGGTCCATGTAAACTTCTTAAACACTTTATCTTCTGTATTCTGATTCTCCATTCAATATCTTGTAAGCTTCAACCGAGCACTGAAAAAATAGACAATACTGATTTTCACTAACAAAGCTAAAACGTATGAATTTGAGAAATTAGGATTTTGGGTGGTTGAGTTCACAAAGAACTTGAAGAAAATCACATGTATAATCCAAGTGTTGTCACAAGTCAATGTCAGAATGCACATTAAAAAACAAATATTAATGTGACCATAAGGTAACTGTTTTGGTTATTTGAAAAATATACAGGGCTGCAACATGAAAGAAAGAGAAGCAGAATTTTGAATAGCAGAAGAGTATTCTTTTTATTTATCAGAAATTATACAGCAATAAGGCACATGAGAGGAAATAATAATAACATGAAATCTGCTATTAGCATAATGAGCAAAAGAACAGCTCTAAATTAGACAAGTATGGATATAACTTGGCATACATAAAACACAAAAAGGACTACCAGAAAACCAGCACAAACAGCAACAACAATGGGAAGAAGTTCCAATGAAAAATGAGAGATTTGCAGAAGATGAGAGGCAGTGGAGGGTGTATATACAGAAAGGCAAGAGGGTGGAAGTTTTGAAAATTGTGCAGGATTGCATGCGTATTGATAACAGGTTTCGGAAGTTGTTTTGACATTTGAGTTCTGTTGTCGAATGTTGTGCAAGCATTGGAAGGTGAACTGCACCAACGTCACAAATTTTAATATATACTATGTAGAATGATAATACTTCATTCACTGAATCCTTATCATAAAATTTAATGAAAGTAAAAATTAAATTATAAACTTTGAAAGTTAATTTAAAAAGAAATAATAAGAACATTGCAGCAAGAAAGAGTCTTCAATAAAAAAAATCGTGGTGTAAATCCTCAATCTAAACCTTGCAACCAATTCAAAATATTATTTTTTATTTCAACCTTAACTTTTTGCCTTAATCTCTATCCATCTAAAACTTCATCAATTCTATTTCAAAACTTATTTTTACACTATTCTTATTATTTTTTAGTTTAATTGAGATAACTACTAAGTTAAAAGTGCAATATCTATGAAGAAAATAGTAATTCTTTTATTAAATATACCGAGTAATTGTGTTTATGTATCAATAATCAAATTGCAATACAAGTTTTCTACTCAGTTTTTTTTTAAGTACGACCTAAACTTTTTTTCTTTCGCATCTTATTAATTTAATTTTTTTTAAATCTACTCAATAAATGAATTTATAAAATAATAATAATATTTTAAAAATGAAAATTATATGATATTATTAAAATATTTAATTAAATATAATTTATATTTCAATTTATTATATATTAAATTAAATTTAATATAATTGATATATTTAAATTTTGCAATTTCTTTTTTGTTCACAACCCAAATAAGTCCTCTACAACTAATTATATTAAAAGAATATTAATAATATTATTATATTAGTTTATTTGATTGTATTTGAATGTTTTTAAAATTTTAATTTCAAATTAACCTTACATAAAAAAAATAAAAAATTGTGATCTACTGTTCTATGAATCGGGTGAGATAGAGAGAAAGTTATGAGGTGGCGTACACCGGTTTCACATCTCTACAGTCCACGTCTACAGAGCACCGCAGACCAGCCTCCATCGCCGCCACCGCCGCCGCCGCTGCCAAAGTAAGGTCTGCGTTGGCTTTGTCGGTAAGAGCATTCAGTTGCCGACACCTCCAAATTGTTCACTCCAGCGCCTCCATAACCTCCACTGTCTCTGCTTCCATGGTCTGAAATCGAAACCCTAGCAGATTTCCGACCAGCCACGCGTCTCCGCCAGAAAACCCCTGTCTCATTGCTTCGCCAAAAGCATCGCAGATAGGCATCGGGTTCTCTCCACATATTTTATTAACGAGGATTTGGTTGATGCCTGCATTGGACTCACGGAGAAGGGGCTTTTGGTTTCTGGTTCGGTTCGTGATGTGCCTTCTCCACCCCACAGAGAGGACCTCATTCAACAAGTAGCCTCTGCCTTCAACAGCAAGTTCAACGTAGCTGTGAGTCTTTCTTCTTCTTTTTGTTAATATGACCCATCTCCAGATATAGTTTTACTTTTCGTTCACTTTTTTTACTTTCGTTTGTTGAAGAACCTCCATTCCATACGACGTAGTCATTTCTTGCTTATAAGAACATATATGCTTGGTTTTGGTTTATCGGTAATACAACTTACTAACCAATGGTTGTGTTTAAAAATTTTCGGAATCCACTCAGCCATGATTTCTAACAGTTGTTTGGTAGGGTGCTTGGAAACATCTCAAAATAAGCTCAGAATTGTTGAACTTGTGAAAGCTGTCCAAAATTGTGAACTTACAACAATTTATACATCGTTAGACAAATGTAACAAAGGACAGCAGACCTAAATTCTATTAAATTAAATCTGTTTAACGGTGTCAACTATCCATGGCACACAAGAATTTTTAGCAGAGAGTGTTTAAGAAAACTTCGTAGCAGTTCGTTATAAGGACTGTAAATTTGATTCCATAATCATTCTAATTATTTTATGTTGTCTTAATCCCATAATATTAACAAACAGATTGCTATAGTAGTTCATGCAGAATATAACGGCATTATTTTGGATATATTATGCATTAACTACTGTAGCAATCTGTTTGTTAATATTATGCATTGTTTTAGCTATTTGCTAATTGTAGGATAAATAAAGAAGATTGGGGTATGACTGTGATGTATTTTTTCCGTCTCTGAAATAACTTACTTTTGCCCTTATCAGTTTTCTAATTGTTGATATTGGGGGTTCCGTTATACGGATCTATATTTGGTTGACAATGTTCGTTGTCATTTATTTCCATCTCTTTGTTTTAACGATGCATTGTTAGTGGAAACAGAATAGAATGATTTTTTTTTTTTTTTTTTTCACTTCAGGTAGGATTTATCTTCGTATATCATAGGAGCCTGTATGATGATAGTGCTTAATTTTGACTGGAAGACTACAGGGCACAGTTTTTTTTTTTGTAAGCAGGGTGAGTAGAATGAGAACAATTATTTTACGATATAGCACTACTGCTTAAAGGAAACTGAATTGAAGAGTGTACAATTATGTCACTTCCAGTTGAAGGGTTGATTCTTGATATCGCCTTTGTATATTGTTACAAAGTATAGACAGCTTACCTTAGAGTTTTACGAACAGGTTGTGTCATGATCGCAAATACCCAAAGGTTTGAGTTTAGTTGGTTATTTTTCCAAAACATGTGTTAGCTGATATGTTCTTATCGGGAGTATATGGTGAGATTTTGTTCAAGAGTTCTTGGGAGATTGGATTAAGATCTTATCATGCGCTGTTTCTGGTAGATGTTTGGAGTCCAGCAAGGGTGAAGTGTTTTGAATATGTGGATTAAACATCTTGCGAATATAAGAATTTTCAGAAAGTACTAGATTACAGGTTGGGAAGGATTTGAATTCATGAGAAAGTCTCTCTAGGGGAGGTTGAAAAATTGGAGTTACAATAAATGTTGATATTAGCTTCATATGATTTAAGGATGGAGACACTACTTCAGGGTTATTCTATTGAGTAACAATAGGTAGGAGGCATAAAATCTTTTGAAAGAGTTGGGATTGGTATGTTTAATGCCACATCTTCAGCAGCTATGTCTTATGCGTAGATCTAGTTAACAAATAAAGACCCATTTAAATTTACACTTACATGATGTTACTTGGCGAACTTTGGGTGGGTGATACCACTTTTTAACAGTTTTTTTTTTAACAACTTTTTTTAACTTTATTTTATTGTTTTGTAAAGGATAAGGGAGATAAAATCACCTATTGAAATTTGTGCACTTCTATGGTGAATTTGGTTTGAATGGATTCCCTCATTTCCAGGGAAACCTCTTTGCCCCTTAGTCTATTGTTGGACGGGATCTTTATTTGTCCCTATTGGTGCCCTGTTCATGGATGCTTATAGAGGTATCTTCATGTCTAATATGTGCAGAACTATAAGTATATAAGTTCTGAGATTTACTGTTCTTTCAGTTTTTAAATTAGTTTTTCTGGTATGGAGGGTTTCTTATCTCTAAGAAACTGTTCTTATATAATGAAAGAACAAACAGTTGTCATGGATTGTATATTTTTTACCATGCCTTCTTCAATTGTTTTATTGTCTGTAAACGCTACAAAATCTAATATTCAGTTTGTAACTGTTACTAATAGATATGTGCATGAAGAGGTTGACTAAAGTTTCCTTAAAGTTTTATCCAAATGCTCTTTGTGCATCTTTCAATCATGTTGGAAGTTAATGATGCTCCCAGAAGCTTTCTCGGTAACTATGCTGACTTTCATGCAGGAAGTTCAGAAGTGCACGATATCCATCTGCATTCTCCATGCTGGTTGAGAGCTGAGCAAGTTCTGTTTGAATAGTAAAATAAGTCTTATTGCGTCTCTGCATTAAACACAACATCGATATTCGTTTTACCATCTACCAACCCCATCTTCTGTCATGGGAAAAGAGAAACTAAGCTTCAAAGAAGTCCACCATTCTCATAACCCCAAAACAACTCTCTGGTGGTTCTTTTTTGTAGCTACCTGCATAAAAGTTCTCCTTTTCCCCTCCTACCGTAGTACAGATTTTGAGGTGCATCGCAACTGGCTGGCTTTGACCCACTCCCTCCCTCTTTCCCAGTGGTACTTTGATGAGACAAGCCCATGGACTCTTGATTATCCACCATTCTTTGCCTATTTTGAACGCTTTCTATCTGTTTTTGCTCACCTAATTGATCCCCAAATGGTGCACCTTCAAGATGGCCTGAATTATAGCTCAAACAAGGTGGTTTATTTCCAAAGAGTTACTGCAATACTTTCTGATCTGTCTCTTCTTTATGGGGTTTACAGACTTACACGGAATCTGAATTCAAGAAAGCAGAAGTTGATCTGGTCATTGATTGTTTGGTCACCGATGCTTTTTGTAGTGGACCATGTGCATTTTCAGTACAATGGATTTCTCATTGGGATTTTGTTGATCTCACTTTCATATTTGGAGGAAGGAAGGGATTTGTTAGGAGGATTTGTTTTTGCAGTTCTGTTGTGCTTTAAACATTTATTTGCAGTAGCAGCACCCGTTTATTTTGTTTATTTGTTGAGACACTATTGTTGGGGTGGTATTCTAAGAGGCTTCAGTCGAATATTGATTATGGGAGGAGTGGTTATAGCAGTATTTGCATCTGCTTTTGGACCATTTTTCCACCTTGGGCAGGTAAATATAAATTTTATATTGAACTCACATGGTATTATGTTGCCCATATGTCATGGTGTTTTCCCATGACTTCTGATAAATCAATGCATTTAACTAATTTGAAATTGATTGCTATTTGTCGAAGTTTAGGAATTTTACCAGTTTGTAAATATGTAATTATAACTTGATGTTTTTTGTTTTCAACTAATTGAATGATGGAGAACAAATTGGATGCTTGGTATATCTATGAAAATCATATGGAAAACAGAGTTCTTTTACATGTCAAGGTTGTGCTGCATAGCTTCTAACTTAGATGTACTGAGTCTTGATGAGGTTGTGTAAAAAAACTTTTTTTTTTATAATCTTTATGAGACTATCACATGAATGGACTAAGGTTACCTGTTATGGATGATCAACTTTGCATACTCAAGTGAGCAACAACTTTTATTGCCTTTTCTTGTATTCTTGTATTACTTCATTTTCTTGTGTAAAAGTGAAGATATTTCATATGCACCTTTGCATTTTGTGTTGCATTTTGATTATTCAAATTATTAATTGCAGTTACAACAAGTTATTCGACGATTGTTTCCATTTGGCAGAGGGCTTTGCCATGCTTACTGGGCCCCAAATTTTTGGGTATTCTATATCATGTCAGACAAAGGACTTGCTCTCGTATTAAGAAAACTTGGATTTAATATCCAGGTACCAGTGGCTTCATTCACAGCTGGTCTAGTAGGGGATTCCTCACCATTTTCTGTACTGCCTCAGGTAAAATTTTCTTGAGTTTTCAATTCTCTGAATTAGCTTGTGGGCTATAAGACCAGAAAAGAACAAGAACACGGGGATATTATGAACCTCGCTAAGTTTTATATGCTGTATGCATTTCATTAGTACGAGGAGAGGGAGGATGATGTTATATCATTTCTTCAAACTTGTGATCATGCACATTGACCTAGCCACTGATTTATTGGAAATTGACTTTTAATCATGTTGAAGATGTATACTTGACTCACTGAATGATCCTTATCCCATTATCTAAGAATAAAAATATTGATTACAAATATAATGCTTAAATGGCAAATTGCAACCAGGACTTGATAGCTCAAAAACAGCACCTGTTTGATATCAACAAAATGATATCTGTGAAACTTTATAATTGATTAGATAATACTAGCTTTTACATTTCACACCTTCTAGTCTATTTATTTCAATGTCAAAGCTGCTATTGTTCAGTTGACATCTGCGACTGAGCTTGATAACTGGTCATTTGAAATTTATGACTATAATATAACAACTTTTAGTTATTCTGCTTTACTTTTCATTATTTAAAAGAATGATGAAAACATTCATTTTTTCTATTTACTAATATGCAGATCACACCATTTGTGACCTTTTTAACGGTTCTTCTTGCCTTATCCCCTTGCCTTCTCAAGGCTTGGAAGAATCCACAGCCACAGATGATAAGTAGATGGGTAGCCTACGCTTATACCTGTGGTTTTCTTTTCGGGTGGCATGTGCATGAGAAGGCATCTCTCCATTTTGTAATACCACTTGCCTTTGTCGCAGCACAAACTCTGGAGGATGCAAGGCATTACTTTTTGTTGTCAATAGGTATGTTGTTATTGGTCATTCATTTGTTCACCTGCTTCTAATACTTTTATTTTCTTCATTTTTTTAATGATAGTAGAAATTGTAAATAAAAAAATTGAAATATAAGTAAAATGAAATAAAATTAAAAAATGTGTGCATGCTGTTAATTACATGTAATTTCTGTATAATTTAGTGGAAAACACATGTGATTTTTGTGCTCCTTTGAAGACAATATTTCACTAAATTTTTTTATAATAGTTTTTCAGTTGCTAATAATCTTGCGAACATGGCCCTTTACTATCCTAGGCAATATTACACTAGTTTTGTAATAGGTCTCTGTCAATAATACTCCATATAGTGTTATATGTGCCCTATGCATATATAGATTTGTCAGATTCTAGGTTCATATGTCTTCCCCTCTTCAAATCAATTAAAAGAAAAAAAATAAAAAACGTTTTTAAAATCAGAAAATGAATCTGTATCTATCGTTGAAACCTTTAAAATTCAAATTAATAAGACCAAGATAATTGATTCAGTTAGAGCCTGTATCTATCATCACTTCATTACTAATCCTCGTACAAATTACCAACCAAAATTCTGGTGTCCACATGCTGAAGACAGGGATGTTGTATGAAACAGCAATGTTGCAGGTTGTAACCTGTACAGTGTTTGGATAGGCTGAATTGGTTGGGAGAGAAATGGGAGTGAGTTCAGAGAGAAATGCAAACTTGGGTGTGTTTGGATTGGGGGAAACGTGAGGGATAAATGCACAATGTTCATTGGTCCCACTGCAACTTCTTTCCTCTCTATGTTGGTGCTAATTTTGAATGGGATGAAATTGTACAAAGCAGAACCGTCGGCAGAAAGAGGAAAAACAAAAAACGATACCAAATAGGAGAGACTTGACCGCAGTTGGCAATGACCACTGGCGTCGAGGTCACGCTGGAGCTGGACCCACCTTTTTTTATCTCCTGCAGCACATTCATTCACTCAATGACCTTCCCAGTCACCTCGTGCTTTCCATCCAACCACTCATAATACTATGTGCTTTCTCACAAAGTTCATGTTAACAGAGATGGTGTTATGAGATTCGTAAATTCTGAACTAGACGTATTAAAGCAAAGGATAAAACGGTCTTTTAACATTACTACTTATTTCTTTCTTTTCACTTTTCCGTATAACCAAACAACTAAGTAAATCTTATTTTGTTCCTTCATTAATTCCATCTATCCAAATAACCAAAATTCCTCTTTAAAATTCTTCTATTTTTCATCCCAATTTCAACTCATATCCAAACAAAGTGGTTATCTTGAATTTAAACCTTTGGAGGATCTCGGAAATGTTAATTTGTCTTCAGTTGAATTCTCTTTCAACTATTCCTAGATTGCAAATTGAAGCAGGCACGAGAGTGTCTGGTAGCTCACAAGACATATAGGGCCTGTTATTAAGTAGCCTGTCAGTTTCCCTCTACTTGTGCTACAATTTTGTTTGTACTAAGATTTGTATTTTCATAACCCAAGTACAGCTAAGATTAAGTATACTTGTCAAGCAAGCAACTATTTCAATCTTGCACAACATAAAGCAAGCGGGGTAAAAAATAAAAGCAAACCCATAGAAGCAATTATACTGTTTAGTCCGTCCTTTAACTTGATCATATATGTTTGCCATTAAAAAATTTCTTTTAATGACTGAAAATGCTTTGGGATGCCAAATAAACAAAAGTTGCAATTTGCACCAGTATCTGTAATTTTTTTTATATTTTGTTTCTTTGAAATTACACACACTACTTGTATATGCAGTGTCTTGCTATTCAATTTTTCCGCTACTATTTGAGGCACAAGAGTATCCGATCAAAGTTTTGTTGCTGCTTCTACACTCCATTTTGATGTGGTCAGGCTTTTCAGCACAATTTTGTGATGAGGATGAAACAGCTTCAAGGCCAAGTACTAATTCAAAGAAAAAGGCTGATGAAGTTGGATCTGAATGTAATCCGGGTGCAACTGTGAAGAAAGGTTTTGTTATTGGTTGGAGTGAGAGGATTTATCTGATAGGTCTTGTAGTTGTAGAGATATGGGGTCAAATTTTACACCCTCTACTTTTGGGTGATAAGTTTGCATTTGCACCCCTAATGTTGATCTCTATATACTGTGCTTTTGGGATCACATACTCTTGGATCTGGCAGTTGATATCCATAGTTAGATCTCTTTGAATTTTGGCCTCAATAGCAGTTGATATTAGATTTTCTTGTAACAATTTTATCTGCGGAATTTCAGAAGAACATTTGATTTAATTTTTTAATTAAATCAAGTCACTGTTTGACATGAATATTATTAAACCATGGCTAAATACTTATATGATCTTGCCTCTTCCGCCTTTTCTAACAAATATTGTTTTTTAGAAATTGAATAAATATATGAGGATTTCTTTTTAAAAACTCATGTTGGTAGGGTTGCATTCAAATAATGTTCTATTGATACGAAATTCTTGTTGTAGATGTTTTAAGACTTGAGGTGTCGGTTTAATTCTCTTGCTAGTATTTTATTAGTTTGTGCCGAGAAAAGTGTGATCTTATTTGTAAACTACCGTTTCCCTTTTAAAATTTAATATCCTGCTCATGTCATGGCTCATCATTTGCCACCAAAATAGAAAAATAAATAACCGAGTTGTTGATTTTGTAATGAAATAAGTAACAACAGGAAGTGATTACTGTGACTTTTACACGCATAGCATGTTGTGTCGATCCCATCAATGGAGATTGAAAAGTATTACTTTTTATTTTATTTTATTTTATTATTTTATATTAGGTGAAAACGCAGCCCGTCCCCACATTTATTAAAAATGATTGACAAATATAATTACTAAAATATTAAAAATAAATTAATAATTTAAAATAAAAAATAATTAAAATTTTTAAACATAATTTGATAATATGAAGCGTAAAATAAGACATAACAAATAATTTCAAAACTTGATTAGTACATGTATCCACGTTTTTTATATTATAATTTTTTAAATAAGTATTTTTATTTTACAATATCATAATGATAAACACGTTAAGATAACATTCGGTAATTTGAATTTCTTAAGTTAAAATAAAAGTAAAAAACAAACAACAATATTCGAAGGTCGTTGATTTCCAAACAAATTCTTTGCAACATAATTTGTTATTTAATAAACATATTCAAATATTTAGGACTTCCACTTAGATACTCCAACACTTACACCCATCTTCAAATATTTACAATTACACACTTGATGAACAAATTAAATAATACATACAATGAACTTTTCAATAAATAATATGACACAAATCTATTGTCCTCCATATCCTAATCCATCTTCCAAATTGCATTCTTCAAAGCCTTCAATTATTCTGGCCAATTCTCTTCTTGTTATTTCAAGATTTATCTTTGCTTGCATCATCTTTTCCTTCAGCATCTTTGTTTCCGTCTCTAAAAAAGACACCTTCTCCTTCATTTTTTTCACTTGAATACTTCTCTCCCTATAATTTTTCATGCCCAAGGCTGATTGAACATGGGGTTCCAACCAAGTCAAATCAAATTTGAATGTCTCAAGTTCCTCCCATAAAACTTGGAGATGATTACAAGCATCATCATCCATATCTTTCACCTTTTTAGTCTTGAGAAAATGTAGAACTCTACCTAAAGCTGTGAATGCCCATTCAACATACATAAGGGTTCTCTTCTTTTGCCTATCAACAAGTGATGGATGTTGGGAACATACTTCTTCTAATAGTGGAATAAAATCTTCTTCCATTTTCTCTAAACCCCTGAACTTGACTATTTCCTTAGGTAATGGATTATCAATATGATTGGTTTGCTTATCATTAATCTTGTTGTCTTCTTGATCTCCTTCATTATTGTGTTTTGAATTGCTCACCAAAATCTCAACTTCAATTATGCAAGTATCATTCACAATAAACCCATTGCTAGGGTTACAAAGTTCATCTAAAGGTATGAATCGGGTGAAACCCCAATTAATCTCTTTTGCATTGAATTGGTGTTCAGTTTCTGAAAACAAATTCATATACATCAAAAGTTAGAGATAAGATTAAACTCAAAAACACATATTCCAAGTACTCCATCACTACATTGAGGAGGTTTGTTGAAATTATATTTTCTTCATTCTTTTCATAAAATCATTATACATAATATATTCTAGTTGAGGAAATATTATTCACCTCTTGTTTTAGTCATTTTGTGGTTCATCTGATTAATTAAAGCCAACTTGAAATTTGCAAATTTGTTCCAGCCCTCACCCAAATTTGCCACATTCCCACCACCATCTAAATAAATTGACAAGTATTCCACATTGTTTCCTTTTGGAAAAATCAGAACCCGCCTAAAAACAAAGTTATAAAACTCATCAAAACAAATATATTTTTAAAAGAACCATGATATAATTACACTACAATTCAATAAAAGTACCATAAATGGTCATCAATGGAAAAAATTTCAGAGTATTGCCCGTTGGAGTCCAATTTAGAGAAGTCCCTAATCGTCCATGTAAACTTCTCAAATATCTTATCTTTTGTGTTCTTATTCTCCATTTCAAAAACTTCACAACTTCAATCTGAATATTGTTCTTTGGGTGATTCTGGATAAAGATTCAACCAGAGTTAGATATAATAAATTACAGAAAAAAATAGTATAAAATAATTTTACATTATTAATAAATTTATTAACTTTTACAAGAATTACTTCAAAGTCATATCATTTATACATTGTAGACAGAAAGAATGCTTTCAATACCAGAATATACATAAATAGATTGTAATTATCCAAAAGAGATATTTAAACAACTATGAAAACATGGCATACCGCACATGATGATCACAACAACCCAGCATTCATATAAGATTGTAAAAGGAAGAAACTTTGTGTGATAAGATTGTAAAAGGAAGAAACTGTGTGTGATAAGATTTTTAAAAGGAAGAAACTTTGTATGATAAGATTGTAAAAGGAAGAACCTTTGTATTATAAGACTGTAAAAGGAAGAACTTTGTATGATTAAAGGAGAAGGAGTATTAACAGAAAGGACAATGAACCTTTGTACGAGTGTGAGGAAAGGAAAGTATACAAAGTCAAGACAAGAGGGGTTGCAAGTTTTAGAATGAAGAAGCAGAAGGTGAGTTTTTAGATATATTAATAAAAAAAAAAAAAAAGGAAAATTTGTTCTTTATCAGATATAAACATTTATTAATTGTAAGCATGATCTAAACTATAATGTCAAAGATTTGGAACATTAATAGTAGTGGAATGTGATGATATTTGGGTGTATACAATGTAGATTGAAAAAAAGACATCCTAATTAAAGTCTAACTTAAATATTCAATATATTCTTATCCTAAATTTGACAATGACTCTACCATGAAGAATTCAGGAACTAAAATGAATGGAAAAGTAAAAATAAAAATAAATAAATAAATGAGACTTTGTTTGGGACGGGAGTGTTTACAAAATTTCGTAACTATTTAAGAATACTATTAAACCTTTGTTCCTTTGCAAAATCAAATTCTTGTTATTCCAATTTTTTCTTAAAAAAAATTGATCTTATCTTTCATTGAGATTTTAAGAAAGATTTTCATGGTTGAAAATTATAAGAGCTTTAAATTTTAACGTTAAAATTTCATTGTTTATAAAATTAGTTAAGATGATTGTTGTATAATTTTTTTTAATCCTATAAAAAAATAAAGAATATTTTTCACTCACAATAAATATGATAATTTTTATCAAGATAAAAATCAGAAAAAAATAGGTTTTAATTCTGATAATAATTACGATTTTAATATAAAATCAATTAATAATATATATGATATTTTAATAAATATTTAAATCATATTAAATATACGACTTTTAAAATATATGAATATATACAAAATATGAATTATGAATACTAAAAAAAATATTACAAAATCATGAAGTAATATAATTTTAATTAATTTCATTTTTCTCAAAAGTTGAAAACTAAAACAGTGTTAGTTTAACTGAAAAAAAATGCAATCATATCGGGAATCTATCTCATTAAGTAAAATAATTTTTAATCAAAAGTGAAAAATGAATAAACTTTAATTTGAATACTCCAACAAATTTATAAAGCAAAAACATAATCATGAAATTGAAATTCACATGAACAATTAAATAATTGAACATTTAAAAATCCAGTCAAACCCTAATCCTCCATATTCCTTTTATAGTGTTGACTTAAAAAAATTAGTTTGTACACACAAAAACAAAAAGTTTGAATATCTTTAAGTGAAGAATTACATGTAAGATTTTAAGAAACAAAGAATATGAGAATAGTTTTGCTTGACTATGGAAAAGTTCATCACTTATTTTTTTTTAATTAATTTACATATATGTATTTATCATGATATGCAAATCTAATGCATGAAATTAAAAAAATTATAGATACTTTATTAAATTAAAAAAAGTTATTATATTTATTGGTTTCTCAAAAAAATTTAAACAATAGCTAAAAAAAGAGCAAGTAATAAAAGATAACTTCCCAAATATTAATTAATATTTTAATACTTTTAAGAAATTTGATTTTATTTAACTGTAATTTCCACAAATTGAAGATAATTTTTTCATTTATATTATTATCCTTTATTTAATATTTAATTATTTTACAGACATGAACTGTGTCAGATATTATTAATGAAAAGCAGCATCAACCCCAATAAGACTTAGTCAAGGGTCCTTGGGATGCAACGTGCATCCAATAAATGTCCAAAACGAAGGGGTTGTTGATAAAGCAAAAAGTTATGTAAATAATTACCTATATGATAATATTAATGAAGATTATAATATTATTAAAATAACACAGTAATAATATTTATTGTTTTAGAAACAACTATTGAGATCATCACTCCTAAATATACTAACTTCATTAAATTAGTGAAAAAATTATATTTCAATTATGAATGTTATAAGTTTGAGTTATTATTATTTTTAAGTTTTAATTATTATGATTTTATTATTATAAGTATTTTAGTGAATTAAGATAATAAAATATATTATAAAAGTAAAATATATATAAATTCTCGTAAATCTTAACCTTTATTTAATTTAAAATTTTAAATATATAAAATTTATCATATTATTAAAAAATTTATATTTCATTTAGAATCTTAACTTAAATATTTATTATAATAATATTGTTAAAGTTAATTTTTATATCTTAAACTTTATCCGTTTTTAAATTTTAATCTTTTATAATTTTTTTTAAATATTTCTATAATATAAAAAATAATATATATAAATTTTCTTAAAAGACATATAGATAAAAATATAATATATATATATATATATATATATATATATATATATATATATTTCTTTAAACTCGTATTCTAAGAAATACAAAACGTATATTCAAACCAACTTAAAATTACAAATAAAAATATTTATTTATTTAAAGTTAAAATAGAATTACTTCTACGGACGATCTAGTCTATGTAGATCAGATTTAAAAAATGTGATATGAATAAAAATAAAGTTTTTTTAAGCATGTCCATTCAATCCTGTAATTTGAGGTTTTTGGAAGTAATTTATTTTATTTTATTTTAATTCACGTGACTTCGTTACATAATTTGTGTACTATTTAGTACTTACTATACTTATTTTTTAAAATCCCATTTCAACATTATTGATTTTTCAAAGACTAAATTGGTCGTTGTTTACTTTTTCAAATAATAAAATATTATTTACCGGACATTATAACAGTGGTAGGTGATGAATCATGAGAAAATTATGGATAGAATCAAGTTGAAGGGTTTGATTAGAGACAAATATCACTAAAATAATTTTTAAAATGATGAGGTTTATTGTATTTTTTATTTTATTTTCAAATTATTTTTATATTTTATTTTTAATCTATTTTCATTTATTTTTTTCATGAATTTGATGAATAGAATGTAACATCTTATAAGGTTTTAAAGGTGAGTCAAAGTCTTATAACATGAACAGATAAAAAGAAAAAAAAATTATGTTCAAATATGATATTAGACCAATTTTAATTTTATCTTATTGTTTTATATTATAATATTATGTAATTCATCATCTTAAGCGATTAAGAGACGGAGATGATTATTCTTAAAAATTTTATAACTTATATTAGTATTTATAATTTTGATTTTTAAATTTAATGATTATTATCAAAATTTTATAACTTATATTCGTATATTTATAATTTTGGTCTCTTTAAATTTAATTATTATTAAATATATCTCTTTGTTTATTTATAAATCTGTTTCTCCTCAAAATTCTATCGTCAATATCTATTTCTCCATCCCTCATGAATATAATGAAAGAAAGAATAAATATCAGATATGCATTTATTTCAAGTATAATATTTTTTTAAAAATATGTTGTCAAATTATTTTTAAAAAATATAAAGTTTAGACTTTTTTTTTTATGAGGAAGAAATAGCTTTAACAAACTTTAAAATCTTTAAGATATAATTCAATAAAGAGTTTGAATTTTTCTAAAGCCTTACAATATTGTTACTTGAGATACAACTCAATGTGATGTTGGAGTTTATAGTAATTGAGATGAAGACTCATTAATTTTATGACACCAAAGCATTTGGTAGCAATGTTTTAACGGGAGGGTTGTCCTTTAAAGAAGAAACAAGTTTAAGTTTTCAAAAAAAGTATTCAAAGATAAATAAAGGTGAAGTTGTCTTTGTTAAGAGATGATTTTTGAATAGCCTATCAGGTCAAACACTTTATGACCACTAAGCCAACTTTCAGGTCTCATAAATGCCAAAATCTTGGTAGAAATATTTGAACAACTAAAGTAAAAAAATCTTATACATGTAATGTAATTATTTATGGTACTATGCTTCTTCCTTTATTTTTATTTTTTTTATTGTTTCGTTACATATAGGAATTTCATATTATTTAAGAGTTGAGATTAATGATAATTTATATATAAATTATATCTTAAATCTATTAAAACATTTTTCAAGAATAAAATCATCATGAACGAGAATTTCAAAATGGATAATACCTCGAACGTGAAAATTGATCTTATATTCATGAATCTTACATCATTTACGAGTCGAAGTTAAAAATAATTTATATACACTCTAATCTTTTAAATCATCGAATCATCTTTTAAAAATAAAATCATAACAAATGAGAATTTCATAACGAACATTATGAAAATTCTAGAATGAACATCTAAAATATTAAAATTAAAATTGACCATAATAATATTATTATAATTAGTATTACTTATATTTTTATTTCAAATAGTAGCATGTTATAATTTTGTGCATAATTGGTCACTAAAATATAATTTGATAAATATAACTTGATATCTTGACAAAACATAATTTATACATTTTGATTCATATATCGTAGACCATCATTAGCTGCTAATATTTTTTGATGCTTTTTAGTTCATATAACATCGAACACAGTTGCTAATGTTTTGAGAGAACATTTATTTATGTTTTTTATTCATGACACAAAGTTTTGTTAATGTTTTCTAATAGTATTCATTGTTTTTTTTTTCATGTAACTTGACAGATAATTTGTTACTAATATTTGATGAGAATATTCATTGATGCTTTTTGACTCAACATATATTTGGTTATTATTTTTTTCGAACTAGAATATTTAATATTATGTTTAAAGATAATTCAGTTCATAATTGATTTTTTATGGTATTTCGAGTTGTATCATTTTATGTTATGCTTAAAGAAATAACTCAGTACATAATTGAATGTTTATGTTATTTTATGTTGTATATAAATAAAGAAATAACTCATTTTTAATGATTACATTGATTATACTGTCTCACTATTTATAAGTGGAGATTAAGGATGACTTAAAAGATGCGATTATTTATTAATTCATTATAACGTTTTTTTAAGAACAAAATTATAACAAAACCAAAATTAAACTTCAAATACTTTCGTATATTAATTGACTCTACCATATTATTTTAAAAAACTTGAGAGACACTTGATAACAATTGTATCTAAAAAAAAAATTACATCTACATTAATTAAATTTGAACTTAACAAAAAAAAATTAACTAGCTTTATACCAAAGGCACTAGTGTTTGAACATAATTTGTACACATCTAGAAATAAAAACTTTGTGCATGCCCTCATCAAAACTAGTTCATCAAGATCATATACATAAAACAATTGGACTAAAACATAGCATAACCAATTGCAGAATTCACATCCATCTCATTGAAATCTCTTCTTACTTCTGATAAGCCTCTTCTGGCCACCTCAAACTCTCCTTCAGCAGCAGCCAGTTCCCCCCTCAGCCTCTTCATCTTGATCTCCAAAGCAACCACACTGTCCTTCAGTTTCTTCAATTGCTTTGCTCTTTCCATGTAAGCTTTCAACCCCAATGCTGATTGAACATATGGCTCCAGCCATGCCAAGTCAAATCCTGAGGACTTGACAAGTTCCTTCCACAAACCATGAAGGTGCTTTATGTCCTCTTCACGCATATCCTTCACCCTTTTGGTCTTGAGAAAATGCAAAACTTGGCCCAATGATGTGAAGGCCCATTGTCTAAACCTGCTAGTTCTTTCCTTCTGGCACTGTATCAGATTAGGATGCCATATGCAAACCTCTTCCAGCAGTGGAATGAAAGCTTTTTCTTCTGCTCCTAAACTCTCCAAATCTATGAGTTCTCTTAGTATCAAATTATTTGATCCTTGAGTTGCCCCTTCTGCTCCACTAGATCCTGAGGTTCTTGGACTAATGCTGTCCCTATCATCTGAGGATGATTCTGTTGCTGAGTCATGGCTTGGAGAACAATTTGGGTGAACTTGAATCTTAGGTGCTAAATCCGAGACACAAATGTGTGCCTCGATGATGCATGTGTTCCTCACAAGAAACCCTTGGTTATGGTTGTAGAAATCACTTAGATTCAAGAAAAATGAACCCCAGCTACGATATCCTCCATTGAACTTTTGCTGAGTCTCTGAAAATCACAAATACAAGACAAGAATCAGCTTTTAATACACATAACACTACAAATCAGAAGGAAAAAGTTCCAAGAATAGAATACAAAAACTTAATCACTTGAAGGTATACCTTTTTCAATTGACTTGTTCCTATCCACTTGATTAATTAGAGTTAACTTGAAAAACGTGTTTCTGCTCCATCCATACGGTGGTAAAGAATCAGCAACCATCAAATACACTGAAAAATGTTTCACATCGCTCCTCAGTGGATGAACAAGGATCCTCCTGTGACATCAAGAAAACCCATCATGAGTATCTCTCCCCCATCATAGCAAATGATAAAAGTAAAGTATAAGGCTCAAGTTTTCTTTTTCTTCAAAAAGGTAAGGAAATCATTACGTATATATCACCATGTGATCCAAACTTTCAACTATTGGCAATTGTTCAAGACTTGTTCTCAATTGCGTTAAGAATATGCAATGTGAGGATCGGAAAATAGACAAAATCTGAACCACTGTAGAATTGATCATACCATGTACAGCCCCGGATTTTGAAAGGCTTGGAGCGCAATTTCATGACGTTTTGTTTAGAGAAATCCTCAATTTTCCATGAGAATTTCTCAAAATCAACACTTCTGTCCAATTCATTCACCATTCCGGTTTGTTCATCTGGTGCTAGCTGTAATTACAAACTAAAAAAAAAATGAAAGAAATCATTATTTCAAGATAGAAGTTAAAACAAAAGAACAATAACACACACACAATATATATTTTTATGTGTGTAATGGAAAACCCCAGAAGTTTTTTTACTCACAAAGATCCTCTAAGAGGTTCTTCCTGGCGCTGAGAAGAGAAGGAAATCAAAGGCTTATAATCATGAATGCATTTAGCACTTTGAGAGAAAGATAACAAGGAAAGAGAGAGGAAGAATGCTGTTTAGTACTTTGAGAGAAAGATAACAAGAGAGAGAGAGAGAGATTGAATGCCAGAGAGAAGGAATAAATGAATAATGGCACTATAGTCAAGTCAATAGCAACTAGGTTCGTTTGCTGTAAGGAACTAAGCCAGTATTTTAATGTGTAGAAATGTCAAACTGACAAAGTTAAAGGAAACTGAACTGGAGAAGGCTATAACTTTCTGAGGTACAAAGTTAGGCTTATGAAAGTTCAAGGAAAGAACATGATAAGATTTCATTTGTAGGTTGATTAACAAGAGGTTACTTACAACAGTGGTCTTCCAAGCCTTATTTCTCCTTTTAAAAATACTTCACATAGTTTTATATTTGTCACCATGAATCATCTTAGAGAATATATAATGTTATCAAACACCAGTTCAATTGCATTCAGGGAAGTCCTAATGCTTGATCTGATCTCAAAAATAAGGTTTAATAAGTTAATTTGTGTGTGGTTTAAGCATTATGAAATTTTAAAACCAAGTCAAAGCATGTACTGTTACACATTATATGTATTGAATAGTAGCCATTAAAAACAGACACGTATATTAAATACACTGACATTAAATGATTTGGGGCCATTAGATGTTAACTGCAGCTAAGTTTGCATCTTAATTTAGAATTCCTCTGTCATAAACTTTAAGACACCAATCGTTTTCAGCACATGATTCCGTCAATATTTTACTGCTAAGCTTCTCTTTCACCAATAATCTGCTTTCGTAATCAACTGATGTGACTGTTTTCATTTCATTTACATAATTCAGTCTTTTAAAGGTATGTAATTGATTTAGTGTTTGACAGATGTTTGCATAGATCTTAATTCACATCTGTGAATTCCAATAATAGAGATAAAAGAAAAATTTGCTGTTTTAAAAGGAAAAATAATTTCAAAATCTTTCAACTTTAACATAAATATGTTTCTTCACTCTATGCAATCTCAATACATATGTCTTCCACTATGAATGCTATGTTACTAAATTAAGGAAAATGTAAAGTAAGTCTTTTTTCTCACTTGCACAAGTTTCACACCCAACATAACATCCATTTTCCATGCACTTGCATCATCTACTTTTTGGCTCCTTCGTGGTTTGTAGAGATGAGAAACACATGTAAAAAGAAAAAACAATAAGTTCCCAACTAACCTTATAACTCTTATAATTAAACTTATATTCAATATAATTATAATAGAAAATCTGAGAGAGGTATTTGTTTGATGAATTTTTCTTTTTCGTTTTGTCACAAATTTTGTCTGGTTTATTAGTTGAATTTATTTAATGGATTGAAATCTCATTTTTGAGAATGTGAATTTTTAACAAGCTAGTTATATTGTTGGACATTAACTTTTTCAGGAAAATAATAACGCCATTTGTCATTTTTATTCTCGTTACGAGAGAAGGGAAAGTTATGTTTTTGTTGAATTCGAACATTTACTTTTTAACTAAACAAATTATTAAGCATTATTTTTTTAAAATATTATTAAATATTTATCGAATAAAGATATCTATTGTAATTTTTTATGATTATTGTTATATTTATATTTTCAACTTTCTCTTATATTTTTAAACAAATAACATAATATTATAATTGAAATTTATAATAAAAAAATAAAAATTAAGTAATTATAGATAAAATACAATTATATCGTAAAACACTTAAAAATACATACATAAATACTTACATATATTTATTGATTAATTCTAAATATATAATATTACATTTAAATATATAATTAAGTAATAAATTATTATGATCCCCAAATAATTTATATTTTCTTTGCAAATATACATGATTTCCAACAGAAATTATATAGACTATATACTTGTCACATACACCTGAAAGTTAGAAAATGAAGATGATTAAGAACATACTTTTGATTACATTGCATGAAGGCAATGGTAGTGTTGATGTGCAAGGTTTACACGTATTCACGAGTCATGCAAACATGGAGTCTGGTGCTGCCAAGTCTCAAACACTTTGCATCAGTAAAAAGACATGAAAAACCTCAAAAGAACCGAAAGTGGGAGGGGCAAAACCGTCACAATAACGTGCAAGATATAGTTTTATATAAATGGTGACAGTGGGGTTGAAGTGTTACTGATAAACTAAGAAAAGAAAAAAACGATGGAAGAAAGTGGTGGAGCAGAGCAACGAAGGATGAGGATGAAGGTGATGGTTGGTGTGGATGAGAGTGAAGGGAGCTTCTATGCCCTGAAGTGGGCCCTTGATAACCTCTTCACTGCCATGGCCACTGTGGGAGAAGCAACAGAGGAGAATGAAGGCATGGTGTTTCTGGTTCATGTTGAGCCTAAAGTTCACAACTTTGTCTACCCAGTTGGACCAGGTGGACCTGGTACCTCTTCTTACAATATTATTGCTTTGGTTTAGATTAAAATATGTTTTCAATCTCTGAAAAATTTAATATCTCTCAAAATATTTCAAATCTTATATAATATGAAACTTTGTAAATTGTAATATATTTTATTATATTATTGAGTTTAATTTATTAAACGCACAAATATCTAGATAACATGATTAGGGATAATACTCATTCTTGAAAGAAAGTGTTTTTATAAATTATCTTTGGTCATGTTTTAACCATATCTTTTTGGTCATGATTTCTAAGCATTTGAGCTGGGTAGTTTATGTTTATGAACTATTTTTAGTCCAAGCAATGTGAAAATTTCTAAACAAATATGATTAATCAAGATTGTTTAATTCTATGGAATGAGCTTGTATATAATTAGGAATATATTTATATTGTGGTGAAAATATGATTCTTATATATAGAGGTGCCTTCAGCAGCATTTTATCCTGCAAATGTAGTGGTGGAATCAGTGAAGAAAGCAGAAGAAGAGAAATCAGCATCTGTTCTCTCAAGGGCATTGAAAATGTGCCATAATAAGCTGGTAAATGTCTCATGCAAGTGTGTAATGATGTGAGAGTGAGTAGAAGGAAATGATGATGGATGAATGGAAATGCAGGTGAAAGCAGAAAGCATGATTCTGAATGGAGATCCAAGGGAGATGATCTGTGAAGCAGCAGACCAAATGCAAGTCAATCTGCTTGTGTTGGGGAGCCGTGGCCTTGGCGCCCTCAAAAGGTTTGTATCAGAAAATCAGTGCATGACAAAACCATTTATTTCTTTTGGTTTTCATTGGAAGATTCATGATTCTATCATTTGGTGGCAGGGCACTTCTCGGAAGTGTGAGTGACTACTGTGCACATCATGCAAGAACACCAATTCTTATTGTCAAACCACCAGAGCAAAATAAAAAGCAGTAACCCTGCTTACTTCCCACTTTCTTTTGTTTATGTTTCATCGTCAATAAAAATGTATTTAATGACTTTTTTTCTCTACAAACATCTTTTCATTTTGTCTATATTTAAATTACTTAAATGCTGTTCCTTTATCTTATCTCGCAATATCCTATCATACTTAATAATTTTTACTTTATAATTTTTTTGTTTACTCTTAATTTTGTTTTAAATTAACATATAATTAATTAAAAACAATAAACTGATGTTTTATAAAAATATACAAAACTAATTTTTATGCAAAATTTAGTATAAGAGCATGCTTTAATGAATATATATCTTAAATTCAGATACCTACAAAAATATATGCATTAAAAATACTATAAAAAGTTTAAATTTATGTTTATTTACTTGTTTTATAGTAACTAATAATAGAAATTAAAATAAAATAAGAATGACGTGTTATTAAGAATGTTTATCACATTTTAAATAATTAACTCTTTATTGTGGAGCTTTACTTGCGTTTTATAATTATTGATATATTAATGCATACCAAGTGAAGCCCATAAAATTTTCATGTTATATATTCGCTTTTAAATATTTTTTTGAAGAGTGCTAAAATTTCACTTTAACTAATAATCAATGGAACAATTCGATATAATAAAAAAAATGCAACATTAAATACTTGAAAAAAAAAACTATTTACTACTTTCATGTATCATATTAACCTCAAACCGTATACCTGTACGGTAGTCTATATAAATTAAAAAGAAAAAGGAAAAAAAAATCTAGCAAAAATAAGTAAACTATAACTTATCTCCGAATTGTATAACATACTAAGGTAAACGAAAACATATTTAAGCGAGAAAAATTCATAATTACAAACCATATTGAATCTTTAAAATATGTATTGAAAGAGAGAAAAAAAAGGAATATAAAAATATATGTTATTTATATATACATAAAAAACTGAATAAACATTTTAAAAAGCATGTAATTATTTTAGAGAAGGAACTTTTAAAACAATAATAGAGTTTCAACCTATAATTTCATGTAAAATAAAAACTGCACAAACTCTAATCCCTAAGGCGACCTTTGGAGAATACCTACGAGATCAAGTCACTAAAAATAAAATAAAAAATACACCAGTTTCACTTTTAAAAGTGAATTTAAAACTATTTGATTAGAAGTGTTTTATACTAAAAAATAATAGTTAATTTGAGACCATATTAGCTACTAATGAAAAAATAGTACTAAAAATGAAATTATTAATTTCAAAAAAATTTAAATACTAAAAATGTCTGTTAATGACATGTTTCAAGTAAGATATTATCTAACTCTATCAGGTGTAAGAACTGTTTTCATTAAATAATATGAATTCAAATCAGGAAGGTCACATTCAGTAGTAGGGTCAATAAAATTCATTTGGCAATTACAAATTCAAATAAAAAACTTAAAATTAATGGAATTTTAGGTTAGATATATAACTATTCTTGCATTCATCCATTTCAACTATTTATAAGAGAAAAGAAAATGAAATATAACCATGCATCCAAGAACTATATTTTGTCTTGTGCAACAGACAGTCAATTGTGAACGGTTGACAAACTACAACTAAAATATTGCATATATAGATGACCATGTTGAAGAAAAATCCTTGCTAAACCACACAATTAGATTACATGTCGAAAATTTCCCTTAGCAGCACATGCTGTCGTTCAGAAAAATCTTAAAATGGTTGGGTCAATGATTTACCTCAACTTGCAAATATTAGAAAAGAAAAATTGAATGGGTCCATCGAAAATCATTTCCTCGTAATAATCTAATACGACCCAAAACTGTGCCTCTTACTGAAAATTAAGACGAATAGAAAATATCTTGAAAAAACAATCTCAAAAACTCAAAAGTCACGCTTGTTGCCTACAGGCTAATATCAATCAATCCACAGAAACGTTGCTCTTTTATCAGTATTTCTAGAAGAATCACTTCGAGGTCCACGCAGTGGCAGACAAGACCATCCAATCACTCCACCGTCAATAAAATACGCAACTGCATCTTGATACCCCTATGTCATATTCCAACTATCATTTTCAAATTGGAAAATCCTGAATCGACCACCAATTTCATCTATCCTCACTTTGATATGCACATTCCTTAAATGCGATGAAATTTAGTGTCTTAGCAGGCTATTAGGGGGAGGGGGAAATATATTAAACTTTTGGGTAAAATGTGCTTCAAATTTTGGTCAAAATCTGTAATATTTTTCAAATTTGGTTTTAACCCTCCAAAATATATTATTTTCGTCCCTGTAATTTGGAAATACTTTACTCTTGATCCTTAAAGTGATTTTCTTTATGGTCTATAACTGTCATTAAATGTAAACTATACAAGTTCATAACCACTTTCAGGACTAAGAGTGGATAATTTTCAAATATGATAGATAAATATAAGATCATTTTTGAAAGAGTAAAACCAAAATCGGAGATTTTAAAAGAACCAAAAAACATATCCAAATTTATTTTAGTTCTTATACTGTAAAAATGTTTGTTTTGTTTCTTGTATTTTCTAAAATGTAATAGATTTCCTCCCCGTTCAAGGCAATGATGTATAGAATCTAAGAAAAAATATGGAGTTGCTCCCACGGTAAAACTCGGATAAAGTTGAGTCAAAAATCCCGATTTAGGATAAAATCGTGATGAGGTGGTATCTTCTTCTATCTACTGCAGCATTTAGACATTGGTTAATAGGTAAAGTTACATGTATTTCATGTCCAAAATGTTCAAAATCACCGTTTTTAAAATAGAGGAGCTAAAATTAATTTTGCCCAAATTTACAGAGACTGAAAACACATTTTAACCTAATCTTTTTACAGACAACTAAGAAATGAAAGGCAACTCAACCAAAGAAAATTAAGTACCTATTTTTCCCACCCTCCTAGTCTCGTTCCTGGGTCATAGTTTGAGAACAACCGAAACTCATTTCCAAGTTTGCTGGAATGCTGAGGCCTAAAACCACAAGGATACAGGCCCAAGATCTCTGCTGCACTTTCTTTCTGCACTTCACCTACAAGCAAGTGTAATGCAAAAGTTAGAATACCGAACAACGGATACAGTTTTATTTCTTAGTAATTCTTCAGACTGATAATCTCGTCACAAACATAATGAGTAAATTATCATGTTCAGAGAAATGATAAAAAACACAATAGGATAAAATTAATTGATACCTGTGAGCAGAAGCACAAATGACTTTCCAGGTTGTATGAGCAGATGAATTGTTTCAGAAACTTTCTCCAAGCACTCTTTGCTCTACTAGCAAATAATTACGTTAAAAAGATAGTTAGACATGTCACTTTTTAAATTGGAACTAATGTATACTGTCAGTCTCATAGTCTCACACTTGATGTCCTTTTTATATCCACCTAAAAAGGACAAAAATTTCATTACAAATTGAATAACAAAGGCTCAACAATTACACTCACTCCACTTTATAGATTTTGGAGGCATTTGGATGAACTTCTAAGGGGAGATTAATCGGAGATTACGAGCATGGTTCAAGATTCATTATTTTTTTATCCGTGATTAAGCTATTTACCCAAACGAATCTTCATGCAGTAATCAAACATGTTTACTTAAGATTAAAATGGAAAGAAAAGGTTGTCATGTCTTAAATACCACTAGAATTTTCTTTTACAGTTGCATTGTGGGTACCCCTTCTGGTAATAAATAACTACAAATACAAAAGTAAGTTATGCAAATATAGACTCATTGTCAGAAGCTATGAGGAGAAATTACACGAAACAGGGTTTAAATTAGTTCACATAGATATAGGAACCTATGTATCCATGAAACATGAAATTCAACTCATTGAAAAGAGATGTTAAGGAATGCACCATACAGCACAGCCCTTAGATTGTCCAATACTATATAATTTTCTATAAAGCAAAATAAAAATTTAGCTTCATATTGATTTCTGATTGCAATCAAACGTACAAGTGAGGGAGGAATATCAGCTTCATATCACAGTAATGTTATTACTTTTAATCAGAGGATGATGGGGGAAACGTATACAGGGGATGGAGGAATCCAACTTAAGAGAAGTCCAAAACAATAGTTTTTGTAATAAGCAAATCTTACAAGACTAGGAATGTTTTAACTGAATAAAGCTATACAGATCAAACTCTTTAAACAACTTGCACACTAAAATTAAAAAAGAAAAACATTTTTCACAAGAAAACGCCAATAGCTCGCAGTCAAACCATTTATAGTTTTATGTGAAGTACACAAACAGCTGGCAAAAATGGGACCAAAGGATACAGAAGACGCCAATGTACAGGGTAAAACGTCAGCAATTAATTCTCACCAAGTAAGGAGGATCGGCAACTACAACTTTGCATGAATGCTTCAATTCTGATGGTATTTCATTAGGGAGATTGTAGTCATAAAATGTGTAGTCACTTCCATATTGCTGAAAACGTTTGTCATACTCAAGAAGTTGCAAAGACACATTAGGATTCATTTGCTGAAGATTGAGAAAGGAAAAAGGTAATGTTACTAATAGAGCAAAAGCAAATCGAAAGGAGTTTCATTTTCATACAATATCCTTTTTACATTGTCAACTAATTAGAACAATAAAACACTAAAATATTAAGTTTTACAAAAATAAAACATATCAAGCATAATTTTGATAAATTATGAACGAGTAAAAAAATTTATAGTCCGAGTATTTTATTGAATTCATTAGTTAATACTAATTTCTGAAAATGAGGCCTTGTTCAGCTCATTATCTCAGATGACCTTAATTTTCATAAGCTGCTAGTGTAAAGATTTTTACTCTGTAAACAAATTAAAAATCATCTCAAGTATTACATTTAAAATAATTTTTATAAAAGTAAAAAAAATTGTAATAAACGGCAATACATGATTCAATGCATTCTAATGAAATTATTTTGACCTATAAGAATTTGAAACTGTAAACATCTTCTACACTAAGTCAAAGATATACCCAATTTTATATTACAAATTAAGCCAAGACAATAACAAACTTCATACATTTTTGAGTAATCATGGTATTGCCGCAAAATATCAGACTAAGCCCGTGACTAATCTTCTCCGGAAAACCTCAATTACTATTTCTAGAATAGTGATCCTTCTATTAAACTCGAACATGAGATCTTGCTTGAAGAATCTAAGTTAATTTTAACTGGAACAAACTAAACTTGGTCTAAACAAATTTCTTACATGATCCTGCTCTAAAGACAATGCTCAATAACTTATCAACTTATCTTGCAAATTTCATACCAAAATCATGAACGGTAATCCCAACCACCCTAACTTGATAAAGAAAAGAAAAATAAATAAATCAAATCAAATCAAATTACAATAGGAGAGCAGGAACGTACCTTGAGATAAACATAGAGAGTAGGGCAAGCGATGCAGGCAACGCGAGCATGGACGCCGCCGCAGAGAGTGAGAACTTCTTCGGCGACGGTTTTGGCTGTTTCGGGACTGTACCAGAACTGGCTCAACCTCCAATCCTCGGACAGGAGAGAAACATCGGAGCTTCCTCCAGCGTCCGAGTGATGCTGCTGCTCGGCGAGGAATTCTTTGAGGGCGGCGAGAGTGTGGGAGCTGAGAGACGGCTCATCATCATCGGAGGGCGCCGAGGACTCAGTGAGTCTGGTCATCGAGTTAGGGTTCAGTTCGAGTTTGTCCGGCATTGCTCTAATATATTGTGAGGAACAGTGATGGGAGCTGTGAGTGGTGGTGTGCTTAGACACTGGTGGCTCCACCTGGATATATTATTGGGTCGGGTTTCAAAACATTGGATCCCAACCTAAATCAATCATTCATTGCCTTTTCGTTCTTTTTTTAGGCATTGCATTGCATTCATACAGATAAAACAATCGTTCCAAACAATCATAATGCTACATCAGGAAGTAGTTGTTTTAATATTATTTATTTTCTAAACAAAATTATATAAAAGTTATAATCTCAACTACTTGACATTTAACTTCATATTTTAAATATTTTTATTAGGATTAATAATTATTAAAAATATATAATTTTTTAATAAAAATTTCTTACTTCACATAAAAACATGCTAAATAAGAGACATTCTTAGAATTATGAAATAGATAAAAAAATATGTTCCACTATATCATCTATATTTTATTTTATTTAAAATGTCATATTAATTAAACTCAAATGAAAAATCATTAAATTATATTGTAACTACATTTTAAATAAATAATACTATGCAAACTAATAGATTCTATTTTTAATTATATAAATAAAAAATATCATAAAAATCATACTTTGAACTGTAAATTACGGGAGTATTGTTTCAGCGTATTATCAGTCAATTTTGTAACTATTTATGCAGGTAGAAAACTAACCACTTTTAAATAGATATAGTTGTATTTAAAGTAAAATTGACATGAATGCCAATATAAAACTCAAAAGAAGCTATTCTACATCATTATCCAAAATTAGATTGTTCTTTAAATAAAATTTCTATTAAAAATTCCTTATCCTAAAATTCCAATTGTAGTTACTCTTATTTGTAATAATAACCGCTACTGATAACAAAGATATGAAATAAATCAAGAAATCATAAGAGCTTTTTAAATAAGTCTAAATTGAAAGTCTATAAATCTAAGTCAAAGAAACAAAATCGTTCATTTCAATACTTGAGCGAACTAAAAATTAATTAAAGCAAGAAAAAGTATTACACAATATTCGAAATTTTAATAAATGAACTACAAAGATCAAAACAAAATCTGTCTGGTGCAGCTTTTTCAAACTGCTTAACGATTAGCCTTGGCAACTCTTTCAATCTCGTCCTTTTTCTTGATGGCATAACTGAAAACAGAGTAACCATTATAATTAAAGCAGATTCGAGTTACAGTAAGAGAATGTATGGTCACATAATCAGACTGCAGGAGTATACCTGTTGGATGAACCTTTTGCGGCATTAATAAGTTCATCAGCCAAGCATTCAGCAATTGTCTTAATATTTCTAAAAGCAGCTTCTCGTGCACCTGTTGTTAGAAGATAGATAGCCTGATTAACACGTCGAAGGGGTGAAATATCAACGGCTTGTCTCCTCACCACACCAGCAGAACCAATTCTTGTTGCATCTTCACGGGGACCACTGATAATAGAATATAAAATAACATCGAGTCAAATAAGTAAGTAAATTACAAGTCACTTTATATTTAATCCAAACAGAAAAGAGAACTGAAATACACCATCTAAACTAACGTTGCATGAGAACGTTAAAATCTAGCAAGATAAAAATCTAAACATAGGAGAATGATCAGATAGAGCTAATACAATAGCGCCATCATCCTGGCAATCAAACCAATAGGGAAACAATTAATCGTCATGTCATTCTCCAAATGCTAAATTGTTGATCTCTCCCACCAAAAAACATAGCTAAACCATAAAATTACATTTCCTTCTTTTTCTGGAAGTTGTCAAGAAATAACCATTATAAATAAACAAGTAAAAAAATAAAGCATCCCATAACAATATAATGGGCAGTACTATTAACAAAGTAAATAACTAAGTTTTAATAAAATATCGTTATATAATTTTATAAATAAAATAAAGTAAAGACAATGATCAAACACATATAACTCAACCAGTAAACACAAACAAACAGAACTACGAAATTACAAATTCACGGTAGACTCCTTTGATACAGTTAGTAGGATGTTTTCAACTCAATAATATGTACAATAATTATAAATTACTAATTATTAAATTTAAAACAAATGATAATAATTTATGGAGAACGATCAGATAGAGCTAATACATAAGTGCCATCATCCAGGCAATCAAACCAATAGGGAAATAAATGATCATCATTTCATTCTCCAACTCCTAAAATTAATCCCTAAAAGTTAGCCTGCGTTAATCAACTTTGTATGTCATTTCCCAATAGCATAATTACACTTCAAAGAAAACAAGTAAAAAAGTATTCGTTAGACGACATCAGCATATGCTAAAAATAATAGTAAGGAGAATGGTCAGATAGAGCTAATACAAAATGCCATCATTGAGGCGATCAAACCAATAGGGAATATATAATCATCATGCCATTCTCCAAACGATACAGACAATAGCCGTAACATAAATTATAAGAACGAAAACCCATTCAAATCTAAAACAATAAAAGAGATATACCCATAATAACAAACTTAAAATCCGTTATCGGACACGGAGCATACCTATTGATGACGGCGTCAACAATGACCTGAATTGGGTTCTGGTCAGTGAGCAAGTGAATAATTTCCATAGCATGCTTGATAATCCTGACAGCCAAGAGCTTCTTTCCATTGTTTCTTCCATGCATCATGAGAGAATTGGTGAGCCTCTCAACAATGGGGCACTGCGCTTTCCTGAACCGCTTCACCGAGTACCTACCGGCAGTGTGAGGAACATACGTGGCGTGCTTCGACGACACCACTCCGATATAATCAGCAAGAGAAATGTCATTAACCTAATAACACAAAAAAACCCTCATAATTAACAAACAAATACTGTAATCAAGCTAGCACGATAGTGTAGCGGCACTAACCTAATAAAAAAGCACAATAATCAAAAGGCATTGAATACACAACAAAAAAATATTCATACAGAATAATGTACTTTTAGGGTATATAACATTAGCAACAAGGTCAAGGTTGGTTATAATTATATTAGATGTGCTTTAATGGCGAAAGGGAGATGAAAGAGAAATGCCTGAATGTCTTCGAAGCTCCAGCGGTTGAAGAGCTTGACATCGATTTGGGTGGGATCTGGAACTACGCCAGCTTCGGGAACGATGTCGGCCATGGCTGCGAAAGAAATTGAGCAGAGAGAGTTAGCGAGAGCAGAGTAAAAGCAAGAGAAGTAGAATGATACGGAGGAGAACGAACTCGTTGGTGTTGCGAGGCACAGAGGGTGCAGAGAGTGAAGTGGCGTAAGAAGCTGCAACTTCAATTAGAACGACCAAAACCCTAGGTTTTTGGCTTTGTCATTTGGTATTTTATAGTGATCGAAACCCTAAGTTGAATGGCTAGGCCCGGCCCAGCGAGGTTTAGATTTTTTTTTTTGTCCTTGGACTTGGGCCTTGGTGGGTTTCATGGTGTTCATTTAATAGTGTGTTTGGACCAAGAAAATAAACAATATAGGTTGCATTTGTTGGTTTCCTGTTATAAAATAATAATAAATAAATCAATAGCATCACAAGTTATTTTTTTGAGATAGTGAAAAAGAATTTTTTTTTTTTAATTATTAGTTATCTCACAGCATCTCCTACTCTTGTAAGCAATATATTAGTTATTAACCGACCACATTTTCATAATTTTCATTTATATTTTATTTTTTTGACAATTTAAAAATAATAATCATCATAAAAAAATTAGTTAGAAAATACCCCCAAATATTTTATTGTGTAACAAACATTATTCATGTCTAACCCCATTATTCCACTTCAAAATTATATAGAATGGGTATGCAGTTTTAGTTTCTCAGTCTCTGTTAATTCATTCCGCCAACCTCGCGATTCAAAAACATAGTAAGATATTCATTTTTTTTTAATATTTATATATTAAAATTAAAAATATTATCTTTTTATGTTATGTTATTAAAATATATAAATATATAAATATATTATAATTTAAATTATAAATACTAATCAGGTATGCTAAAAATATTTATTATAATTAGATATTTTAATACATAAATATAATGATTTTTTATTTATCTAATAAAAAATATTAATTAATAGATAAGAACTTAAAATTTTTTTATAATTAATAATATATTTTTAAAATATACATATAAAAAATATATTAATGTTATTATACCCTAACAATAATAAATTGAAGTTTGTGTTTATCTTGGGTTTAAAGTCCCGCTCATTCATTTTTTATAAACTACTCATTCTATCATTTATTAAAACATTTTCTAAATAGTTTACATAGAGTATTTTGAACAGATCATTCTCGCAAAGATTTGTCCTCTTCATATGTTCATGGAAATTTAGGATGAGTACAATTAGATATACTAGTAATTAAGATTTGATATATGCTAAGCATTCATAGTGCACGTTTTCACCAATATTGGTGGAGGTGACAGGTTTTGCAATTAATTAATATAACTTTGAAAATTTTATTATTTGGGTTTCATTTCCTATAATACCATAAGAAAGACAATTTTGACTACTAAATTGGGTATACAATTGTTGAATAATGGATACTTAATAGGCCATTTTAGTCATCACCATTTAGCAAAATTTTGCCATCAACCGTCAATTTTGTTTTTGTAAAAATGATGATTTGGTGAGATTTCCCACAACTTTACATCATAGTGAAAGAATTAGTTATTCATTCACAAAATTCCTTTATTTTCAAAAAGAACAATCTATAAAGAATAGATAAAGACAGAAGGGAAAGTGAAACATAATGCATTGAACCATTAATATTTTCAAATTCTCCATTCTCTAAACCAAATTTGCAATTTATTAAACCTCAGATACTTTCAACTTTACAACCCAAAATTTTATTTATGTTTTAAAGCTGGAATCATTTGAGGTTTAATAAATTGTAACCATCATCTGTCACATCAAACAATTTTTTTGGTTTTTTAGGTTATACATTACTTCTTAATTAATAAAGAAATAAATACAAACAATCTCAAAATATAATGTATCACAATTTCTGAATGCCGATCTTAATGAGTGGTGCTCATCTTTATCAAACTTTTATGATGATAATTGTTTGGCAGCAGATATTGACAAATCTGAGACAATGTAACATGTACAAGGCATGATGCTGCTTTGATTACAGACTAGTTAACCGTTTGGTCCACCGAGTGAACTCACAAGAGTGAATAACTTCTGAAAGCTACACGAAAATCTTAGCTAGCGTCCTTAAACTATTAAACAAATCTGCAGGTTATTGAAAAACATTGCCAATATTTTAGATGACAAGAATACCCAAAATCATATTGAATTGAACATACTACATCCATAACAAATCGGAATATAAAAAAAAAAGCAGTATATAGAACAAGAATCACAATTTTACTCAAAAATCTGCCGGCTCAATAACATCAAAACTCAAGGCACAATACTGAGTATAATAATAAAAATCCACAAAAAATAAGGCGTTGCTAACTACCACAAAAAACAGCATTGTTTCAATTGAATACTGAGACAACCCTCAAGAGAGCCTCTAGCGCAACCTCCTAGCTTCTCTCTCAGACTCAAGAAGGGTGAGAATGTCTCCCTCTCTCACTGGTCCCTTCACATTCCTCATGATGTGACGGTTCTGATCATCCAAAAACTTAACTCTAACCTGAGTTACCTGTCCTCTAGACCCAGTACGGGCCATAACCTTGACAACAATAGCATGCTTCACCTGAGATTCCATCCTGATCAAATATAAGCAATGTTTACAAGGTTGAAGTGAGTAAGGTCTGCATACCAAATCACTGACATTACATTTTATGGGAAAAGAGAAAGAACATATTAACGACACAATCCTTATCTAGAATCATGAATTTAAAATCAAAGTGAACAAAGGGTGAAAACCAAGAACAAATTACTATCAGAACATAATTAACTACTTAAAAACGTATGTCTGTGGAGATAAGCATATTTTTCCAAATGGCATGATAGATGTAGATAAACCAATCACAAATCCATTTCAACTTGTTACGGAGAATGATCAGATAGAGCTAATACATGAGTGCCATCATCCAGGCAATCAAACCAATAGGGAAATAATTAATCATCATATCATTCTCCAACATATCACTGATCCTATCCTAAACCCTAAACCAATAAGAACGTGTAAAAATTTCATAGCATTATATAAAATACATGTGCATTATGATTAACATAGCAAACAGCTTGATTTCTCTTCCAAATATAAGATAATGAAAGGGAACATTAAATTGAACAAAGGAAGTAAATACTAAAATAATAAACATTTAGAGCCAACCTAAATAAGCTTTTAAAATAGGACTTCAACAATAATATATTAAAAAAAATCAAGGTAATAAAGTAAAACGAAATCTCCCACAAATCAAATACATTCTATGTTCTTTAAACGAGCGTTGAAGAAGTATTTCTAGACTGAGTCAAGCTAAAATGATATAGAGTTCCCTGAGGATGGGTGAAATTTAACATCAACACCAACACAACACAGCAAAAATAATAACAGTAAGGATTCACAATCTCATCAATAACTACGCGAATGGAAATCATTTGGATCATATGCAGCAATCCAAATCATAATACTCAAAGATAAACTACACTGTTGAGGCAAAACCCCAAAATAAAACGCAAATCAAACTCGGAAACATATATACAATGCAAATCATAAGCGGACTCAACAGGATCATCAGAACCACAGCCACAAAATTCAGAAGAAGCAAACATAGAATTAAAGAAAAATCCAGAAGAAAAAACAAAAAGTAAAAAACAGGGCAATTAGCACCAGAAACATCATTACCTTTTGTAGTTCAGATCTATATTAAAGGAAACGAGTGTTAAATTTACAAAAAACAAAAATGATGAATCAATACCTGAACTTAAGAATAGGGAAGAGGAAGCTAGGGTTGCAGCCGCAGCTCTCACTTCAAACTCGCGCAGAAGAACAGAATCATAAAACCCTAGTTACTGAAATTTATACAAAAACGTTGGTCTAAATGACAATTTTTATCCATGGAATGGCATGAACATAGGGAGAAGCATACATAATAGAAAGGACCTTATTGTAAATTGACACATTCAATTTTAAATATTTTTACAATATGATGTTAATACGAAATATTTATCAATTTTATTGATAATTAATTTTGTTAAAAAGGTTTAAACTATTATTTAAATAATTTTTTATGTTTTAAGTATTTGATTTATTATTTTAATATAGAGTTTAGAGTATCCACTGTGTTTGTTTATTTTAATTTTCGTCAAAAATCTTAATTGATCATATTTAAGTCTAACCAAGAGTTTATATTATATTATTAATGTATTCATAGTGTCTTGTCTAAAATTTGATTACATATTAAGAAACGAAAATTTATTTTAATAAATATTTTTCATTCAAAAACAAAAAATCATTCTTAAATCATTCAAAACAACATTAAAAATAAAATAAAAAATTACATGTGTAATATTTCTTTATGGGAAGTTTTAATATTTTAAATTATTGATAGATATCATATCTTTTAGATATTCTTAATAAAATATGATTATCTTGTACAAAATATATTCATAAAATATACATATTAAAAACTTGAATAAGAAATTACACGTTTTCTAAAAATTATGTTATTTGGTTGTCATTGAAGTATTAAAAAACTCATATGACTATGTTTGATGGATAAATTAACCATTGGTTGTCATATTTGATGGTTTTATTTATAGTTTCGACTAATACTATTTCGTTGCAAAATTATTTATTTAACATTATAGCATAACTAGAATTATGATTTTCTTTTTACTTTATTTTTAAAGTTAGACTTTTAGATTATATATATATATATATATATATATATATATATATATATATATATATATATAAAGTCGTTAAATATTATTATAATAAATAAATAATATCTTAAAGTAACTTTTTTTTCATATTTTGTTTTAAATTAAATTTATTTTTTGTCAATAAAATTTGATTTAGTTATATATATATATATATATATATAATTATTTTTGTAACACGGAAAGAGAAAAATCAAAAAAATACTATTATTTTAAAAAAGTGATTATAATTTATGTATTTAGAAAATAGTAAACTAAAAAATGGATATATTTTAAAATAAATGAAAAGAAAAAATAAAATAATATTTTTAAAAATTAATTATATAAAAAATTATGAATATACATATATCTTAATATTAATGTTACCATGTATAAATTAAATTATATTTTATTACAATATAAACATAAATTATAATAATGATAACGCATAAAAAATTTATTAAATACAAATAAAATTTATAAATTAAACTTACTTTTAAGAATTTATTTTAATTTGTTTTAAATTTTCAGAGTAAAATAAAAATTTCATACATTTTAAACGAGGAAATTAATTATTTTATTTATTTTTAATTTTTGATATTTTTGAAGCATCCAACATAAAAAAAGAAAAAGAAAAAGAGAGTTATGTGTTGATTTAATTTAATTTTTATAATTTTTTAAAATATTTGTAGATTTGTTTTTTTAAATAATTATATACACATATACACACACGGTTGTTTAAAATAAATTTAGTTTTTAAACTAAACAAATATTTAATTAAAACAATTTTAAAAACGAGTTCAGTTTTTAGTTTTTAAAAACTGAAAAATCGTATTTTATGTTTTCATTAATAAAAAATAATAATTTCATCCATAATCATCCATTTTTATCACGATAAAATTATTAAAGTTATTATTTTCATTCTAAAAATTATTTTTCAATCATCTACCAACTTATTATGATTTTTTTTTCAAAATAAAACTATCTGTTCTTAATTTTTCAAGATAAAAATAAGATAATGAAATATGATATTAACTTTTTAAAATAATAAAAAAATAATTCTTATTAAATCTTTATATTGTTGTAATTATTATTCATCTATACTTAATATGTGTTTTAATCACATAAATAGCCCAAATAATCAAATAAAAAATATGACTTAAAAATAGGAATACTTTTACATTTTTCTGCTACGCATTTAATATATAGATAAAACATGTGAATCAAATTTTTAGAAATGTTGTTACTATTTTTTTTTATATTTTTTACTTTTGTCTCATTTTTAGTTTTAAGATTAATTTAATTTAATTTAATTTTTAATTTTAAATAGAATCAATATTATATAATTTCATGAAGAAGGGATAAGTGAAAATAAAGTGTAACCAAAACTAGTATTAAAATAAAAAATGGCAAGACATTAAAAAAAAAAAAACGAATGAATAAGAAAGCTGTTTAGCTCAAATTATATGTAAATAGTGGAATATACAGAACAATCATTATTATTATTTTTTTGTTATTTTAAAAAAACAAAGAAAACATAATCTAAAAGCAGGTAAGTGGTGACCGTAGAAGAATGCTAGCTATTCTTATAAACAAACTATGTTGCTTCTCCAAAATTCATGTACTTAACGTGGTTTTGAGGTATCCACCATGATCTTCAACGTATCCGACCACACTATGCAACTGTGACTGTGTCTCAGGAAACACCTTTTCACTCAATTCCGTAGCCGTGTGTCTGAGATTTGGAGTGTTTTTTTGGATTGCTGTGTTCAGCTCCGCATGGAGCTCTCACTCTCTCCAACTTCATATCGTGTTCCTTCCACAATTCCCTCTTTGAATTCCGCTATACTGTGCACTAAGGCCACTCTAGGATTTTCCAGTCACTTCCACTCAATTGGGTTGCAATATAACCAACTCAGATGCTGCTCAATTCCGGTTCCCAAGAGACCCAAGAGACCCAGTTCCATAAGGGTGTGTTTCTTTTTCCTTAAAGTTCCAATTTTGATTCATTTACTTGTGTTTTGCCGAGAAAAAAAAAACAATATAATTAATGGGTTTTGCTGAACAGTTTATGGTGAATACGGATTTGGTATGATTGAAGTTTTTCAAATTGTGATGCCTGTTGTGTTTTTCAGTTTTTCAATATGTAAATAATGAATGTTTGGAATGCCATTTCTTTTGAGCATGTTCCAGTCCTCTGGCTGAGATGCTGACTCAGTTACTTTTTCTATCCTCCTTTCTGTTTTTTTTTATATATATATATATATATATATATATATATATATATATATATATATATATATTATTTTGTTATTATATGCAACTGCCATTTAAAACTGTGTTATGTGCAACTACAATGTAAGTAGGTTTGGAAGGTTTGCTTCAACCACATGTGCTAGAGAGATTGTAAAGTTTCGTACTGAAGTCATAATTGACTGGAAGGAAGTTTAGCATTGAAGTTGGGGCTTGGGGTGAACATTTAGCATTTATCATAAGTAAAATATTACAGTAAACATGTACAAATCATGTTTGAAATGGTTAGATCATGTAGTGATTAAATTGAAGTCTACTTAGAAAACAATAAAAGAAAGAAATGATGATGATACCAATGGAAATGTGTCGGAGAAAGAAACTGCTACAAAGGTAAGTCAACGGGGGAGGTTGTTTCTTTAGTGGTTTAATAGGATAAATATGGCAATAATAATATAGTAAAACTATGGGTGCTTGACAAACTGAATGATGGCATGGACATGGAAAAACGATTAAAACAGTAAAATGTGGTAACGGGGCAATTGAAATAAAAGGTGTCAGTAATAACATGCGGTGATGCTGATTGTAGTGAGGTGAGATGCAAATAAAGAAGTGACAAATATGAACTGACAAATGTTTTCTATACAGTAAGAGTGCTATTATTTCATTAGCCAGTTTAACTTTCTTATAACTGACTTTATTTTGGTTTAAAGGACATTTTTTACCCTACTTTTTGGTTTTGGATGAGATTTGAGTCTTCTTTATCACTTTAAATGAAAAGAATGCTGGCAGGCTTGCACTGGAGTTGGAGCTGCTGAATCTGATCGTCCGTTAGCTGAAAGACTTCTAGATTTGAAAGATGCTTGCTGGAGATTTTTAAGGCCACATACTATACGTGGTACAGCACTAGGCTCATTGTGAGTAACTTAACTTTATAATTTTCTAGCTACTGTTTCATGCAGCTTCATGCCAAGTATACTTTGTCTGAGGTTCATTTTCTCTTTGTTTTTACAGTGCTTTGGTGGCAAGAGCATTGATTGAGAACACAAATTTGATAAAGTGGTCTCTTTTGTTCAAAGCTTTCTCTGGTCTTTTTGCCCTGATTTGCGGAAATGGTTATATAGTTGGCATCAATCAAATCTATGACATTAGCATTGACAAGTATGATGCAGAAATATAAACAACTGTCTTCCACTTGTTCTTTTTCTATATGTCCTACCCATAGCACATTTCTTACAAAGTCTCAATATTTTGTTCTGGAACATGTTTAACTGCATGGGAATTTCATCTTTTGATTTTTCTGCTCAGGTTCTGATTTTCCAGTTGTATTTAAATGTCTACTAAATAAATCCTGGTAGTAATGTTAGTCTAAGTTGGTTTTATTTTCTTTTTCAGGATAAATAAACCTTATTTACCTATAGCTGCTGGAGATCTTTCTGTCCAATCTGCATGGTTCTTGGTTATATTTTTTGCAGTAGCTGGCCTGTTGATTGTGGGGTTCAACTTTGGGCCCTTCATTTTATCTCTTTACACCCTTGGCCTTTTCTTGGGTACCATCTATTCCGTTCCTCCATTTAGAATGAAACGCTTTCCTGTTGCAGCATTTCTTATAATTGCTACGGTATGATATATCCTCTCATGTCCCAAACTTTTCATCAGTACTATCAGCAATTTGTCAATTTGTTTGTTTTTTGTTTTGGGATAAATTCAGATGGCAATTGAATTTTAAGTATTTGTGGATATATTTGAACAAGATTGACAGAAGAGTCTTATGCAGGTACGGGGGTTTCTCCTTAACTTTGGTGTCTACTATGCCACTAGAGCTGCCCTTGGACTTGCATTTGAATGGAGGTAGGTGGGTTACGGCTTATCATTTGTTTCATCATATCTGTAATTGGTAACGTTGGGCAACTCAATTCATGGTTTCTGATGTTTATTTAAATAGAGGATCACTGAAGAGTATACTATTATGAATTTTTTATGTTTCAACCAAGAAAATAATTGAATCAAAAGAATAGAATATCTAAGGTAGTGTTGCTATTTTGAGGGCACCTCTGACTTTATAACAGTCAAAATGTTAGAACGATAAACACACCTTCCATATAAATTGTGCTTCGCTAACATCAATGAATGAAGCTTGTAATGGTGTTAGTTTTTCATCAAATATTATTTTAAGTGTCCCGCTTATATTTTGTGAGCTTATTATATATTTGTTCTTGTATCTCTGCCTGCAGCTCTCCTGTGGTTTTCATCACAACCTTTGTAACATTTTTTGCATTGGTAATTGCTATAACAAAAGATCTTCCCGATGTTGAAGGAGATCGCAAGTAAGTTTTGATAACCAGTTGCATGCATATTTGAGGTCATTGATCTTATTTACTCAAGCAGTTAATTTTGCTGTTCAATTCTCTTTCAATAAATATGTATTTTTTAATGTATGTGTGTGTGTATGCATATGCTCTGTGTGTAAAGCATAATCTGCTTCCACACTTTAATTTGGTGCTGTATCTAACATGAATTTTCTTGTCATAACTAACTTCAGGTTTCAAATATCAACCTTGGCTACAAAATTAGGTGTTCGGAACATTGCTTTCCTTGGTACTGGAATTTTGCTGATGAACTATATTGTTTCAGTATTGGCAGCAATTTATATGCCTCAGGTGTCAACTTGCATCATGTGCCTACCATGAAATTCTTTATTTATACATGAAAACAAACCTCATGCACTTTCTGCAACTGTTGACAGGATTTCAGGCGATGGTTACTCATACCAGCTCATATGACTTTTGCAATAAGCTTGATTTACCAGGTTTGTTAATTGGATTAATAACTGTTACTAAGGTTATCATTCTAGTTTAGTGGATTTTCATAATTTTGTGTAATCCCATTACTCTGAATAATATTTTGTTAATTATTTTTGTTATATTTGTTTAGAGAAATGGGGCAGCTATCAAGTACTGCTCTCTGGAATTACTTATGCGTTTAACTTGGATATAATGTGTTCCTGAACAATATGAAATGTAGTATGATATCAGTCCTCCATTAGCAGACACTTTTTCTGTGAATATCAGATTTTTTTTCTTGGACAGTGTGGGTGAAGTGAAATTTGGGGGAATAAACGAATAGTTTTATTAAGAAATTTGCAGAAAACAGAAGAGAGTCACCAGAACAAAGTGGAAGAAACATCAGCTCAATTAAAATCTCTATTAAATCAAAACTCATCAGCTGAAACGAGTACATGGCTAAGAAAACAAGCCTCTCCCTAAGAGAGTGTGTAGATAATAGAGATTTTCACTAGATATTCTAGCCAAATGCATCATAATCCAACATTAAAGAACCCATTTGCACAAGGCTTTTAAACTTGTTGAAAAAGGAACAGAACAAGAGCCGTGTAAAAGAATCTATGTGTGAAACTACTCAGCAACCCCTAACTGTTACCCTACTTACATTAGCTTATTTTATCTCATAATATTTCCTGATTGCAATATTTCCCTATTTACATAACCTCTAAAAACACACAATTCTACTTCCAAAACCAATGAACTAAACATAGTAGAGTTCCGTCAAGTCTTCATTTAATTGTCACAAGGTTGTTGAATCATTCAGTGTTAACTTTACCGAAGTTTTCTGCCTTTCCTCTAAAAGTTGGTGCTTGTATGTGGTCTGTGATATTAGTGAACTGCCCAGTGCCTATTTTCTAATTTTAAGTCCAAAAAAGAGATTGTTCACACGCAAGGAAGCCAAAATAGTCCCCATAACTCTTCCCCCTCTCACATAGCAGAATAGTTTTACCTGTTTTCAATTTTGTAATATTAGATGGCATAAGATATAACTTATTGTGACGAAGACTGCAAGTGCTTTAAGATATCTATGGCACCATAAACTGTAGTATTTCCTTGTATATAGCATTCTTAAGATTGTGAAGGCATGTTATGTTGACTAGAGTGTATTGGCAATATAAGCAAAGCATTTCCCCCCTTTAGTTTTGTTGAGATTTTGTCTATCTGATGCACTATATGCTTATTGGGACCTAAGAGCTACGCATGAGAGACTTGTCTGGTGCCTTTCTCATTTTTTTAGTTTCCTTCTTTTTTCCTAAATACACATAAGTGGTTGTGAAATTGTAAAGTAGCCATGACTTGTTTTGTTATATTTCAGGCGCGAATATTAGAACAAGCAAATTATACCAAGGTAACATCATTTCTTCTTTAAGAAAATGATTGTAGCAACTTATTAACTGCTTTCAATGCTCAGATATTGGGCCTCAACTTTTGTCTCTTGTAACATAGCGACTTCAGATGACATGAATCACTTCAACTACTTATCAATACCATGAACCTCCTTATGGCACATCAATTAATATAACAACTTATTTGTTGGTTAAATACTCGTACTATGGCACTAAATAATAGGTTGATTAATACAATTTTCGTGATTTAGTTTTACTAGATCAAGATAACATAACCATATCAATTGGAAGAACTTGCTTTGCTTGATCTGGCAGTTCCACTTTGTCCTTATGGGGTCTATATAGGGACAAAGATTTTTTTTATCAATGCAATCAATATGAATAGTTCAATACTTGACTACTCTAGGTGGCAATATACATTGACCATTTTTTTTTTCAAAAAAATATCTAGACTCCACATTAATGATTTTATAATAGGACTAAAATCAAAACATTCTTAGAATGTTTTTTGTGTATAGCTTTCTGTACACCATCTCTACTGGTCTAAAGTGGTGCACTTTTCATTCCTTATCTTTATATTTCACTACTGTTTAAGCTACTTTTAAAATGTCTGCCTGTATGCCGCAGGATGCAATATCAGGATTCTATCGATTCATATGGAATCTGTTCTATGCTGAGTATGCAATATTTCCTTTCATATAGCAAACATCACTATGTTTTTCTTGGATAAAGGTGCGCACACCTACATAGTTGGAGAGATCTTCTTTGTTGCATCAAGTATCAATTAATAAACTAGCAATATCTTGAGTATTTTTATAAATAAATGTTTGATAGTATTTGCTGTTAGTTTGATGTAATGCCATTACTATATTTCATAATGTTTTACACTGACAATATTTTGTACTGTTTTTATACCTCTGCTATTCTTTGTCGATCATTTTTAGCTGAAATATCTATTTTTAAGTTGTCTGTTCTGTTTAGTAAAACATATAGATGTAAAATGTAAAAACAAAATGTGTGCAAGTGGCATTACTCAATTTTTGGATTTCCCTTTTGGACATTGGCCTGATGTCCAGGGTGGATAATTTCAGGGCTTTTCTTCCTACACCCCATAAAAATATACCTCCACTCCTTTTCATTAACATCTCAAGCATGATAATGAACTTGATAATGAAGGACACAATAATTCCATAAACAAATTTTTATAGACTTTAATACTAATTTAGGAGAAACTACACTTACACCAAACTTTTTAAAAATCATACACAAATCTCCCCTTTGTTTTAAAATATTACACTAACATTTCTTTTTACATTACACATACAACCCATAAAGGGTGTCATATTATAAGAATAAAAAGAATGAGGTGTAAGTGTAATTCAAGAAGATGTCATGAGCTATTAATGTAATTTACTCTAAATTTAATATAATCCTACCAAATCAATTTACAAAGTGATCACTATCCCTCTTTTTAAACTATTTTGGTCATATAACTAGTCAACATGTAATCAGTGACAACATGTAATCAGTGACAACATTCACTAACAACAAGAATAGCGAAATATTTTTAAAACCATTTGAGATTGAAACAAGTTAAATAATCATCATAAGGAGCATCAGCACAATAAATCCTTAAGTGCCTGTTTGTTTTAAAGTTAGGTAAAATTAATTTGATAGAATGATTTTAAATTATTGTATATAACTGAGATGCATATTTAAAATTAATTTCAATCACATATTTCACATTCAAATAGGTCAGTGAAAAGAACTGTTTCCAGCTAGAAGTTATTTACCAAATAAGGACTAAACTCTACATTATTTGACTACCCTTTTGAATCTTTCTTCATTTTTTAAAATGTTGACAATAAGGTTAGAACTTGAAACTTGATGCAAACTACCGCATCTCTCATCTCAGCACTAGATTCATCCTAATGGTTATTTATTATATTTCACTGTTTGAATAAATATTGTTCTCATGCTTTTCAATATGAACTATAGAATATTTCAAGTACAATTTTTGAAATTTAACTACAATAAAATCACAAATAAAGATGAAATATGCTTAAAATTAAAGAAAGTAAATATATAATTAAATTAAAAGAAAGTTTTGTACCAAAACAGTTGAGAAATTCTCATACCAAAATTGAATGACATTTAAATTCAGTAAAAAGATTAAAAGTGCAATAGAATACATAGGGAGTACTTACAGTCTTTGGTTGTTGATAAACTCTCCTTTTTGCTCCTTTGTCAAAAGAGGTAACATTACAATCCTCAACGAAGAGTTTTAAAAGTAGGCTTTAGAAAAAAAAAACTTATTTACAATTTACAATACCTTCGATGCTATTTTATTCTCTAACTTTAATTGCAGAAAAGTTAAAACAACCCCTTTGGATACTTATATAATAACAGATAGTGCCTCTCATACAGAGAAACAATAATCATGGAGTTACATAACACATTTTAAGTACAAAAGATCAAACTCATATAATGTATATTTTATATGGATGTTTGAGTTCATGGAAGAGATATGAAGAAGGACCAAGAGGAGGTTTGGAACTGTTGTTTATAAAAGCAGCCATCATATGGTGACAAAAAGTGCAGATGTGATTGTAAGGTGGTGGTCTATGTAGGGGGTCAAATAAAATATATTATTAATAAATAATAAATTAATATGAAAAAGTGAAAGAATATGAAAAGGTGAAAGGGTTAAAGGTATTTAATGATCATTCTGCTGAGGTTAGGGGTTTCTATTTCCTATAGTTGGGGTCAATGTTCCTATCAGAATAGGTGAAGGGAGAAAGGTTTCTCTTTACATATTAAATTGTACATGTCTCAACCTAATCAGTGTGTTCTTTATAGATATTATTATATTAAGAGCATTTGAACCATTGGATAACAATGTTGGTGTTGGTAATAATTAATATATTCTGACTACCTTTGTCATCTTGTCTATTCCCTCTCATGTTATCATATATAAGATAAATAGAGTGCCTACTTTGAAGGATAGCACAAAGGCGGTGTGATCAGCAATCCCCAGAGAAATTTCCTGCATCACTATACATGTTATTAATAATTAGCAAGTTGCTATTATCTCAATCTAGATTGGATGAAAGAAGCCAATCAGATTTTCTCCTCATTTGGAACCAGAACAGACAAAATTCTTTTGTTCTTTATCCATCACATTACCTACAAAAACTATGTGGCTTTGAAGAATTGCATCAAAAGCATTGCAAAAAGAACTCCTATGTCATTTTCTTAGTGGAAGTGGCACCGCTTAATTGCCACTTCATCCTATGTATTGTCAGCTTATACACTAGCTGCTTAAGGCACTTGGAACATCAGCCAAAGGAGGTGGAAAAGCAACATGAGGGCTGAAGCGAGACAACAGTGGGAGTCGAGGAGATGGAGCCATTATTATTGTCCTTGGAGACAAATTTTGCTGCTCCAGAATCCAATTCTGAAGCTCAAGAGGGTAGTCTCTCATGCAACCAATTCGAGGGCCTGCACCTGTTGTCCATTTGGTAGACAAGTGATTGGCCAATTGATATGATTTCCTTCCTTTGTGTGAATCTATCCTCTTCAAGATTTTCTCCTTTGGAATAGTATTCTTGTCTTCTTCGTCTTGATTTTCAAGAAACATGTTTGATTTGGAAACCATGAATTCCTCCTCGTTTATAAATGATTCTTCTGCTGTCTCATAACCACAGTTCGATGCTGCAGTTGGAGAATAGTACTGGGTACAGGGACCGTTTTCTGTCTCTTCAAAAATTTCGGGGACTATGACTCTTTTTGGTATCTGAATTCTTGCTATCTTCGATCCTAGTCTTACAGACAATCTTGCCAAGGGTGGTTGAGAGGTTGAATCAGCATTAGAATCCTCATTTCTCAAGTCAGGAAACTCTTCAGCTAATGTGTTGGGACTTTCAGTTTCAATGTTTGGAGATTTCATGGTCTCTTCTAAAGGATTGTGTTGGAAGATATCTTGGTTAATTTCATCTCTGTCTTCTTCATCTGGATTTTTCTGGATATTAGAAAAAGGAAATCAGCATTCGACTAGAATTTTCATTTGTGTGATGCAATGAAAATGGCAATTAGCTAATTTTCTATGCATGATGTCATGGCTAAAGTTAACCGTTATATCTATAATTCTATCCCAAGTAAACTACTATGGGATAACAGTGAATATGTAGTTAGTTACGATAATCTAGGAGTTTAATTTTCTTCAGTCATGCAAATGCTGAATGGAAATTCGCATTAGATTGACAGATGCTATATCTTACACTGAAGCAAAATTTTACCTTTACATCTGTAAGATCTACATTATTATCTCTAAGGAATAACATGAGCTCCTCAAAATTTTCTTCTGTTGGCAGATAATGCCCACTGTGAGGCCAAACTGCCTTTGGAGTTGAAAAAGTCTACTGTCAGTATGCAATACAATGACATGTAGAAAGAAAAGGAATACAATATACTATATCTGTTATGAAAATATGGGGTTTGTGTCTTTTTTCATACCTTAAGAACACCACCCTCTGCCACTAATCTACCAGCAGACAATGTGGCTCCCCCTGCTAGGAAACTTGAATGTTGAAATGTGCCCTTGTTCTTCTGCCCTACGTAAAGATTTTTGGATGTACTAAGAACAAAAATCCACTTTGCATTTCCTGTTGTGTCAACAGGTTTTCCATTTTTCTTGTACAAGAGTCTTCCATTCTCAATAACTACTTCATAATCCATTCTTTCCACCTACAAAAGAAACAACTTTTAAAATTACTTTTACATGTAGCTTGACAGTTTAGCTATGTAAATAGCTTTGAATTTTTTTTTTTTATCTAAAATAAAGATCACGGCCTGTTCATAGCATATTTTAACATGAGATTGATCCATCTGGTTGGACAAGAGGAAAAAAGGGGAAATCAAACGGAACAATAAACTCACTGGACCCAGATATTTGATGCACTGTTGCTGAAGTTTTAACCTGGGACATCTCTCAGAAAGTTCTTCCTTGCCTTCCCCAACATCAAGCCTACACTTATAGGTTGATTTATCCATCAGTTTGATTGAAAGTTACTTGTTAAACAGAAATTGAATTTTCATTCTCATTTCAATCTTACCAATAGAAGAAAGGTTGACAGCTATCACAGCGAAGCCATTTGACATAATAAAATTGAAGATTGTGACCATAGCGATGTCGAGGATCAATCTGTCCAAGTTGATAACCAGTTAGAGAATTTAGCAGTTTAATTTGAACAATATACTTTAGCTACGAGACTTACTGCCTCTAGCCAATGCTGCAAAGCAAGTTTGCGAGCCTTCACATCCTTAGATAGACCCTTTCCAACCTATTAAAAACAAAGTAAAAACAACTTACTAGTCTTTCAACCTACAATATCAACAACTCAATATATTATGATACAAATCATGTGAGAACCTACCTTGGCAGCTCTCTTTCTAGCCCTTGACCAACGTGAAACAGCCGTCTCTGGTTTCTCAATGTCAAAAAATGATATTGAACTGCGCTTCAGTTCAGCAAAGTCCAAAGCCCTCCACCTATACATACGAGCTTAATTCAGTAACAAACAATACTATGGACACTTTTGTCTTTGATAGAGACCCCAGACACATGGGTTATGAATGCCTTTTCTATTCTCTTGTCTTTCAACTTAATTTGACAATACTCCATGAGATTGTTTCTAAAAGTGTACACTCAAACAAAATATGAGTGAATACTATATGCATTGACAATGTAAATTTTTTTTATTCTGTCATCCAATCAAAAATTGTATGATAAGTTTGTTGACATTTATAGTAATTTGTCTTAAAAATTATACCCAACCTGATTTCTGACTGGTTATTAAAAGAATTGACAGAGGATGTAACAAATAAAATGGACAATGTTTCACGTAAATTCCAATTGTGTTTACCCAGGTACATGTGTTGAAACTAACCATCTCTGCTCTGCAAGAACTGCACAATCTGCAAGTTTCCTTCTTGTCCTAAAACTTTTGTAAACTTTCTGCAACCTCAGTGCAGCTTGGTCCCAATGACTCTGTGAACCCTGCGTTGGCGAGTACAAGTTCTTCTCCAGCCAGTTACCACAACTGTCTCTACTCTTTATGCTTGCTGGTTGACCATACAAGTCATTTTCCATATCTGCTTTAGGAGATCTTAAAGAAAACATGGTCTCCAACTCAACCGAACCTCCGACCATCTTCTTTTCCCTGCACAATTGGATTTCTTTAAGTCAATTTTTTTCCCTGCACAATTGGATTTCTTTAAGTCAATTTTTAAATCTCAACCTCTGGAACTAGGGATGGCAAAACGGGTCAGCCCGCCCCGCCTTTGGCCCGTCAAAAGCGGGGCGGGACGGGCTGCCCGATATAGTCATGACGGGCTGTAGACCTTGGCCCAGGTTGGCGGGCTGGCGGTTGGCCCGCCATAATTTAAAAAAATATTTTTTTAAATAAATTTAATAATAAAATTATTATTTGTTTGTCAATAATTCAATATATATATATATATATATTATTTCAATTTAATAATATAAATCAATACATTATTTTAAGAAATTATAATTTAGAACAATAATAAAATTTACATAATAATAAATAATAACAAATATATATATATATATATATATATATATATAACGTTAAACTTATAAAATTTATATTTTTTATATTGAAAAATTCAAATACCTATATCTTTTTTATTTGATAAAATTTCATATTATTCTTGGTTGAGTAATTCTTACACCATTAATTCAAGTAATAAGGATAAAAATAATCAGTGCGGGATAAACAAGGAGAACAGGAGAGAAAGTTACGTTTCAAGAAGGAGAATATTTTCCGTGAAAATAAAACTTTTTTAATTCTCTTTTTAAAATTTTTAACTTTATATATTATCTTTATAATTAATTTTATTACAATAAAAAATTATTTTTTTATTAATTAGGCGGGCCACGGGCTGGCCCGTCCCGTCTGCGGGTTGGCCCGACGGGTTGGCGGGGTGGGCCAAAGCGGGCTGGTGGGCTGAAAACATCAACCCGCCCCGCCATATTATGGCGGACTGGCGAGCCGGTCCGCCGGGCCTAGCCCGTTTTGCCATCCCTATCTGGAACAAGCTAATCAGAAAACATGCTCTATCTTCACGTCTGAAGTCAAAATTATCAAAGTCTGAAGTCAAAATTATCAAAGTTTAAGGAGTTCAACCAAGTTAAAAAGTAAAGAGAAAAAGTAGGAGAAAGGCACAAAGCTTGGAGCTATGCTTAGCATTTTATTACATGTTGCAGACATGAAGATCTTGAAATCTTCGCCTACAAAGGTTTATGAACAGCTTCATGGACTCTTAGCATTCATGATCCTTTATAAAAAGACGAAAGAAAACCAATGCAAAATGGGAATAAATTCCAATATTTTTTATTTGGATTTAAAAATCTTCAGAGCACAAAGAGCAGGGAATAAATTCCAATAGTTACCGGATAAAATTACTGGCCTCTAAGCATTAATTTACGTTTTCTGTCTCAATGTCTTATCCGGCAAAAACCAAACCATTCCAACCTAACAGTTCTAATAATTACGAAAGTTTTAAAACTTGATACGCAGAAGACTTATCAGTTGCTTCACCAGAAAGGTTTCTACACAATTCAAAAAAATGACAGAGATAATAAATAAACAGTCAAATCTACAAATATCAATGTCAGTGAATTTTACAAAAAAAATAAATAAAAAAGTAAAACATTTTCTTGTGTAACATTTCAGAAAAGGAGTCCAGGGACATTGTAATTGCTGGTATCAAGTTATAATGAACCAACAAAAAATGATCAAATAGTCCCTTAATCCTCATTCCCTTAACGAGCTTGTTGCTCAATTGATCATGCTTTTAGGCCATATTTCACCCCCTTTACCCTCACCCACACCTCCAACGTAGCAAAAAAAAAAAGATAAAAAAGGTCATGGTCGTCATCAACACAGAAAACATGCAACCAACATGGCAAATATTCTATTATAAGAATCATCAAACATTGTCACATCATTATACATGTTCGAATATTGAAAAAGACAATGACAATGTATACGTCCTAGGCCAACACCACATACTAACAACATCAATGAAGGAGCATTAACATACCTGAATATGTGACAGTGGGACCAAGGGAGAAGAAAGGCCGATGGAGGTGTTCGGCAGAGAAAGAGAGAGAGATAGAGAGAGAGGGGGGAAGAGAGATTGAACAACAACAAACAAAAGGGTGGAAAAAGAAAATGAATGGGGAGAGAAAAGAAGGAAGGGATCCCAGAGAGGAGGTGGCAGAAATGGAGGGTGGCAATGTAAGAGAGAGCGAAGAATGTGGGAAGAGAGTGTGAGGAGAAAGAGGATGACTTCTTTTTTCGGAGTTACAGGTGGCTATGTGTATTGCTATGCTGTGCTCTCTCTCTTCCTTCCAATGCTCAATGTAAACAAACACGTTATGCCATGTTATGCTATTCTTGCACCACCCTTATATAGAGAAAATCACATTGGAAAATAAATAATAAAAAAACACAAAGATTTGAGAAGAATGATGGTAATGGAAACACTAAATTGAAAAGGTTGGTTTGTTTGTTCTTTGGAGTGAATGTGAAGTGAGACATGCAAGCTGTTCTCCAACTCTGACTAACACACATCACATTGGATTTTTCCTTTTGCATTTTCCACAGGGACTTGCAGGGTTCAGTTCAATCACTTCATTCATTCATTTCCTTATTATAATCAATATTCATCTTTCTTTGTTAATAAAGTTTACTTCTTGATGAAAAAAATGGTGAGTGGGAGGAAAATTTTCGCTGGGACGAGTTAGTGTTTAGACAAAGAATAATTATAGAAACAAATTTGTGATCCTTCTTATCAATAAAAGGTTAATTTTTTTTAATATTAATTAACGAGTTGTTTGTTTAAGTAGTATTAGATTTAATCTCTTTAAGGTTTTCAGTTTAAACCTTGCGGATAAAGAAAATGTTACCAATTAACATGTTGCCTTAAACAAGTTATTTAGTTTTTTCAAATTTGGTAAAGTTGGTTTTGTAAGTTATTACAAATAAGTAACCCCCTTATGTTTTTTTAAGGTGTAAAACATCTTCATTTGAAATGTTACATTAACTGTATACTTGCAAGAATTAACTATACATACAAAAAAAAAACTAAAAATAAATATTATTTTCTTTAAGATTGGAATTTTGGTGTTTTCATTATGTTTTTTAGAGACTACACATAAAAAAAACAATTGTGTTTGAGGTGGATAAAATTGTATGATGATAATAATTAAGACTTAAGTTTAAATTATTTATTAAATCTCCATTATTTAATACGCAAAATTATTAAAATGGTGTAAATCATAGTAATAATCGTTTTCAATAAAATAAAGTAGTGTAACTTGTTCATAATACACATAGCATAAACCTGGTTTATCCACTGTCATCTTTCGTTTTCTTCTAATTTTACGATTTTCATTATTGAATCTGTATTTTGGAACAGAATGTTGAAAATTAATTAAAAATTTCTTTTTCATTTGTTAATAGCCAAAATTATTCAAACGCGTTTTTTCCTTCTACTCTGCCCTCAAATTCTCGCCCCGTACACAGACACCGACACGATTGTCAACAGGTTTTCCCACGTGTGATTAATTTCGGAAAAATATTTTGTTCTTTTAATTATATATCTTATTTTTTTTTTAAGATTTGTATAAACAATAATAAAAATGATTTTCATTTTATATTAAATAAGTATATAATAGTTTAATAGTTAATTAAAATTATCTCTCAATTAAATAGTTTTTTTAATGGTTGAATGTGAAAAATAGTGAATTGAAAATTTTGTCTAGTAATTAAAATATAATAAAATAAAAAATTGTCCTATTTTATCGTAACTAATTAGTTAATATATTAATAATATTTTTATTTTTATATTTATTGTTTATTGTTGTGTTATTGTCTAATAGAACTTATTTTTATATTGATAAATCTTGTTAAAGGGTTTTCTAGAATGATGTTCAATTTATAATAGAATATTAATTTTTGAAATAAATTTTAATTTATTTTAAAATATTTTTTATTATATTTTTTGTTTTGGAGTAAAACGAAATTTAACAAATTGGTTATTTTGTGTCTTTTTTTAGTACAGGGACATGTTTCTGAGGTGTAGGAAGAAAAATGTGGGGGTTTAAGACACAAGGCCCAAACTTGGTGTAGCGGGCCGAGCGTCATTCAAGCCCAGGCCCCTCCGACAATTCTCGAATCCCTTCTCTGCTTCATTTTATTTATTTTATTTATTTCTTTATTACTCAACTTTACTCAAAGTACTAACGCAGAGTACTGTACTGTATCGAACGAACCGGAGGTTCTGTTCTGACAACAATTTTCTTCTTCTAATAATAATAATAATAATAATCTCTTCGTTCGCATCTTGCGATTCTAAAGGCTTCTTCGTCTTTCTCTGCTTTGCGTTATTTTTTTTCAGATACGTCGTGTTTGGTTTCATAAGTTTTTCCGTTTCAGCCATGGTGGAGAATAATCTATTCGAGGATATTTTTAGAGTAGAAAAATTAAACCCCGATGACAAAAAATTATTCGAAAGAGGTATTACTATTTGTTATTTCTAACTGTTTTCCTTCTTCAATATTTTTTTCCCCATATATTTTTTGTTTAGTTTAACTTGCCGTGCTTTATTGTTTTCTACATGTCTAGGGTTTTTCCCTTTGTGCTCTCATTTCCTCAGGTAGTTTTTGTTAAATGAATTTCAAAATTTCGTGTAATTTAAGATGCATTCTATCAGGAACGAGGATGACAGAGGAAAAACTCTCGGTGCATATATGCATAGAGTATTTTGTCTTTAGTTGTTTCAATTAGAGTCTTTTGATTTTTTAAAATATTTAGTTTGGATAAAGCGAGTTCAGTTTAGTGTGTTCAAAGTTGTAAGTTTGGTACTTGATGTTTTGATTTCATCGTAATTTATATCTACAAAAATGTTTTGAAATAAAAAAGGAAGAAACGAATTTTGATAGCTTGTATGATTCATAGAAACGAATTTTGATAGCTTCTATGGTATTTTAAATTCACTTAAAAATTGAGTTTCCTTTCTTAAAATTCCCCATAAAAACTCATCATTAAAGTTTGTCTGTTATTCAATTCCATTTGTAGCGTGGCATAGTTATTTGGTCTTACTGGAGATGTTTTTGACCGTATTCTGTGTATTTCATTCTAATTGTTCGGTGTTGTGCATCTCAAGTTACTCGCATTGAAGCAAGAAGTGAAAAGTTTGACATGTTTATGCACCTTGATATCAATTCTGAGATATACCCACTAAAGGTCGGTCAGAAGTTCACCCTTGTACTTGTTTCATCACTTAATCCTGATGGAACACCAGACACTGGCTATTATACTCAAGTAAGAAATTTATTATCTTGTACAATGAATCTTTCTTTCCCTGTGAAGGATTGTTATTATGATTGTCAAGTGAACCATGGTACAAAACTTTAGTTACTGTTATATAATGTAGATTTAATGGTGTGTGGCTATGCTTATTCACTTCAAAGCCATTTACTATCGTTATTAAGTTTTCTGTGATTGGGAGCTTCTGTCCTTCATCATGAACTTGAAATTCAAATCATAAAGCAGGATTGGTTTGTACCTGTATGTGATAATGGTATTTGGGTGATACACCTGTAATTCATATAATTTAAATAGGACTAGAACTACACACGATACAGTTTTATAGCTCGAGAATGAGGTTCAAGAGTAAGTGACGGGTTAAAGAGATGTGAACCCAGCCCAAAGAGGGCCATTCGTCTGGTTAATCAAGCCTTCTGAGTACCCTCAAAGGCTCAAATTCCTGATCTTTATCCTAATTAAAGATATTTCTTAGTCCTGGTAAATCATGATAACTGAGGCACTAACACACAAAATAACATTGCTATAGAGCATATGCAATCAAGCGTGTCAAATCCAAGAGTCGACACAAACTCATGGAGCTTCTTTGATCAGAGTATTCCTAATATAAAAGTATTTAAATAGTATGATGTTCACACTATTACAAACTACATTTATATTCAGTGCTCCAACATGTGATGTTTCCTAATGTTTATCCTTCAGTAACTTTGTGTAGACATTTTAAAATGTTAACTGCATTCCTCGCACTCAACAATAAATTAAAGATCACCAACTCCAAAATTGAAAGAAAAGAACTTAAGTTTGGAATAGAAAACTCAACTCTTTCCTTCATGTTTAAGCACTCTATTTTCTAGACATCTTTATTCTTTCATGGTGAGTTGGTAATAATGCTTATTATTGTGGTTTTGGGTTTTTCATGGACACTGGGTTCGCAGTTATTGTAGGGTTTGATACAGTGACCAAAGACACTAATACATTGTATTTATAGAAAGAGATACAATAGAGAGGATATGAGTCTCAGCCCAAACCCTTAACCGTAGTTTAAGGAACATACAAAAAGAATACAAAAAGATACATGAACAGATCTCAACAGTGACAGAAGAGGGATGATAGGTTATGGCCAAGTGTAGATTGATTCACAGAAAACAAACAGCCTATTTGAGAAGAAGGCTAACAACAATGATGGATTTTTTTCTGCCTAGAATCAGAAGCTCACTACTAGTCTAAGTTGAATCATGAGCTTGATGACAATATGCCATATTGCTTTGCAAACTTTGTGCATGGGTGGTGTGATCTATACATAACCCAATTTATAACTAATAGTTCCCTTTGTCTTTTATAATTTTCTATTTTTTACTTTTTTTTTTCTCTTTAATATTTTCCCTATTGGTTGTCAGCACAGTGAATGAATTAATTTGGCTTACAAAATTCTGTTGGATATCTCTTTTTCCCAGATCAATCGACAATCGCTGGCCAATAATTTTGAATATGTCATGTATGGGAAGCTTTACAGGATAACAGAAGGTTCTGGGCGTGAAAAGGCGTATGTCTATTTCCAGTTTTGAAGTTTCATATGCATATTTAATAATTTACTAAGTAACTAAATTATTTTTAATAACTTAATTTTGAATGGCCTGCATGTGTTCCCAAAATTGCCATTTAGATGCTAGTTACTGGGAACAATGGATTCTTCCTTTGGATTTTAATTGTTTTCAATTTATTGCGAGCATGAACTAAGTGAATCACGTGTAGTCTGAATAGTGCCTATTGACTAATTTTGTTTATATTTACACTGCTCGCTAAATTGACAGTTAACTATACATTGTGTAGCTCTGTTGTGCTAAACAGTAAAGAATTATCTTGAGATAATGAGTTATCTGAAGTTATGAGATTGTATAGGGCGTTTTATTCCTAGTTGCAGCTCCCCTAGTCAGATGATTAATGTTGCAGTGAATCTTATATTTGTTATATTCTTTTAGATAATCATAATTTTTCTGGGCTTTGAATTGTAGGGAGCTGAATATTTCATTTGGTGGGCTTCTGATGCTGCTGAAGGGAGATACCTCTCATTGCAACAAGTTTGAGCTTGATCAGAGGTTGTATCTTCTGATAAGGAAAGTCTAAAATTATATTTAAAAAAGAAATGAGGATGTGAAGCCTTGTTGTAGCAAAAACACAGCAGCTACTTCCAACTTCATGTTTGAGTACTTTAACGGTCGATTATGTACTCCTTAGTTGGACCAGAAGTTTAAAAACCAAATATTTGGTGATTTGGTCGCCAACTCTGATTTTCTCACACCCCCTTTGTTTTTTGCTTCTGTTTATTTTACACCCTCTCACCGTATCTTCTCCTTTTATATTTGCTCGTATTTCTTTCTACCTCTCTCTCTGTACGTATTTCACATCCCTCCTTGGGGTGTATTTACATCTTTAAACTAACTACTGTTTGGATACAAGCATTTTATTTCAGCTTATTTAAGCATTTTGAGGATTTTATGTCGAGGCATTTTAATTTGTTTTTGTCGTTCTATGAAGGCTCATGTTTGTTTATCAAGGCTATAAAGACATTTGTTTGTCTATCAAAGTGTTTTACTTTTCATATGAGCTTATGAAGGCTCTTGTTTTGCTCATTGAGTTGCTCTACTTTTCGTCATAGCCTATTTATTAAGCCTCTTATCGACTTATCATTATACTAGTCTATCGAAGCTTGTATTACCATATCAAGGTCATCTTTTTCGTGTTTTCCTGTCACTATTCTTGTTAGATCATTTTCAATGCAGGTGTTTTATCAAGGATTTTAAATTTAGATTTCATAAGAAACTTGCCTTAGAGCTTGTTGTTGTGACAATTTGAGGATCTAGAAGTTACGATCTAAGTTTTGTTCTTGTTGCCTTAGCATATGTTAAGATTGTGACGATAAAATGGATCACTTTATCCAATTTTGGCTTGTTCTCGGTGTGTTTCTCGTTGTCAAAACGAAATGCGATGGGTTGATTTGTTACCGATGTCTATTCTGCCTAAGATTCTTTCTAAAGTTTTTAATATTTTTTTATATGTATTCTTTGAGAAATATATTTTTTATTATATGAATAATTTTAATTTTTTTATTATTTAATTTTATTAAATTAAAAATAATTATATTTATGAATTAAAATAATTAATTATAATTAATAATTTAAATTTAATTGATTAATATTTATAATTTAAAGTATAATATTATAAAATATTTATATATTATTAAAATATAATATAAAAATAATATTTTTAATTATAATTTTTTTTAATATATAAATATTTTTTTTAGTATTGAAGAATTAAAATTATTAACTAATCTCATTACCTTTAAAACTGGGCTATCAAATCTAATTTTCAATTTTTAACATAGATCACTTTCACCGAAAAAACTCGAACAATAAAAAAATCCTGATTAATCAAAAAGATATATTTTTAATCATAAGATTTAATTATAAAATTTAGTAGTAGGACCGTGAGTAAATAAGTGTGAATGATAAATAGATGAAAATATTATAATTTTTTTCAAAGAAATTGTTTAATATATTGGAAAATTTTCAGTGACGCAAAACAAATTTTATGCCGAAGTTTTATGTTTTAAAAAGTGATAACATTTCTAAAATTGCAGAACTAAGTAGAAAACCAATTTCTGTGCAATTTTAAAAATGGGGACATGGTCTATTGCTTGTATACTTTATGATTAAGGTTTTGAATAAGTTTTTCTAGGAACAATTATAAAATAAGAAAAAAAGTTTGATAGTAACCTTAAATTAAATTATATATAAGAGATAATTACAATAATTATATCTTATAATTTCTCTAAATTATTATTATTATAAACTTATATATAAACTAATTTCAACTTATGGAAAAGTTTACTTTATTTTATTCTTTTTTTTTCTCCCTTAAAATATTTACAAATAAATTTTGTCCAAAATCTATCATGATTTCTAAACCCAAGTCTCCTTCAAATTAGAACTTACATGTAACTTTTTCATCAACACTAATGCGAGTCATTTTGATGATTACAACCAATTGCTCTCGCAAGTTTTTAAACAATATTATGTGTCAAAATAATTTTCGTAATATCTAGTATCCAAAATGAAAGTCCCGTTCAGTTAAAATCGGTTCAATAAAATCACCTTGATACAGAATAAACTTAAAAAATGCATAGTGAAGCATATCACAAAAACATCCAGTGGTACACAAGCTCATCTCAATAATCTTATAAAAATTGCATTCGGAAAGGTGGCAGAACCAGAAGTAATGTCAATGAATAGTGCTAAAACTTAACAAATAAGAAAAATCAACATAATGCTACATCTACAAAATGCTCTTAATAATCCTCTTGTTATTGAAAAAAATGATATTGTATGTTAAGACCTTGTTCCTCAGATTATGTTATGCACCACCTTGCTCTCCATTTTCCTTGTGTTCACTGACAGCATTGTCTGCACAAGTCTCATCCACGATGGCACTCACTTCAGCTTTGTCCAAAGAATTCAAAGCTTGTGCGTGCTGTTCCTTGTCCTCTGTTTTGGTCCCATTCTCTTCACCATCTTCATTCTTGACAACTTCCTCTGCATTAGTTTTCTCTTTGACAGTCACTTCCATAGGTCCTAGCTTAACTTCAGCGTTTTTGACAATATTTGTAAAGGATCTCACATCCCGAGCCCCTTCTAATTTGCTTCTTGATGATGTCTATCATATGAAACTAAAATTCTTAATATTGATAAATGGCGACTAGATCAAAGTTTACAAATTCTTACTCCATCAAGACATGGTCTGGCCAAAAAATGCCGATTATTTTTTGGTTAAAAAAAGATTCGTTTCCTCAAAACAGTATTTAAGGGCACTACTTTACTTAAAAAGTATTTTTGACCATAAACCAAAATACAGAACTAACATATTGCCACAGATAACATGTTTAATGTAAGAGTCACATTCATGTTGGAAAACTAACATTGACAAGATTATCATTCCATCTTATTTTTCATAGGGTCTATACTTCAGAATGCATACTACATCCTCATATAAGGCTAGACCTCTTTGAAACTGAAAATAAATACATTGGAAACTCATTTAAAAGTTTAAAATAGAAAGAAAGTTTTGAAAACTGGTTGATGATGTTTCGGACTAATTTAACAAATAGGAATGCAAGTGGGAAAAAGTTTGGTAGCCATACTACAAAACACAACTCAGTTCAATCAACCCCCTATTTACTTATCAGTCCCTCAATATTTATTTTAAGTATTTATAATGTTTCAAACACAAAATTTACTAATTGAAAATGTTTAAATAATAAACTATCAGAATCATAGCCTTTGTGTTGACTAACCTCTACAATTTGCTCCACACGTCTTTGAAGATCTTCATCTGATGCTTCCCGGTGGGTGCCTTTAAGCATTAGCAATAAGTGAGACTCAATATCATCTGACCAATGTTTTCTAATCATACTTTGTGCAATTGTAGATTTACAACCCACTGCATTGAAAGGGCAATTCACAAGCTTCATTGGACAAACAGTTATGCAGTGTCTATCCATATCACGTCTCAAGATGCTATTTGGGCACTTCTGTTCGCATGGAACTATCTTGAAATCACAAGTTGAATCATGCTCTTTCAATTGACCAGCACTGAATCTAACATCGCATCCCTCATTCTCACATATCAAAGGCCTGAAGTTGCAAGTATCAAGATGGCTGGCAAGATCTTCAACAGATTTAAAACTCATGCTGCAATGAAAAGTGTTCTTGAAGTCAACATTTTTTAGCAAATCTTTTGCAAGTGTTTCTCTTCTATCCAGTGGCCAAAAACCATTTATTTCCATCTCCTGAATAAAATCATCTATGTTGTCCTCTCTCTTATCACTCAGCAACCATCCTGAAAACTGACTCAACCAATTCCTCTTGGAATGAACAAACTCGTCAACAAAAAAAGACACGATCTCAAAAGGGTCTTCCAACGCTTCACCATCAGGACCACCCTCAGAGATAACAGACTCAGCAACAAATGATTCACTTCTTTGGGTTACAAATTCTATCAACTCCTTTCTCATATCAACTGCCACAGAACCAGGGGTCTTGAAGGGATATCCTGTTGTGCTATCAACACAGGCAGAGGCTAGTCCTGGCATGAACATTTGAGCCAGCTTGTGAACTACTTCTGTGTCACAAAAATCACAATGGAACAAGGGACCTTCCTCTTTCTCATGTTCAATCTTCTCAGGCCCAAGATCCACATTAGTTTCAGGCAATAAGGGAACTTCCTCATTCTCATGTTCAATCTTCTTAGGTATAAGATCCACATTAGTTTCAGGTAACAAGGGATCTTCCTCTTTCTCATGTTCAATCTTCTTAGGTATAAGATCCACATTAGTTTCAGGTAACAAGGGATCTTCCTCTTTCTCATGTTCAATCTTAGGCCCAAGATTCACGTTAGTTTCAGGCAACAAGGGACCTTCCTCATTTTCATGTTCAATCTTCTTAGGGCCAAGATCCTCATTAGTTTCAGGCAACAAGGGACCTTCCTCTTCTTTCTCATGTTCAATCTTCTTAGGCCCACGATCCACATGAGTTTCAGCCAACTCCATGCTTGATAAAACCTATAAGTAAGTTTCAGAAAGAAAACATCATCATACACTCTTTCATATCATAACCTTTGAAAACCAAAACCAAAAACAAAAACAAAAAACTCTTCCATATTTATAAAATTCTTTGTTTAATTTATACCCCATCACTTAGCTCTCCTATAATATCATAAGAAAAATTTCAGCACTATTGCACAACATTGACTAGCTCTCCCATATGTGCAATTCATGATTCCATACATCATGATGATATTTTATTGCGAACACAAAGCCAGGAGAAAGAGAGAAAAATTTATCAACGGCACCATATTTGAACCTAAAACCATTGATTGTAAATTCCAACAAATCAAATTTTCAAAATCTTCCTTTTCCACCTCTTATGATTAATTTCCAAGAAACCCAACACCTAAATTCCTAAAAGTTCAGCAAACTCCATCCAAATAAGCCGTTCCACTCGAAAAAAAAATACAATGCTCAAAAATTGAAACCTTGTTTTGGCGTATGGAACCGTGTGATTAATGACAAAGATTCAGAGAAAAAGAGAAAAAAAAAATATCATACCAATATATCTTGTGTTAATGAGATCTAAAAGTTCATAGATTCCAACATCAGAGAGTAATTGAAGCACATGATTGATTGAGGTTAATGGCGTAGCTAATTTTAGGGGAAGAATAGAAAGTTGATGCTTCACTATTCTGTTTTGTTTTATACCCAAACTGTTCTGGCCCTTCAATCTTAATATTAGGAACAACCAATACAAACTATACTTTTTCTATTTGATCTCTCTAACGCTACTTTTTTTTTACAAAAAATTAATTTAAAATTTAAAATATGTTTTTGACAATTTTCATTTCTTTCTTTTAAAAGGGATTCAATAGAGAAGAGAAACCATCTTTTATCCAAAAATATATTTCACTTAATATTTTTTGAAAATGTGATTGGAAGGTTTGCAGTATCAAGAGTTTAGGTGTCGTGGGTTTTGTGAAGGTTGGTTATTGAGGAGTTGCAGTTCTAGGTTCACGTTAAATTAAAAATCAAATACTATAACATATACCAGGAAAAAGATTAGACTCTATCAAAATATTTAGGTACATGATATAAATACTAGTAGTTTAGGAGAGGTTAAAACTGGTGAGTTATATTGACCATTATTCTCTTGCTATCAATTAATAGAATAATAGATTTTAAGTTCAGAATTTTTAATTATAATCAATAAAATAATGATCATAAAAGCTAAAATTAGAGATTCAAATAAAAAGATAAGAAAATTTCACAGACGGAACCGATAATAAACACTAACTAATTGAATATAACTAATAATAATAATAATAATAATAATAATAATAATACTAACAACAAATATTTATTTACATTAGCTGTTTTGTTAAATTTAAAAAGATTTTTTGAATGAACAAAAATCTGACTTGGAGTAATTTATTTTTTTATATGTAGCTTCTTAAGTGAAACATTGGACATTTTACACCAAGTGACATTTTTCACTAAGTTCACAGCTGTCTATATTGGATCATAAGCATTAAGTTTAATGGTTATATTAGCAAAATTTGTTACAGCAAAGCATTATCAAAATTTGATACAATAAAGCACTATCCCAACATCTGCGCAAAACCAAAAAATTACAGCCCAATGGAATAAATAGGGCAGGGAGAGAAGAAAGAGACAAGAGGGACCTATATTTCCTCTTAAAAGCTGTCTTTCTCTGGGCCTCATTTGTTGCATCCACAACTCACCTTGAAATCTCTCATCCAAGGTTCAATGTATGCTGCAGAAAGCCCATCAGCATTATCAGGTAGTGTTACAACCACTCCATTTACAGAGGCAACAAAGATCAAATCCTGTTTCCTGGTGATTTAGGAAAACTTGTACTGTTTAGTATCATGCCTTATCAACGGAAACTCTTTGTCATCCAGATTGGCTGCAAGTTTCAAAATTCAAAACTATGGCAATGGTGACTTTATATCAAGCCATAGTACTCTCAACATATTCCATTGCTTTCCTCTTCACAGATTCAATACGCTCTTCATCACCTTGGGATTTCTCATAATCAAGATACTTTTTGAACAAGAACTGTCAATCAAGACAACAATATCCCACGTGAGCCTGACAGTAACAATTGGAAACAGAAAATTTGGTAATATATAAATATGTGCACACACCTTCATCTTTTTAGGTGGGAGACTCAGACTAACAGCTCTTTCAAACAGCGCACGAATTATATCTTCGTCTTTAAGTTGAATTTCCTATCAAAATAATATACACAGGGATATCAAGATCAAAATAGTATACAAATGCAAAAAGAAAATGAGGTAGAGAATAATATACTTGATCAAGATAAACACTCCATAAGTCTGTTCTCTTTGGGTATTCCCGTAGAATTTTTTCAAACAAGGATCGCCCTCGATCTGGAACACCAACTTTGAATTCAAGAATAGCTGTCTGAGAGAAAAATTTAATATGCTTATGTTTAGGAAGGCTCAACGAAGCTCGATCGATAAGAGGTTGGATTCCATCTTGATTTTGCTTCAAAAGACTTTGTATACGCCTCAACCAAACCTAAAATCCAGTGCAGAATAAGTTCCATATATATTTTTTATCAAAATCAAAAGCGTAGAATTCATATGTAAAAGATACAATACTTTGCATGAATGCTTGAACTTCTTTGTCATTTTAATTAGAAGTTCATCGGCTAGATTATGCTGTTCAGTCCTCTCATACATTCCCAAGAGTGCTAGATAGACTTTTTTGGGATCATTGTATTGTAGAGCTCTTTGGAATACTTTCATAACGGCCTCCTACACAAAAAAAAAAAAACTAATTAAGGATTCCACATAACAATATTAGTGAACAAGCAAAAACTGAAATTGCCCGTTTTCTCCTTCAAAACTCTTACCTCTCTAGGGTTGCCGTACTTATTTTCCAAATTAAAGTAAGCCTTCCAGATGTTAAGCTTCTCGCTCTCTTCTCGGATATTTATGGTCATCAAAGCTCTTCAAAATCATGGATTCATGTGAGTAAAAATGACTATGGTAATATGATATTCACATGCATGTATTGTGCGAGATTGAATGGGGGAAATACACTACTTGTTGCAAACAAAAGCTTTAAAGAATCCAAACAAACAAACAAGGGACACAACAAACTACATGAATCATGATTTTTCTCCACTTTCGTTATGATAAAAATACTAGTAAGCAATTGAATTATCTAGTCTCAAATCGGTCCACAATATTTTATCAACAACACATGTAAGTAAATAACATGATTTACATGTTACTCTTCTTTTCAGTAACCAATACATAGCTGCTTAAGTAACTGTTGGAGCAATGTAACTTTTAGGATGTACCATCTTGTTTACATAGCTGCTTTGGCTAAAATCATAAGTTGCACAAAAAATAAGGCCTGTTTGGTATGAAAAATTGTCTCCAGTTTTCATATCTTATTAACAAAATAATTTCAAAAACATCTTTTTTTTACTTGCTTACTACTTTCAAAGTTTTGCATAGGAAATATTAAACAAAAATCACCAATTCCATATAAATATTAAAGCATAACACAGTGAAAACAATGTGGTACTTTAGTAATTATATGTGAAAATAGGTTGGCATATAAGATTATTTGTTCATATGAAAGCAATGTGGTACTTGTAATTATTTGTGAATTGGTTAGCATGTAAGATTACTTGCTTATATAAAAACACGATAGAAAAGGTTCGATGTCTAATAGCCCAATAGTTGACCTAAAAATAGGCTAAAATAAACAAAAAAGATAACTGTTAGAAACCCTTCTTTGCCATAAATTTGCATTAGCATAGGATTAGGTTTATGATTCCTGAAATAAAAGCTTAGGATTGGACAAATTTAAATAAACTTCAATGGTGTTAGTTTGAATTTCATAATCATTTAAAAATCTAAACAAAAGATCATAGTTCTTCAGACATACCTTTCGGCAATTGAGCGGGCTTTCTCAATATCAGCCATAGAAATCATGAAATCCATGTAATTTATCCAAATAAAACTGCTATTGGGAGAGCTTCTAATCAGCTTTTCAAATTCATCGGCAGTTCTAGGTACATCCTCCTCCAGTAATCTTTCCTCAGCCGCCCTAATTTGCTTCTCCCTGTATAGTACTTGCCACATTTTAGAAATTTAAAAGCAAACGAGAAGGAAAAACAAATGAGATAGCCTTTTATAAAAAGAAAATGCCGAATAACTAAGCACTATATTGACCTTTCTTCCTTTGCTTTCTTCTTTTCCCTCCTCTTATTTTTTTCATTTATAGTGTCTTTTGCATTTGCATGTTCTTCACTTTGATTATTAGAATTATTTACATTAATTTGATCAAAGTCATCAAGGGAAACATCAAGTGGTGGAACATCTCCCCTCTCTTGAGCTTGGGAAAGAATTGGGAATAGATTAATTTCATCCTCAACATCTATACTTGAGGTTCCAAGCAAACTACTATGCATAGAAGTTATAGACTTCATTCCATCTGCTGCAATAAGTTCATCTGATCCTTCCTTGGATGCTATTTGAAGTAAATTTCCATCCCTCATATATGAATTTTTCATCCCCAAAGAAATTCTGAGTCTTTCTTCATCCACCTGATGATAAATGTTACGGAAATACAAGTAATTAGTAATTTAGTACTTTAATACGCACTGATCAAGCAAGAAAGCCTAGTTGACATATGAGAAATAAGAATTTATTATTTCACACAATTTAATGATAATTAAGATAGAAATTAGAGTTTGAATAAGTTAACATTCCATTTAGAAGTGTTCTTGGAAGGGTTTTAGTTATTTATCAACTTGGTTATACCTCACCAAAATTACAACTGCTTTCATTCATATAAATTATATTCAAGCAACTTGTCCATATGTCCTTTGGACTCCAATTTTTTCCCTTGTGGATTTTAGGTTGTCTGCTAGATATACCCTCTATTATCATTCAACTTGCTTAATCATAAATATATTTATCTGACTGGATAGAATAAACATGTTACACAGAAAAATACAAACAATCACAGTTAACAGCTATAAGTTGCAGTGCACATTAAGGCCAATAGGCATATAATCTCCAGTCATCCGAAGCTTTTTATATTTGAATTACCTTTAATATTCTTGCATTTACTATCTCTCCAGCTTTATAATTTGCTTCGATGTTCTCAATATGGTTATCAGCAATTTCTGATACATGGCATAATCCAACCTACATTCGAAGAATCATAATCAAGTGAGTTCTAAGAACCGAGTTGACCCTGTCACTTTCTTAAGAGACATAATGATAATTATAAATACAATCACAATCAAAAATACATTTTTGTGGATGAAGCTGTAAGCAATTGAGATATCCAAGTTAATAAATGGATAGAAACATCAAATTAAAAATAAATAACAATATACTATGCATACACTTATAAAATGCTAAAGGCATGGAAGAGAATAGATATAAACTTTCTCAATTTCTTTAGATCGTAATACTACATGGACCAGAAATGGCTGCCAAGGTTGTAGAAATACCATGTTTGTGTTGTCAATTGAAATGAATAAACCAAATGACTCAACCCGCTTAATCCTGCCAGATATAATATCTCCAACGTGAAATTTACTTAAATCACTAATCTCAGATTCCGAAGTATTGGGAACCGTTGATGTCTTCAGTGTAACTTCAACACGATTTGAAAGAGGCTCCACAGATATAACCCTGCTATTTTCTGTCTTAGTACAATGCTTAAGAAATCTATCATTTTAAGAAGTGAACAGAAACAGTTTGTTGAGTACTTACCTGCCAATTACAAGTTTTCCAACAGGAAACTCTTTCTCGGGTTCTTTAACATATTGATAAGATAAATTGGATAGAAGAATTTTGGCGTCAATATTTCGTGAGAGGAAAATGAAGCAACCCTTTGGTGTGACATTCTTAATATAACCCTAGCCAAAAGAAGACATAAATAAATCCAAAGGAACAAGATATACAGAAATCATGCCACCAACCAATTTGGAGGAAAATATACAGAAAATAACGATATGCCACCAACCAATCCATGCTTTGCTTGGCAATAAATGACCAGGACAGAAATCATCAAGGAAGCGCAAAAATTATTAGTTACAACATGTAAAATAACATTGCACAAATCTCATTTCATATCTCATGGAAGGGTTGTTATAGCCACATGGAAAATTAACTAAATAAATAATGTTTTCAAAATAAAAAAATTTGGTTGTATAGAACACTATAATGTCTGAGTAACTGTATCTTGAATGACGTTACACTATAATCAATTCAAGCAAAGTATATACGTTCTTCATTCTTGAAAAAGTTAAATCTACAATTTATTTATCATGGCATTCTTAATTGAGAACAAAAAATTTGGGAACAAGATGGTGTCCTTTTAATGCAAAATCAAACAGTATGATTTGCAAAGTATATATGTTCTTCATTCTTGCTCCAGCACTCGGGGAACCTACCCTTCAGTAGTAACTATTAAGGGTGGAGAACCAAACACTAGAATAATCCACCGAATATCTCATACAATTTAATGCGGGATGAGCCTTTGCAGTTTTCATTTTACAACACTTCAACCAACTCCCTGGTTACTCAAAAAACACTTCAGTCAACTCCCTCCTAACAATCAGCTCTGATACGAATTGATAAGCACCCAAACATTTGGTACAGAGGAGATACTAAACCCGTAAATGCTCCACCAAGTATCTCATACTACTCAATGTGGGCCTTAGACACCCCATAATACCCAAGCCCATATTACATTACAAAGGACAGATTCCTCAGTAATGCCCTGTTTGGTACAGAGAAGAGAGATAGTGTGAAAATAGGTGAGATGAGGTGATTAAAAAAAAGATGAGGAGCAAGATGGAGAGATAAATGGAAATAGTAGGTTCCACTAATTTCAAAACTATTTCCCCTTGGAAACCCCAAAAACAAACAATCTCAACTCATTTCCCTTTCTTAAACCAAACCATAACATAGGTTATGTGAGATATAATATAGTGGGTGGGGTTCAACTAATTTAAAAAATACAAAGAAATTAGGAGAAAGATGGAGAGATGAATGGAAAGAGGTGAGCTATAATATAGTGGATTCCACTAATTTCAAAATTATTTCTCCTTGGGCATCCGTTGAACAAACAATCTCTACTTATTTCCCTCTATACAGTCCTATTTTCTACCAAACAATCTCTACTCATTTCCATCTCTGAAACCAAACAAAACATAAGAATTTTGCATTACAAATGAAGGATGTACAGAACAGTATTTGCCTTAATTTTTCTAAACACAATGGTAGGAAACAAAAGAAAGGTGGTCCGAAGTCCTCCTGAAGAAAATATAAAGAAAAGTAAAATTTAAGATCAAAAAGCTTGGGGAAAAAAACAGAAAATGTATGCGAAGTTGTGGTATTTATCTCTAAAAGGTACCTACACCTCTTCAACCCCCCCCCCCCCCACCCTAAGTAAAAACTTTGCACAATTGATACTTGAAATGATTCCAAAAATATATTCTGTCTTATAAATGATGAATGCTATCACTTATTAACAACTCAACTCTATTAAATGAGATGGTAAACAAACACTTAACGTTAAATAGGCTGACATAAAACCTACATAGAGAAGAATAATGACCAAAAAAACCATACCTTTACAACCATATTAAGATGTAGATCCTCAATCTTCTCTACACATTTGCCACTAGCATCCCTGAAAATATAAAGAATCGATGATATAATGATTGGTTTGGAAATATCACGTAAAACAGATTCAATCATATAATTAGTATAATGATTATATAATGTATATAGGTTTGAAACGGAGTAGTAAACCAATTGTACATAAACCAAAACAACCAACTCTATTGCAGAAAAATAAAGTAACACTGGCAATAAAAATTGCAGTAAAACTTGAAATGTGTCCCAAATTCGGAAATATTTACTATGTTATAACTGAACTAAAATATTAAAAAATGAAACGCAACACCTTAAACAAAGGGCAATTAATGTAATCCTAAGAAAATGCAACTAGATATTTCAATTCAAAATAGATAAGTTGCGCTTGCAGTAACAAAACCTCAAAAAAGAATCAATTTAATTTCCATCTTTTAAATTAATTATTTAAATACTGCATCTCAATCATAGGTTCAATCTGGAAAAACAGTAAAAATGTGCCTTGATGACAGGTTGCTAATGGGTTTGAATCAGAAAACAGCCTCTTTAAATAAGCAGGTGTAAGGCTGTGTAAAATTACTTTCCCCATGTTTTCATTAAGCACAGAGCTACAAGTTAATGGTAACTGCATATATTAGTTTGATAAAAATAATCAGTCGGCTAAAGACTAATTAAAGATTTATCACAAAGTATCAGTACTACTTTTACTTACACAATGCTGTGAACATCAGCAGAATCCTGGGAAGGCTTCACATAGGAAGATCGCAATGACAAGTCAACATGAATAGTACCCTGGACAGTGTGACTGATTTCAAGCACTTTACATTTGACAAACTGTCCTTCATGATATCCAGACAATGGATCAGGCACCCAGTCTGCAATTTCAGTAAAATGTACTTTTCCATATGTTCGAGGACCAACTTGAACAAGCAATCCACCAACACCTGGAAGTATTTTACTAACCCTTCCACCTAAAATATCTCCTTCACGAACATATGCTGTTAAATCCTTATCCACAACATTAACTAGTGGCTCTCCACTTTTTCTGCAACGAAGAGTTGAAAAGGGGCGTAGAACCAACCGCAATAGCTTCTTCTCAATGTTGACACTTAGTACATAACCAGAAACAGGCTGTCCAACATGATATCGATTCTGGAAATCCTCAAGCTCGCTTGGTTCAGTAGCACTATCAAGAATATATATCTGAGCCCTCACATTTCGTGATATTGTTAACCACAACCATTCACTTTCTACTTTATATACATAACCAGCCACACATTGCCCGATTTTAAATTCAATATTCTCAGATACATCATCTATATAACTGGAACCTGAATTGACGTTGAGATTATATATTAAATAGCAGAAAGATTATGATGATTTTCATAATTAACAGACAAACTGATGAGATAAATTAACAAGTAGATACTGACAAGATAGAGTTAAAAGATAGTGTTAATTTTCATTAAAAAACAAACTGAGGAAAATAAGGGCAGACTGGAAAAGTATAAATGGAAACCAAAACATAGTTCAATCATGAGAAGGTATGAATATATAGGTACCCTTGATTACAATAAAAATGAAACTGATAGCAATATCAGTATATAATGACAAGAACAAATATGGTTATAATATAAGGTCAGGTAAAAATTAAATTAATTCTTAACAAGAATGTAACGTAAGTATCTACTCTCAAACTTCTTATTGGTCTTAAATTTAACTGGTCTTCCTGCATAATCGTTTCACAAATTGCCCAGTAATTCTATCATTCAAATCTTTTCCAGCTAGTGGTATACTAACCTGTAACCATTTCAGATCTGACTGAAAGCTCCCACTGTGAGCCCTTCCTATGCCCATCTGTTTCATTAGGCTTTGCAACAATCCTTGCAGTCACTGTCTGCCCAATTCTGTAGCTAGAGAATGGATTTTCCAAAACATTATCATGATGTACCTGCCCATAGATAGGCACCCAACTATTAAGAAAAACAGTAAAACTAAAATAGCACATCAACAAGAGGGAAATCCTCACTGCACTGTAAAATTAAGGTTGCTGCTATGTGAACATGGTCACAATTTACAGCTACAATACAAAAACAGCATATCATCTCAGGGTAATGGCGCTTACATCGCACACTCTGAAAGCCCCACATAGTAGTAGAGGCTTTGTGTTGTGTTATCAAATCTACAACGTAAATGCTAATTTTAATACTGACACCAGAAACATAGAAAGATCACCTCTGTTATGTGAATTCTGCCATGTAGACCAAATCCAAACTTTAGTTTCAGTTCAAGCATTTTGATATCAGTAATCTGGACAACAATGCCATAAAAAAGAAAATTCATGATTGTCAGAATAAGAAAAAGTAGTAGTATTAGTATTAGATGGAAAGATGGTCAGTGTACAAGTCCAACGAACGAAGACAACTAAAAAGCAGATAATTATTTCACAGTGCAAAGAAGCTCTCAAAATTAAAGCAGATATAACAAGAGCACAATGGAGAAATCATAGAAAATATTCAGTCTATAAGAATGGGAAAATGTTAACTAGCTCCAAGCTTGGTACACTTTTATTAGTAAAAAAAAAAAATAGCCAATGTTTAACCACATTCAAAAATCAGTAAAACAAAACACAATATTCATGCTTATGAGTATTCCATGTATAAACTTGCTTAGAGTATACAGTGAAAACCTTCAAATAAGTACATACTATTGACAGATAACCATCAACACACACAAACATACATTTTAAACAAACTAGACTTACCTCTGCCTCAACCAGAGTTCCAACTTTGTAGCTAGACTTCTTGGATCTTTTGGCGGTCACACTGACCTCATCAAGAAGTAAAAGCAACCTTCCTGATGTTTCAGGGCTCGGAAGATCCATAACAGTAGCAATAACACTGACCAAGTAAAACATATGCACTGAGTGATGGGAAAACTAGGAAAACATAATGAAGCTCATAATCATGAAAATAATTCTCATTTTAAATTAAAACTATATTTACTATAAGAAAAAAGTATAGTAAGTATTTTTATTATGAGTTCATGAAACATTTATTACACAAATAATTTTGCTTATAAACAAAAAAAAAAAATGATAAACAACAATCCAATCTAGCACTGAATCCGATGATGTTATTTTAAAAGTAGAGGCAGACATGATAAGGGAGTTGAAAATATCATAAGTAATTGATCAACACAGGAATCCAAGAATAAATGAGCAAGGACAAGTTGTACACTAGTCCAGAACATAAGAAAACGAAAAAGTCTAAAGAAATCCTTCCTAAGAATACAAGTTAGAAACTAATATACAAGACATGCAGTTGGAAAGTTTCCTTAATAGCAGTAATTCCTAGCCAATCTCTTTAGAGGTTGCTATACTTACAACGTCAAGGGTGGTGGTTTAGTCCCACATTGACTAGAATTATGACTAAAATAAAGGTTGTAAAGATTGGACATTTCTGGCACAAATTTCAAGACAAACAAACAGCAAATTTTGTGCTCACCTCTGCCCATTTTGGTATTGTTTACGAGGAAACCTTTGCGTATTATAGTCCGACACAGATGCGTATCCTATAGTGTAATCATTTTCTGGAATTGATACAACCTGCTTTACACAGAATAATTTAATATGCATGAACAAGTTTTACCAGAAGATAGCTAATGGTGAAGAATAATAATATCAATACTTTCCATGTAATTTTCTTTAACTATTTCCACTACTGCATTTACTGACTGATGCAAAACCAACTCCTTGGATGCCTCCCTTCGACGTTTCTGGAATTGAGATATTTCATTGATTTGGTCAAATTTAAGAAAGAATAATGGAAAAAAGCATCATGCACAAGGCTAACCTTCTCAAGACAAAATTAATGCCCACTATAGAACCTTAATTGTAGAAGAAAGAAATAGTGTACCAAGATATTTTGATTTTTAAATATTAATTACATAAATATGGTTCCATTGCATGGCAGCATATAACTTTTTATAGAAAAAATTACTAAGCTCTTTCTCTACCCTGCAGGGCAAAGAAGTGAATGTGTGCATCAAGACAGGAAATGGTTGAGGGGCAGGGTAAAATGCTGAACCTTCTTGCTGGTACGACTTATGGAACTTTCTTTAGATCTATTAAGGAACTCTGGTTTTAGAGTTAAATCAACAAGCCTTTCTGCCTTGGCAACATCAAGAACCAATGCTTCCACCACAGAGCCACACTCCAAAATAGTTCCAGCCACTAAGGAATCACATCACAGTGAGAAATGAAACTTGCACTTGAGTGAGAATCAACAAAACATATTAGTTAGAAACTAAATAACAAGTGGGAAGGAGAAAACATACACTGATAATTGGTAATAAAACCAAAAACATCATTATAATTTTCAAAGCTTATAACAAGTCCAACATCTGCAACATCCTTGACTTTCCCTTTTGCAATCACACCAATGTTAAATCCTTCAAGCCACTTCAAATCGGATGCACCAGAACCCAAGTCTTGCAACTTGGCAATCTATAAATGCACACCAGATTAGAAGCAATAAAAATGAGAGAGCTCGGGAAAGGAATTACATGAGGGAAAGCAGAAGAGAAAAATTATGCTAGGAGGTAAATAAACAGAAACAATGATTATAAAATATATATAGCATTACACTGTTTGCTATGATAAGACAAAACAATTCACAGCCAGATTATTTTTTAATGAATTCAACAAGAATTTTCCAAAATTCAAGGGTGGATATTTCAGACTATTCAAAGTGGTAGAGATCACTGACGTATCCAAAAAACAGTAATAATGCCAATACATCCATGCACAAATTTTTATTGCTTTGTATTTTCCAAAATTTAATAAAAAAGGAGGCGCAAATAAAAATTTGCAGATCTGGTTTGTTAAAAGAGCTAGATACAAGACACCACATAAAAATGCCACATGAAGAAAATAGTAAAAGTGCATTATAACTTCATCCCCTGATCTAAATGCAGAACAAAGTGAACACCTCTAGATTATTTTCTAGTCAGAATAAAATAATGAACTAAATATATAAAGATGTCTGTAAGTATAGGTATCTAATTCTAAATTTCAAAAGAATGGTACCAACAAAAATTGAGTAAGTCAACAAGGCCTAACATGTTTACTGGACATATTGTGCCCAAACTTGAAAAAAGCGTAAGAATAGACATCCGTGGGTTAGCATGCATAAAATAAACAATTTAGAATTAGGGATGTAAATTGTCTGGGTAGGGTTAAATTTAGTTTAATTGTCAACCCAACCCAATTATACTTAATTGGGTTGAATTTACCTTTTTATAATGAGCAACCGAATCGAACTTTAATAGGGATGGGTTGAGTGGAGCAACAGTATACACTTTATACAATGCCATAAATAGTAATTCTCAAAATAGTCTAAACAGTAATAACCATTAATTTGTTTTACAACTTAGTGAATGAGATCTCAAGGGAGAAGGACAAACACAAAACTTCCACTGAAACACTAACATTTACTTGTAACAATATCTATGATATGAAATATTGAAGTACAGTTTTCATAAAACATTATTCATGTGATTAAACATTATATATACTATGTAGTTGGATTGGGAACAATGGGTTTGAAACTCATGATCTTGGTTCTCAACCCAATTCTAATTGGATTGCGCTTTAAAAGCCCAACTCAATCCAGTGGCCTGGCCCAACCTACAAAAATGTTAGGTTAGTTCGGGTTGGGCAGATTCACGGTTTTAAGTGCACCCACTTACACCCCTAAGTAGAATGTTAAAATGTAGACTATGTGTCAGTAACATTAGAGTTACTCGACAATTGTTTATACCTTTTCATCCATGAGAAAGTAGTCCTGAATAAATGACGCATCAGTTGAAGAACATTCTTTCTGCTTTAGAGAGAGTGTTACTCTGCCAGACTTACTACAAACCTGATGTTTAAACAAAAAATAATTACATTGTTTTAGCCCGCACAAAGTTTTCAGCAAAAATATATTTACAGCATTTAATATACTAACATTGGATATGTTGCTGCGAACTGATTGCCCAATGTAATAGGATTCCAAAATATTGGCTTTGTGGTCATCTGCAGCCTACACAAATCCAATAGAATGAGTTTACCAAGTTATCATGTGCCTAAGAAAAGGTGAGGTGTGTACAAGAGAAAGAAAGGGAAGGGGGAGTTAAACTGAGATACCTTATTTCGTGGAGCAAAGCCAGTTAAATGACCAAGGAAACGAACAAAGCAGCCAGACTCAATTAAGTTACATATATAGCCCTGCTCCATACACAATTTATAAAGAAAAAGAACAGAAACTCAACAGCATGTCTCTGACAAGCAAGAAAATAAAAGTAACATTCAAATAAATTGTACGAAGCAATTCATATATGTTCGACATGATCACTTACATTCACAACAGAGTTAGGCTGAATCTGATTGATATCTACAGGAATCTGCTCAGCATGTTTAATAAGAGAACTTTTGGCAGACAAAATCAAATTGTTTCCCTTAACATCTGTTCTTAAATAAAACATGAAATTAATTATTGTAGGTTTATAATAAAAGTTATCAACATGATAAATGACATAGAAAAGCAATAAAATAAGTTGGTAGTTTCTATTTCACACACAACACGAAGGCAATAAAATTATGAATAATTTTGCCATCATTATGTAAAAAATTGACCTTCGATTTCTCTATACTTTAGGTTTGTTGAAAGGATTAGTGACAAAACAAGTCAAAGTCACGGAGGATGGTATTGCCCTAGTACATATTGAGAAGAAACTTAGAAGGAATAAAATGAATTTTGCATTGTGTACACATGTATCATTAGACAAATTTGTTACAAATGTCATAAACATGTGTGTTGTGTACACACGTATCATTAGACTCAAACTTGTTACAAATGACAGTAACACAAGACCCCTTAAGAGAATCATGTTAGTGAGTTAGTTACAGAAGCTAAAGTAAATAACTGACAGATGATAATTTTAACACTCCGGCCAAGTTGAAGTATATGTATTGTATAGAATCAAGCTTGTTAGAAACACTACAAGTCAACAGTGCAAACACTACAAGTCCAAAAAACATTGGCAGGGCACAATAATTGCCAAAAATCAATGGTGAATACTACCACTGAAAAATATCGACAACAAACAATACATGTTGGAAATACGTCAACGGTGAGTAATACCCACTGGAAAAACATTGGTGGTGAACAACACCAGCTGAAAACCTTTGAAGGTAAAATACCAACAAGGAAAATGTCAAGTGCAAATAGTACTCATTGAAAAAATGTCTGCAGTTAACAACACCAACTGGAAAAACCTTGGCAGTGAACAGTGTCATCGAAAGTGAACAACAACAGTCAAATACAGTCAGCGATGAACAGTACCCACAAGAAAAATATCAACAATGACAAGCTTCAGAGAAAGTCGATAACATACAATAACCATCAAAAAATTGTCGGTAATGAATGAATAATACCCACCAGAAAAACAAGTATCAAAAGGAAAAATGTCAACCATGAACAGTGAAGACAAGGGAAAAAAGCAAAAACCAAAAAACATCACGGTTTCTAAAAATATTTACACCTATGAGAAGAGTGCCCACAGGGAAAGCATGAATTTATGTTCCTTTGGTATAGACTCTTGATACCATGTTGCAGGATTAGTGACAAAACAGGCCACGAAGGATGGTCCACTATGGTACCATGTTGTGACGAAAGAAATTGAGAAGGAATATAATGAAATCCATGTTATGTGTACACATGCTTATTCTTATTTATAATAAAGAAGAGAAACAATAATAAGGAAGGAAATCAATATCTAATCTAATAATCAGAATTGAGTGAGATATTTCCCGGCAAATCAAATCAAATCTTAATAGTTTTAAATATAGTATTAAAAATGAAAAGGAAGAATTGTTAACAATTCTTGTTTAACAGTTTTGTACAGGCATTAACTTAATCATGACATAAATACGCTGAATATCTTAACTGTACCTAAAACCAGTAGTTGATCAAAATTATATCCAGGTTTCAATAGTTTGTTCATCAGAATGGCTTGGCCTGCACAATAAGAAGGTACAGTTAGCAAATATATTACGAGTAAGCAGAAAATGGAAATCCTTTACCAACCAGAAGGGAATTTTTACCATGATGATCTGCCAAGTGATCCATGGATATTGTACCCCTTGAGAAACCACTTGCATTGACATAAACAACAATAGCATTAGATGTAATTCTGTCAACAACTCCTGAAACAACGCTGCCCAAGGTAACCATATCATCTTCAGATACCCTGTCATTTTAATTCACATTGGATTAGCAAAATTTGTACCCTAGAAGAGTGCCTATTCGTAACTTTAAATCACCACCCTAAAATAAGTCAGCCCATAGCTTCTCATAAAACAAGACGGAAGTCAAATAACTTTTTTATATTTGGAAGGAAGAAAATGATCTCCCGAGGAAAAACAGTTTGTTGATCAATTACATACTTATAAAATTTAGTAAATATTTCCAGATGCAGGATCCCAACAAGTAGAAAGTGGAAAAAAGCAAACCTTGTAGGCTTTATTATGAAACTAAGGTTGATCCTCCTTGAAGCAGGAATGGAACTTATGACCCGGCATTTGACAACTTGTCCAACATTGAACACCGTACCTGGATCCACACCTGGCTCTAATCCAAGTTCACATCTGCTCATACATCAAATCAGAACAATGAATAACATAGAATAGCTCTTTTGAGAGAACAACACCAATACCCCCAGCACAATTGGAATATACTACAAAATATAGTCAGTCAGCTTCCAAGAAGCCACAACACAATCATAAGAAGCCAATACACACCACCAAAAATAAAGGCTTGCAACTGGAGAATTATTAAACTTAAAAATTGGGCCAACCAATATGACAGAAAGAAAAAAACAATGGATTGTCAAGTAAACAATTACTTAGTCAAAAATGGTATATGGTATATGCAAATGATATAAGGTTGGAGGAGGGCTACTATACAGATACAGGAATACCCTTCATAGTTATTATTTTGGGTAGTGTTTGTCTGTGTTAACACGATTTAAAAATTTGCCCAATATATTCATAATTAACAATAAAATATCATAGGTTTTAAGAAAGTTATATAAGTAAATAAAAATAACAATAAAAGAAACAAGCAAAATTAAAAATTCGTCCAGATTTTTTCAAATAGGAGACATCTTAAAACATTAAATAAAATTCAGGGTCAATGTAGCAGAGAAAAAAAGAACAGAGGTTGGGGGTTCATTATTCAAACTTCAAAGTTCAACGAAGAGAAAAGAATGGAGGTGGATGGCATTGGTTATACTGCCCAAGATGAATGGGTCTCATAAAGTTAATCCAAGTTCAGCAAGCTACAGCCAATTTGGGATTATTATTATTATTATTACTTTTTTGCAATTTACATTCTAAAAAGGGGAGCAAACTATCAACTTTGACCAGATAGAAAGCCGCAAAAACAAAAATGCTGATGGCCAAAATGATTTTTTGAAAAGCCTCAATGTAGTGCACCTTTAGTGGCTGCCATGGCCTTAATTGAAATATCTGCTACTATGGTGTTGCTAAACCAAACTATTGATAACTATAACACCCATGCAGAATACTCAATTTAAACATAAGCATGGTTCAAAATTAAACAATAAAACATCCTTCAAAACCACCTAAAATGATGAAAAACATGGTTAGATAAAGAAAAGGAAAAAAAAAAAAGTACAGAAATTAATTTTTTAAACCTCATGCAATGCCAAAATAAAATTAATTTGTTAAAAAAATTTGGGCACGAAAGGACTTCTATATATAATTTTATATTGTGAGAAAAGAAATAGCCTCAAGCATATAAAATCTCACGATATATAAATGACATGGGGATGAAGAAATTAGTCTGGAGTAAAAGGTAAAGTAATGAAGATGAAATTTCAAATACCAATCTCCCACAGTTTATGCAACCATCAAAATATAACTGACTTTGGTCATGATACACATATACAGACAAATTCAAGACTTGCCTAGGAGCATATCCTTGAACCCCATTGTAAAACCGTACAAAGCATCCATGGACTTCAATTTTTGTTAACCATCCATGGGTTATCAAACCATCAGTTGCATCTGCATATGAACTAATAATTCCATGTTTCGATTTCACCTGCAAAATTAACATATATTTAATTCAAAATTGAATAGAAAACTAATCAATTGGGATGTAGTAGGTGGAAATTAATAAATGCTCCCAAATATTCTTCTCCAATGCGGACAATGTATAGACAAACAATTATATTGAAAGATGTAAACATGAAAAATTTGACATTTTTTCGAACCCCCATCCCATCCCCTGTAGCTTCAACAAATGCTGCTCTACATAGTTCCTGAAAGGCTATTATAATAGGAAACATGAAATCTAAAGTTTATGGAAATGCATCACTTTAAAAATTATTATAGAGCCATTGAGATTGAATAAACTGGAGAAGAAAAGTTCATGTGTACAAACATACAAGGGTTTTCTTGTGTGTAACTGTCACTCTTTTGGACTTGACGCCCAGCACACGGAAAACCAATTCAGCTCCCACCTGTACAATAATCCAAGTGAAAACTTCATCCACAAAATGTCTAATCTGTCCCACCAGAGACATGAGACAAAACTAATCTATATCAAATGATCAAAAGAAACAAAAGATGACAATACTAAAAATAATAAGCACAAGCATTAGCATACATAGCTAGAATATAACCTTAAATTTTTTTCCAGGCTTTGAAATTTCCAATTCAGACATATGTCGAAGAGGACAAAGTGCCTTCACACCACCTGGAATTTGCACTATAGCACCAAAGCTATCAACTGAAAGAATCTTAGCCTTTACAACCATGCCTGGCTTGACATCAGAATGAGTAAACACTTCTTCTTCAAAAGCACTAGCCTGCATGATATGAAAAGGATGATTAAATGCAAAAACACTTACAAACTATTAATTCAACATTCTTCCACATACCATCAAATTTAAAAACATATCCGCACAGTAATCCATTATACATAGAAACAACAGAGTAGCCTGGTTTATGGTTCTAATTTATTTTCTTTTCCCAAAAATGCAGGCAACAAATGTAACTTTGCGCATTCAATAACATATTTAACATTAATAAACTAGTCATTAGAAAAAAAAATTATTGAACATAGAAAAAAACTAAATTGTATTGCTTCTACTTTGAAAAAGTCAACACATTCAAACACTCAATGAAAAAAATTAAAGCGTTTTTAAATTCAACAGATAATTGATGTGCTAAAAATCATAGCTTGACCAAAATATATGTGTATCATAACTTGCCACTAACCACTAAACCATGGCTGGTCAGCTAATAAGTGAATCATATATTTATCATCTTTGTATCCCATTCTCCATAAAAAATGACCAAAGTAAGATAACAAAAAGTATGTGATTCAAGTGGAATACCAATATAAAAGGTACTGTAATCATTCAATTACAAATATTTATCATCTTTTGGAAATTAAAGGTTAGTACAATAACAACCTTCAAAACTCCTGTTGCAATTCCTTCCAAATATCTTAACCCAAGAATCCGAACTCGAACACGATTTCCTTCCTTGAACTTCTTCTCAAGTTTTTGGATCTCCTCTTCAGCAATATCAGATATCTGTCAACAATAATTTCAAATATATTTTTCATTTTCCTTTGTGGGGTAAGGCTTATTGTTATTGTATGTAGTTGAACATTCAGAAACTACATACACTGACAAAAGCTGGAGTTGACTCAGGAATTGAAGGAACTTCAAGCAATAGTCCTGATCCTTTGTCCACCCTTGCAACTTTTGAGTTGTCATATATATCTCCAATTTTAACATGCTGCACAACAAAGTTCATCAGTCTACAACATGGAACAATGATTACCAACTTAAAAAAAAAAAAAAAAAGAAGAATACAAACATCAAACAAAGAGAGAAAGAGAGATATTACAATGCAGAAATAAATTATTTCTCACATTGTAAATCTAAAATATTATAGCGCCCAACACAAACACCAGGAAAAAAAGGTTCACATTGACTTCTACCCCAGACAACACAGCCAAAGTATTTGATATTGGTGATAATCCTACTACTATTATCATAAAATGTAAACCACTTATAATTTATTGAAATTCCCAAATTTATATGATTATTAAATCACTTAATTGGTAAGATTCAATCATGTTTAAAATGGATGGTTTTTTCATAGTAAACTTCCCAGCATTCTTTTGGCTTTCCCAGGCATAAAAGGAAGTGTAGAGAATTCATAGCTATGTAACACATATGAATGCAATGATGTAATCAATAAATTGATTAATGAGAAACGACACTAGAGGCTTGTTTAAGCCTGTTAAGGTTCCAACATAAAATAATTGACAATATGTGGAGTAACCTAACATGTATTTAAACCATACCAAATGAGGCAAACAATGTGAAACTTCCAACACGCCCCTCCAACAAAGTTTGCCGGACCAGGCAAAGGGTACTTTGACCCACAACGAAAGGACAACTCTTGGCCCAAGACAATAACCGGAAAGATGTTAGGCTTTGGCTCTAATATCATGTTAAGGTTCTAACATAAAACCAATTGGCAATATGTGGAGTAGTCTAACATGTATTTAAACCATACCAAATAAGGCAGGCAATGTGAGACTTCCAACAAAGCACTCTTCAATCTTATTATAGAAATTGTTTTAGGATTATTTCAAATGCATTTCCTATTATTGCCTAAGATTCCTACCAATAATATTCAAGTTTTTCCCTTTTGCAAACTCATGTTACTCCAAACATGTTCTGGTCAATATCAATATTAGTACAAGCAAGAAATCTATCATTTAATAGCATTGAAGGGAAATTACTAGTTCAAAAGAGAATAAAAAAAGTTAAAGAATCGATTCTGTGGAATGAGATATCCCATCAACTATATACAAACTACAGTACTTACAGAAGGAGGGGCTGTGTTCTGAACAAGATGTGGATTCAGAGTCAAACCAACAGATCTACTTGATGGATCAATGAATAATATTCGAGAAACAACCTGGATTACACAGAAGGCACTTAGAAGATAGGAAAGTTACTTTAAAAAATGGCAACCTGCTTGGCAGCACAAAAGACAACATAAGCTGAAAAACACACCCACCATTTCTCAACCTAAATGTGAACATCCATCAAGGTAAATAACTAAATATGAAGCTAAGAAAAACACAAAAAACATGATGATGCATTATGATGTACATATCAATCTACTGGTATTTTTTTATAGTTATAAAAATATAAAAATTACACACTTAAATTTTAATTTTAAAGACATGTAGTTAAGATCAGTTGAGGAGTAAAGACTAAAGATAAGTTTAAAGACTAAAGAGCTTTAATTTGCAAGCAGCTTCTAATGGATTGCTTGTATTATAATACAAATCAAATTCCTCATGATTCTACAGTTTAAATGGGGACTCTCTCTCTCTCCCAAACAACAGAGGAACCAAAACTGCCAATGTTACCTATTACTATAAATGTCAAACAATGCATCAAAATGTTTTTTTTTTCTTTTGAATATTAGAACAAAGAACACAGACATGATTGCGTATCTTGCACTAAATAACTCATTTAATTATAGAGAAGAAGCTTGCAATGAAAGCATTTCAGAGTGTTAAGGAATTACTGGAGGACTACAATATAAAAGGCAAATTACAAAAGTTGCATGCAAATATAAAATTCAGAGGTACCTTCTGAGATTCAATGTACTTGTCCTTCCACTTTGTTCCAGGATAAATATTTTGCAAATGAAACAGATCAACCTGCAATGAAAAGATTCTTAATATAAATATTGTGAGAACAATGGGTGTGTCGAGAGAATCTATCTACACTATCATTGAAGCACTCCAAATACATCAATTACATGACACACTTACAGTTCCAGTGAAGTATGTGAGAAATGATAACATAACACCATTCTCAAGGATTGACTTCACACGGGCATTTACCATCATTCCTGGAACTAGAAGATCAATTGATAAACCTCTGAGATCCTTGGTCTGAATCAAATGCGTAAAGAAAATAACCAATCAGAAGGGAAAGTGAGACTAATTAAATATAGATACCTAAAAGACAACAGAATGAGCACAGAGGAAGCATACCACGCTTTTGGACATTGTATCTGGGTCAGAACTTAAGTAAACCACTTTACGAACTTTATCAATGCTCCTAACCAAACCTTGCAGAAGTTTCCCAATTTTTGCTTCACCACCCCAGCCTTCTGCATAAGAAAAGAAAACCGCAAAATAACTTTGTTCAATCATGCCAGACAAGATGAACAAAATTCACAGCAGTTAATTGATTCTTACCAGTAGAGCTGTTTTTTGGTAGGAAGCCCATGAAAGAAGGCACGCCAAAATGAAGAATGTAACCATGATCCTCAATGCTTTTTACATATGCAGCAAGGACCTGAATATACATAGTGCACAAAAAAATCAGAAGTTCCGTCTATCACATTGCATAATCCCTGACTCTCAAAGGCCTCTGAATATAGTGAATTGATCAAAAACCACAACAGGCAACAATATGAAAGGCATTGCAACCACGGTGTTACAATGCAATAAAATGTATATAATAAGAACTAATTTTCTTTTCCGTTGTGACAATGCAACAAACAGATTTAAAACAAGAGAAACAGGTTTAAAGTAGCATATTTATAATTTATTCATTAAAAATAACAATTTCTCATTATAAGTGATTTAAAATAATTGTTTTCAATTAGAACCATTTAATTGCGATGATTTAGCAGTCTAAATTTTTTAGAAATTTCATTCTGAGTTCAATTCCTACATATTTTATATGGAAGGTTGCTTTATTATGAGCAAACAAGAGCATTGTAAAGAATGTAACACAATAAGCTACAAATATATTATATCTATAAAGTATAAATCATAAAAAAAATTAGGCAAATGCAGGGTGAATAAAATCCCATACAAGTCCACATGCTACCATCCACAGTAGTAGATATACAAATATACAATCCTAATTTAATTATAGTAGACTAGGAAACATAGTGATTCCAATATACTCACAATAATCTTAGGTTAAGGTCAGCATAGGATTGCTTAAATGTTGTTGAAATTACTCTTCCAAATGATGATTTTGGTAAATATATTTTTTACCAAGAGATGCATATAACCAGGCTCGAAATTTGTCATAATTGACAATCTCTTTAAAATCAAAAGTGGAGAAACTAAATCCTAGTCTAGATGAATAATAAAAAAAAGTATACAGAATTTCATGATAAAATAATGACATACCATGCCTTCCTGAACAACATCCAAGTTATAGTTCTTGTGCAACAATGAAAGACGCAAAGAAAGCCAAATTTTCCTGCTTCCTTTCTCTTTCTTGTCATCATCCAATCTCAGTACAACACATGAAACCAGTTGCCCGACCAAAAATACACCAGAAAGGAAAAATTCCCCAACCTGATGCAAGAAAGACAGAAAGAGACGAGCTAAACTGATGGGCAAAAACAAATTACAATATAACAATTATTAAACTTATGCGGAGTAGTGAAGAATGAGTAAGGAGCCCAGGAGAAAGAACACTCAGAATTTTACAAAAAGCTTATTGCATACCTCAATCTTGTCATCGAAAATAGGATCCAATGCATCTGATGCGTGAACTAAACCACGTAAACCCCCTGGTAAACTAACTACAAGGTCTTTTTCATTTACTTCAGCAACAACTCCCCAAAGCTTCATTCCAGGTGTTATATTCTGGCATACATGCGATAGCAAAATGTTAAAGCACAGCACAACAAACAAACAAAAGGGATCCAAGGTATGATCTCAATAAGCCAAATAATAAAATATAATAATAAGAGACTAAATGCATATTGTAACACAGGTTGGAACATTCCGGTTGTAAAATTGAATAAAAAAAACTTTTTAACAGTTAAATTAAATGAATTCATCATTCAATTCTTATCGGATAACAGCCAAAACAGCATCTAAGGTATGTATCTTGGTGTTCTCCAAATTCACATTAAACCTTCCACCACTGACCAACAGCTCCAATTTCTACACATTTAATGTAATTATTTATACTAAGCTCATATATTGTAGGTCTCGAGCTATGTTCTTTATATGGAATTACATAGTAAACTACTGTTACAGGAAGCAAAAAACACAACAAGTAAAACAACCAGTAATAATCCATTGCTGAAAATTATCCTCATCTAATAACCAATTTGCTTCCTCCATCCTACAAAACGGTGCATGCTACCTTGAGAGTAATTTTATTCACACGGCGTGGCAACTTTCCAGTGATACCCTCACCGGAATGCAAGCTCCAATCATCTGCAGCTTCATCACTCTTACTCAACTCATTTCTTCCCCTTTTCTTCTTCTTCTTCTTCACCTTTATCGAGTGATCCCCGCCGCCAAACTCATCGTAATCATTCCTTGGATTCGCAAAAACTTCTCCACCTACAAGAAACAATTCAATCCAAACCAAGTACGAATTCAAATTCAATTTGAAAAAAAAAAAAAAAACTATCATTCCATGCAAAAAACAATGAGGAGAGTGATTGTTTGCAACCTCGAGGGAAATCAGGAACCTCGTCTTCTAGTTGAAGAGCGAGTGTTTCCGGTTTAGCAGCAGCCACCACCGCGTCCTTTTGTTCCCTCTTCTTCGGTTTGAATATTTTCTTTGAGGCTTTGTCGATTTTCGGTTCTTTTCCTATGTCCTTTTTTTTCTGCTTATGCATTTTGTTGGAACGCGGTGCCATGTCCAATCGTTTCTTAGCTCCGCAAACGTATGCTGTTGCTTCACTTGGAGCCGGAGAAGAATAAACAGGGTTTAAAAGGGTTTTAGGGTGGGAAGTGTAAGATAAAAAAAGCAGTACAACATGGGCCTAAATACAATCCCAAAACTGAAACAGAAAATGGCTATATACACCCCCTGTTTTAAGAAAACTTCCGCTTTTATTATTTTTGTGATAAAATTTTCAAGTGAAGGTTACTCAACCAGGGCTAGAAATAGGTTAAGCAGTTTCATACGCACTTCCTCCATTTTTTATTTATAATTTTTCAAAATCTTTTTAAACCAACAAATTAATCTTTCATTAGCTTCTTCAAAAAGTAAACAAATAAAATAAAATCATCAACTGATTTTAACCTATATAGAAGTTAGTTTATTTCTTTTTTATCTTGTAAGTATACAAAAATTGTTAAAACATTTATTTATTACTTGTTATAATTTTTTTATTTTTAAATACTAATTTTGAAAAATAAAAACTCATTTATACTATGATAAAATTCATTATTTATTTCTCTAATAATCTTTTAGGCTCTTCACTTTGTTAGATTAATTGATTTGTTTATAAATCTTTTTGTAACAAAAACCTTGGAAGTAAAACTTTATTGATAATGATATATAATAAGATTAAATCCTTCCACATCTATTAATCTAGTGTAAAATATTTATTTTCTTATTTTCAATTAAGTTGTTAATAAAATAACATATAAACATATCATTTTTATATAATGATGAACAGGAGGTATGTAGAATAGGATTTAAAAATATGCATAACTAACAAAATAAAGTTAAAAATGTTATGATCTTAATTGAATTAAGAAATCTTGATTATAATTATGTAAAAATATATCATAAATTTAATAGTTAGCTTATATTTTTATAAAATAATCTTTTTAAACTAAAAAAATATATTATGATTATTAAATTGAATATATATATATATATATTATAAATTAATATTATAAGATATTTATTTATTCTAAAAATAATATTTGAAATATTTTTTTTATCATTTATTTTGTTATAATTTAATAATCAAAATTCAATTATTAGTTTACATGTAAAATTATTAAAAGAATTAATATTATCAAAAATATAATTCTTATTGTTATATATTACTTATCCAATTTTGTTAATAATTTAGTGTGTTTTTAATATAATGATTTTAACTTTGTAAATATATCATGTTGTTTGAAAATCTTAATATGATGAAAATATTACTGAAATATGATTTTATTGTTTAATTTGGGCAAAAATATGGTTTATGAGTGAGGTTATCTTATATGTTAAATAAAAATATTATATTTTTTTTTTAATTTATGAGATTGATAGTTTGTTAAATGAAAAATAACAAGTGAAATATTTTAAAATTTTAAAACGACAAATATAACCATCAAAATATGAACTTCAAAAAATTGTCCAAAGTAACTGATAATTTTTCTGATGTTGTCAAATTTTTGTTATAATTATTTTTCATGTTTTTAAATGAAGATGAATGTATATTTCATGGGTAAAATATTAATAAAATGACAAGAAATGTATTTTAGAACTTCTAAAAAAATGTGAGAAAAAAATAAAATAAACAAAAATTTAGTTATGAGTTAAATTTAGTTTATGTAAAAATTATAAAAGCTTTCTTGCATAATTATTCAAAAAAAAATTTAAAACTTATGCATAAGTTAAATTTATAAGTCAATTTTTACTTTTTATAAAAATGATTATACATAAAAAGTCAAATACAAATTCTGATTGCTTGTGGATTTTTTTTAATATTGAATTTATAAAAAAACAAATATTTTATCTGATAAATAAGATTTTAAACTTTATTAACTTGTTTACAAGTTTTTATAACACAAAAATTTGTAAACATATTTTTACAACAGTTTAAACTTTTAAATAGGTCAATCTAAGGCTTAAAAATGGGTTATTAATTAAATACGTATAGTTGTGTTGTATATTTTGACGTATGAAAATGATTGAGGGGTAAAAGAGAATTTAAGAAAATCAAAAAATGGTGGGTGGAAATAGCAAATCTCGTTGACTGATTGGGTAGCTCATAGAAGAGGCCTATTAAATCAGGCCCATTACGACAACCTCACCGTACAGGGCTTTTCAGGGAGAAGTTTCTCGAATATAGAAGAGTGCTGTTACAAATATTACCAAGGAATTTACGGTTCGGAATCAAATCCTCTCTCCTTGTCTGAAACAGATTGCTTTTAGCGAAATCGAATTCTGACGCAGGTGAAGTTCAAATCTCTGATATTCTTCTCAATCGATTGTTATGGGGATCAGATTCATGTTTCTCTATTCCTTATATCATTTGGAATGAAATTGCTAATTTGTAAAATATTGTAGTTTCGTTAAAAGTATTACTAGATATATCATCTTTGGACGTTGGAATCTTCTGTGTTTGCTAATTATGTTTTGCAATTGAATTGATTATGATTAGTTTTTATCTGTTCTGAGTTTATTGATTCTCCAGTGTTGCTTTGGAAATTGTGGTTCTCTAGGCGTGGAATACTCTGTTTTTTTTTATTATTTGGATAAAATTAATAATTGTTAGTCTTCTCTGTTTTGAATTTGTTGATTATCCAAAATTGTTTCGGAAATTGCTGTTCTCTAGGCGGTGGATTCCTCTGGTTTTTTTCTAATTTTCATTTGAAACTTGGGTGAAAAGTAATTACAGTTCTGGATTAATTAATAATGATTAGTTTTCCATGTTTCGAATTTGTTGATTCTCCAGAATTGTTTTAGAAATTGCGTCTCTCAAGACGGTGGAATCTTCTGCTTGAAATTTGGATGAGAAGTAATTTTCATTTGGATAATTTTCTTAGTTTTGAACGTGTTGATTCTCCGTTTAATAAAACTAATCATGATTAGTTTTCTCGGTTTAAAACCAGTTGATTCTCTAGATTTGGTTTGGAAATTATTGCAGTTGTTAGGGCTTGTGTTTTTGTCTCATCAAAGTTGTGGTGTGTTTTTCAGTATATTTTCGTTTGTGTGGTGGTAGGTGAAATATGAGGGGAAGAAGCTACAGTTACAGTCCATCACCTCCAAGACATTATAGCCGAAGAAGGCGCAGTCCCAGCCCTAGGAGCCGATACAGAGGACGGGATAGGGATTTGCCAACAAGTCTTTTGGTTCGAAACCTCCACAGAGATTGCAGGTATGTGTGTCGATGAAAGATTTTTTCACATTTCAAGCAAGTATTATGTTTACTGTGGTTGTGGAAGTGTCGTTATTGTGTGGAAATTCAGGATCATTGGGCTATTTTCTTTGTTACTTATATGTTACTTTGGTTTATATTTTGTATGCAATGGAAGAAGCACAAGGTGACAGAAGTAATTTTTTCCTTCTTGTACTACATGTACGCATAGTTTGAACATTTTTCTCCCAGCTTCCTGATGAAGATTTTAGAAAACGTTTTTTTTCTTGGGGAAGCTTTGCTCGAACATGCTTGTATTATTATTTTTTTTAAGAAATAATGGTTAATTTATTTGTCTTTATTCCTAGGGAGTTTGCTGTAATGCTAAATGCTTTTATACTCGTTTTGCAGGGCGGAAGATCTTCACGGTCCATTTGGCCAATTTGGTCCTGTTAAGGACGTTTACCTGCCTCGTGATTATTATACTGGGTATGTGTTTTTTCATTGACTAAAACATGGTTCCTTGTGTGTTGAAAGTTTTCTCCGCAGCCACTTTGATAAATTGCTAGTGTTATTAAACTACTATGAAACTTTTAATATTGTTTATGCATTAATTGGGATTTAAGAAAATTGTGGTGGCTTTTACATAAGTATTTAGTTCTGCCACTTCTTTCTTAGTAGAAATTAATACTCCAATTATTTTATGGGAATTTGGTTGTTTTATTGAAAGAGTTGAAGACACAAATGAAGTAATAAGAGTACTGTGTTGAAGAGAAGAAAGAAGTAATAAGAGTTCAACGTTATATTAGTATCCTTGAAGGTTTGGAAGGTTGAGTTTGAATTCATTGTGAAGAAGTTCAAGTCTTGAAGAGAGTTCAATCTCAATTAATTCTTTGGCTTCTACAAGGTTAGCATCCGTGTGGTGTTTATTATTGATTTCTATGGAGTGTTGAGAATGTGACTTGTGAGAATTCGGAGTCAGGTTAATATTTGTGGATATCTGCAATAAACCCACATTCCTAATGCCTGATGTGATTAATTTTTAAACAATGTATATAATGTCTCTGATGACTTCGAGTCTTATGGTACAGGGATCCAAGAGGTTTCGGGTTTGTCCAGTATGTGGACCCAGCTGATGCTGCTGATGCAAAACATCATATGGACGGTCAAATTCTTCTTGGTCGCGAGTTAACTGTTGTATTTGCTGAAGAAAACAGAAAGAAACCTTCCGAAATGAGAGCAAGGGAACGGAGGAGGTAAGGAAATAGACACGTGGTTGTTTGTAATGTTAGGTATCATTTGCTGTTCCCATGTCCAATATGAAAAGGCCTTTTTTATATCGTTTCCCATGTTTGATTCCTTTTTTCTTTGATTTGATCAATCTCCAGGGATCGATCATATGATTACAGGCGATCTCCTCGAACCTATTCGCCTAGTCCAGACTATTCACCTTCTCCAAGACGAAGGCGATATTACAGGTTATTTTTTATTATTATTACATTAGTTTATGCGACAAATTTCATTTCTGATGTAAAGGATGTTCTGTGTTTGTACTCACCCCTTTCATTTCTGATAATTCAGGTCAATCTCACCAAGGGACAGAAAGTATAGAGATCGATCATACTCGGGATCACCTTATGGATCAAGAAGTCGCAGCAGAAGTAGGAGTTATAGCAGAAGCAGAAGTTACAGCAGGAGCTTGAGCGGAAGTCCTGGCTACTCTAGGTGAATAGCTTGATAAAGTTTGGTGGGTGCGATGGAAAATGCTATTTTCATGTTTTTTATCCATCTTGTGTGTGTGTTGATGTACTTTAGATTCAGATTGTGAGTATTTTGTTAATTTGGTAGAAGGATCTGTCGTGGTTTTCTTTCGGCTTTATATGACTAACGGCATTCGTATTCCATATTTGATTATAACTGGTGGTTAGATTAAGATGTTTTTGTTGCCTACATATTCTCGTCATTAGATAGTGGATTTCCCTTGTGACATGTTTAGTTTATTTCTTCTTCGATCTTAGGAATGCAATGCATCAAATGGATTTAAACTAGTATCCTGACTCGGCCAATCGGGTGCAATGGATAGGACTTTTATAATATAAAAAATATATCGCATTGTTTCTAAAAATAGCCAAAAATAATGGATAAATTATACATTTGTATAATTTGTACCAATAATAAATTAGAATTTATGAATATATTTTATAATTGATAGTTTTAAATAATTAAAAAATAAAAAAATGAAATAAATATATGTTTTTTTTAATTGTAGAATCTATATTTGATATGAGAAAATCAAAATAATGTTTGTGTTTAAAAGGTTTTCAAAATTTTGATTGAATTCAATTAAAGTCATATTTGAATTTGGATTTAGTGATTTGGTTTCTTTCACTTAGTGTCATGTTTCTCTCTCAGATTAATTCAGTTTCTAGCCGATATTTTGTTGGGAAACAAATTTATGTTGGCTTAAATTAACTTATAAGGCAATTAAAAATAATTTTAAAATTACTTTGAGTGATTTATCGAACACATTCTACAAGTATATTTAGATAACAATGGCATTTGAACACAACAATATCGTATATTTGTAGAATCTATCATATAAATATCCACCAAAAAATGATAAAATGAATAGGAAATACAGTGAGCAAAATAAATGTTACTTATATAACTACTCACCCACAGTATAGGAAAACAAGAGAAAATCAGAGTGTGTCATATAATTCTTTATGTGGATGAAGAATTTTAAACGCAACCTATAAATTTATGAATGTAAATAAATGAAAATAATTTGATTATTTTTAAATAAATATTTTTATTTAAAACAAAATTTATATTTATATTTATATTTTATTCTTTCTTTTTGTCTTGATTTTGAGTGGGATCTTTTTCTTTATCGATCTTTGATATTGTTCAGTGAAAGATTTATTTTTATTCTTTATTTTTTTTGTAATATTGTTAGTAACAAATCGAGAAAAGCGATCGAAATCGAAGGAAAGAAATGTGACTCGATAAGATAAACAAAAATTCATTCGATGTCTAATTAGAAATATATAGCATATAGCATCGAAAAGCACAATCGAGAATCGAATGAATAATAATCAAATGATTGTTGTCGAATAAAAACTAAGTCATATAAGACCAGGGTTAAAAAGGAATCATAAGCAATTCGAAGTTCTCGAAAAATACAGAATCGAGAGTAAGGAAAGTCAATGTGGACATCGAGACTTTGGCCAAATCGTGAAAGGAAGTAAGTCGAATGCACGTATAAAGAGCAATTTTGAAATCATGGGAAAAAGTCAGAGATCGTGAGAACGTGGGAAACTATAGAAGATAAACGGCCATACGCACGTAGAACGTGGTAGCAGTCATGTTAACTGCTCTTGGAAGGCTTGAAGGATGCCCTATAAATGGAGCAAAGGAGGAAGGAAAAAGGGGGAGCAAAAATTGGCAGAGAACAGAATCAGTAGTGAAAAGTCTACCGGAGAAACGACGAACACCATGAAGCTTCTGGCAATCTGGATTTCCTTGCTCACTGAGTACATTTACCGCTTTCTGTATTTTCCTTGGTAATTTACTTTGATGCAACTTAAATTCAGCAGTCTTATGTTTCTGTATTTTCGATTCCTTGTCCATTTCAATTCAATGCAAATTTAAGTTTATGCATTTAGGTTTCCATGATTTAACATTCTTGCAATCTCGATTTCCTGTCATTTACTTTTCTTGCAATCTCGATTTCCTGTCATTTACTCTTCTTGCAATTTCGATTTCTTGTCATTTATATTTGCGCTGTTTTCGATTCCTTGCTATTTACAATTCATGCAAATTTGGGGTTTTCGCACTTTACATTTCCTCGCAATTTAACATTCTGTTTTTCGATTCGATAGTCTTAATGCTTTCGATACTTTAAATACAAAACACCAAAAACAGCATTTTCGATATCCTGTAGTTTTCGATTCTCACACACGTTTTCGATTGAAAATCAAATTGCTAGCTTAAATAAAAAGAACTTACGTGGTAGAATTTTGATTAGGACCAAAACACCCTTAGAATCGAGATCGATCGAAATTCCACCAGAAACAAATTGGCGCGCTAGGTAGGGGAGTCTTGTGTTGAGAAACACAAAATTGGTTAGTTCGAAATTGTATGAAATTAAGGAGTGGGAGAGTCATGAGTCAGAGTTCATCGAATAACCAGGGAAACAGTGAGGGATTAAATGGATCACACCCACCAAATACTGGGGGGCAAAGTCATAATGGGAACACACCTGTAGTATCGACAACTGTGAGCATGTCGATGCCTGTGAGTAGTGAACAAAATTCAGGTACATTAGCAAACACCCAAGTAGGATCTAGTACGGTGATACCAAATAATATGCAAACTATAGGAAATCCCACAACCACATATGTAGGGCCACGCATGAGTGTAAGACCGCCCGGGTTTTCACTTAATAATGTGAGTGGGGTTGGAACTTCTTCAACGCATAGGAATTCGAGATATAACTTAGGAATGTCCCAAACACTAGGTATGCCACAAAATTTTGGAATCCCTCCGAATTTAGGGACGTCGCAAAATTTAGTAATTCCCCAGAATTCAGGGAATGGACAGAATGTAGGCACACAACAGATACCTCCAAATCTAGATCAGAGGGGATACTTAGATCATGGGAGACATG